TAACGTCGATGTGTGGGAGAACTCTGCTGAGTATTTCACGTTCAGCGCCACCGATGCAGATTCCACCAACACGGAGATGACGAACGATATTCTTCGATATCAAATCTTTGAAGAACCGGAGCTGAATGTTGCGGGTATTCAGCTTGACACTCAGCAAATGAGTGGAGGGAAGCGATATTCCGAAAATGCAACGTTCCAGTACACGGCGTTCTCGAGTTCTGATCTCGTCAGGCGCGTGTCAGAGCGTATGGCGAACTACGGCACCAACTTCGATTTCAACACTCTTGCGCGAGAAAATCATCCGGGATTCAACGTGACGTCCTTCAAATATGTCGCTATCGATTTATCTGGTCGCGTTTCCAACGTCGCAAACGCCTGGGTCTGGGTTCGACTCACCTCAGAGACGAATTCTCGACCGAGTGCCAACGCGATGACGTTCACCACGCCTGAATCTGTCGGCGTGGCGAGCAATTTCGACACGGCGGATTCCGAATCCCCGTTGCAACTGAGACACACGCTCCCATCGCTCGCGTTACAGCCGACGCTCGGCGTCGCTGCGCAAGTCGGTATCGCTGCCTCACCCTACGGCAAGGCGTTCACATATGAACCGTTTCCATTCTATTACGGCGTTGATGTGTTCGAATACCTCGTCACCGATCCACACGGGTCTACTTCTGATCTCACCACTATCACCGTCACGGTCTCGCAAGTCGATCAGCCGCCACAAGGCGCATGCGGAGTGAACTCTACTCTTAAGTCCTCAGCCGATCCGACGTACGATCTCAAAGGACGAACGGCGGAACTGAGCGTGCTCATGGGTTATCAAATTATCCGCGCCAAGACGATGCGATATTTGATCAATCCCGAGCGAAGAGACTTGGAGTTTTACAATTACTTGCCCTTTATCAATGATTTGTCCAAGTTTGACAGCGTCATCGATCATCAAAATATATTTTTGTCATGTGGGTCGACTTCAGCTTTGACAACGGCTGCTATTTATCACGACCAAGTGACCGCGGTGGCGCTCTTGGCGTACGATGTCGACCAAGCTGTGAACGACACAATACGGTACGTACTAAGTGAACTGCCGACTATAGCGTCGTCAGATGCAGCACGAGGTACAGCTGGGTACGCTGGTACTCTTTATCGATACGTCGCCCCGAATGGCACATATTACAACTCCACCGGGACGACAGTGTACTCTTACACATCAGATTCCGTCACCGGACTCACGCCGCTCGCCGCTGGTGATACCATCGGTGACGCCGCGAATGGGGCTGTAATGCTGCTTTTCAAGCCTCGAGAATACATCCACGGACCAATCACGTTCAAATGGCATGCGGTAGATACAACGACGTCGGCGCGAGGCGACGACGTCGCGATGACAATCAGTGCCATGTGCAGAGGAGGTGAAAGCGTCAACGCTGACCATGGAGAAACGTGCGATTTGTGCCCAGTTGGTTCATTCAACTCGGCGAACATAGCCGATCAACAAAGCTGCGTGCAGTGCCCGGCGGGGAGTTACACCTCCGCCACGGGCTCGACTATTTGCGTGCCATGTCCCGCGGATACGTACGCGAGCACCGCCGGATCGCAAGTCTGTACACCATGCCCAGCGAACACGCGTTCACCATCAGGAAGCGACGACGTTTCAGATTGCCTGTGCGATATCGGTTTTGTCGTTTCGAACAGCCCGCAGTGCCATCCTTGCGCGCTCGATCGCGTCAAATGTACCGAACTCGGTCAGTACACACCTCTTCCGTACGATGGATTTTGGCAAGATAGCACAAATGGAAAACGAAACCTCACCTGTATCCCGGGCTTGGCTTGTCAAGAGAAGTTTGATAAGGACGAAGTACGCACTGGTGCATGTGCGCAACCTCGGTTCTACGCCAATAATGTGACAAATTCTCCCGCGTACGTCGGAGATGGTTGCTCAAAGTGTGCGAAAGATCACTATCGTTACGCGTCCTTCTGCGAAGCGTGTGACCCAGTGCAAGAAGTAAGAATCTTCTTCGTGATACTGGCGTACTGCGTTGCGCTTTACGCCATGTTCGAACTCGCAACACACCCAGCTATTCCTTCTTTGACGATTTTGCTGTCATTCACGCAAATCACTGCTCAAATGCAGTACTTTGAAATTCCGTGGCCGAAAGCGCTCGCGCGTTGGATGCAAGTCGCGTCGCTCGCCGTGGCAGACTTACAAATCCTTGGTTTAGATTGCGTTTCGACCTGGGACTACTTCACGCGATTCGCGACGACCATGTTCGCACCTTTTGTTTGGGTGTTCGTCCTCGGCATCGCCATCATTTTACGCTGCTGGAGAGAGATTGCGAATCAAGCTTATGCGAACGTGCAGCGACGGCGACTGATTGAGCGTCGAAGACTGCTCCACGAATTTGACGTCGACGCCAAAAAATGGACTGATCTCGCCATCGCTCGCGATGGGTTACCGTTTGATCGCCCCGATTTGAAGGGCAAAGGAGACGACTACAACGCACTTGAGCTGCATCTGTACGGCAATACTAAAAACGAAGGGTTGCGAAAAAGAGTCTTCAAAGAGGGCGTCGAAGAGTTACGCAAGGCGGATTTGCGGGCGAAAAGCTCGCAAGAACAGTCCAAGACTGAGCGAAAGCTGAGGCAAACCAAGGATGAAATAGAAGAGCTCGAAAAGCAAAAGGCTGTGAGCGCCAGAATCATCCGGGATAACGTCAACCGCGCCATTCCTTCGCTCGTCATCGTCATGTGGTGGGGTTACATGCTCTTGAGCCGCACCGCGATCGAGTACTTTGAATGCAAAGATAACACTGAGTCGGTGTTATTGGTGGCGGATCCACAGATAAGATGCAATTTTGATAAGCACTTGCAGTGGAAGCCTGTTGCGTTGATTGGTTTCATTCTCTATCCGGTTGGTTTGTTCCTTGCCGCATTTGGCTGGCTTTACGTCCATCGATCAAGCTCAAAGACGCGACCGCGCGTGCACGTCTTGGCCACGAGAGCGTCTCAGATTGAGAAGGCTCGCGCCGATCAGGTTGAACAATTCAATGCACGTTACGGTATGATGTACAACTGCCTTCGTCCACAATTTTATCTATGGATATGTGTTGACCTAGGCAAAAAGTTTTCCATCGTTGGCGTCAAGGTTTTGTTCCCGAACGACATTTTGTTGCAATCATTCGTCTCGATGGTTGTCTTCGTAACTTTCGGGATCATGAGCACGAGGAATCCTTACGTGAGTGTGAACTTGAACGTAGCGGAAATGCTTGCGACATTCATGAACTCAATCACGCTCATCGCAGGGTTCTACTTCCAGCTTGGTATCATGGATGACGTGTCTACGCAGATCGCCACGTACGTTATCATCAGTGGTTTGGCTGGCACGACGATTGTCTTGACCGTCATCGTCGTCGTCGAGTTTTTCCCATGGATGAAGCGCTTGTTTTTCTTGCTCAAGTACAACACGCAAACCGATATTTACAAACCAGATAAAATCGGCACGCACGAAAGTGGACCGCAAGGAACTTCGTGCTACATTTTTGCTTCAGATTCAGCGTTCAGATACTGGTGCTGGCGCACAGTTCGTCATCCAGTTTTTGACCGTCTCATCACAGCCACCGTGATGATGAGCGTCGGTTGTCTCATTTCGGAGTCTGTCTTATACGACGAAACTTTCACGTCATCTGCGTACGTGCGCATCGTGTGGTTCAATTCGTTCATGAACGGTATCTTTGTTTTGGAAGCTGCCGTGAAAATCATTGCCATGGGTTTCATCCTTGGCGATGGCGCGTACCTGCGCGATACTTTCAACTGCATCGACTTTTTAGTCATCATGTTGCAGTTCATTCTCTTCGCAGTGAACATCACGACGAATGTCACCGGTGCGAGAAGTGCGAGATTTGTCAAATTCGCGCGCGTGGCGAAGGTCAGAGTCATTCGCGTCTTCCGAAGATTCCTGCAGTTTAACGCCGTCCGCGGCGAGAAATTCCGTCTGATGCTACTTGAGGCGAAGGCGGAGGACACGCCCGCGCTCAGCGAGAGCATCGAGCGACTTCGCGTGGTTTTTGAACCACGCAGTGCCGAGACGATGGAATACAACTTGCGGGTGCTACAGCCCGATGTTTTGCGCGTCGCCCAAGGACTGATTGACGAGCTTTACCAAGAAAAGTTTGATCCTGAATTGGTCGCCGTGTACGAATCTCAAACCGACGCCGTGCATCAGATGGTGCAGAAGCAATATCACGACATCGTGTACGAATGGCTCGCTTTCGTGGCAGAACCTGGGCAAAAGCGCGCATTTTTGGCCACGCTGAAGAACATCCGAGACGTCGCCCTGGATCTCGGTCCTGAGGGCATCGCCAAAGAAATGCTTCGTCAAAAGTACGACATCGCCGCCATTCTCAACACGGCGTTGTACAAGGTTCCAGCCGATGTCAAGACGGACACGCGAGCGTATAAACGAAAGATTGCGAAAGACGCCAAGTCATTCACCAGCACAAAGGCAACCATCAGCAAACAATTCAACGCCTTCCAGGCTTCCATGCAAAGTGACGACCGCGTCGAAGATGCACTCAACCAGTTGCCGCTGCACTCGGTGGAGGAAGACAGCGCTCTCGCCAAACGGCGCGCCGAGAACGCGAGCGTGCGCATTCGTAACCGCTCGCTCAATGCGAGTGCAAAAGAGAAAATCATCCAAGATGATCTTCAACAGAAAACCTCAGGCGCGGGCGAGCTCCTCGCAGCGGCGTCTAGCGTCGTCGCTGAAGACGACGTCGCTCCCGCCGCGCCGGCACCGGTGAAATCGTCCGGATTGTTGGCGCGTTTCCGAAAGAAAAAGACGTGATCGTCATCAAACAAAGTTCAATTATTAATTTACCCCACTAGCGGCGCTTGGGATCACGACATTAGCGCCTTGATCCTTGTTATAACGCACCACAGTTATACCGCGCCGACGCGCCGCACACGCCGCCTCGCTCGACGCACCCGATGGCGTGAATCCCGGAATGTCGCCCCCCACGCTCGACGCCGCGCTTCGTCGCAACGCACGCGAGCGCCCGAGCGCCATCGCGTGCGTCCTCGTCCCGAACGCGCGCGAGAAGAACCGAAAGTGCTTCTTCACTTGGGACGAGTTACACGGCGTCGTCGACGCCCTCGCGCGCGTCTTGCGCGCCGACCGCCATCCGCGCGTTCTGAGCTTTTGTCGCGACGGCGTCGAGGCGTTCGTGGCGCTGCACGCGTGCGCGCGGGCGCGGAAGAGTTTGGTGAACGTGGACGCGGCGACGCCGGCGAGCAGGATTCGGGACGTCGCGCGGGACGCGAACGCGACGACGTGTCTGTGCGCGAACGACGGCGATGAAGACTCGGTAAAATCGGTGTTAGGAGAAGACGGTGTCGCGGTGCGCGTGTGGGAGGTGATTAATGCGGGCGCGGAGGCGATCGAGGCGGAAGAGGACGAGACGCGAGAGGACGACGAAATTTGGATTGCGTACACGAGCGGGACGACGGGAAAATGCAAGGGCGCCGCGGCGACGCATCGACGCGCGATGGCGTACGCACGGGCGAAGTGTGAGGTGGAAGAGATCGACGCGTGCTCGCGGGTGTGCTTGGCGTCGAACGCGACGTTCGATTTGTGGCACGGCGACGCGTGCGCGGCGGCGGCGGCGGGCGCCGCCGTCGTCGTCGCGTCTCGCGCGACTTTTCAACACGATTTCGCGAGAGTGTTGCGAGAGGGCGAAGTCACGCACGTGTGTTGCACGCCGACGATGTTCTCGCTGGCGCGACTTCCGCGTGGGATCGTGGACGCACCGAAGTTGCGATGCGTATCGCTGGCGGGGGAGCGCATGCGCGAGAGCACAATCGCACTATGGGCCGACGACGTGGCGTTGTACAACGTGTACGGTGCCACGGAAACGACTGTGGTGCAAACGTACGCAAGAATGCGCAATGCAGAAGACGAAAGCACGAATCGGGCGGGGAAAGCGTACGAAGGATTTGCCAGCGTGTTCGTCGTGGATGAAATGCGCGAAGGCGAATTGGCGGTGCAATCCTTCGCGCAGAGACGCGGCGTCGAAGGCGAAGTTGCCATCGGCGGTATTTGCGTCGCAGACGGGTATTTGAACGACCCCGAACGCACGGCACGTGCGTTCGTTCACTCACCATTCGGTACCGTCTATCTCACGGGCGATCGCGGGTACATCGATGACGCAGGCGATTTGTATTTGCGCGGTAGACTCGATCGCCAAGTCAAGATTCGCGGTCATCGCGTCGAGTTGGATGAAATCGAAGCCGCGCTTCGTTCGTGCCCCGCACTATGCGACGACGCCGTCGTGTTCTACGATGCCAATGAGGGAGTGCTGACTTCCCACGCACGAGCAGCTTCGCCGACGTTCGACGCGTCGAGCGATGCAGATTTATACGCGTTCGCGCTCGAACGCGTCGTCGAGCTACGATTGCCGCGACACATGGTGCCTCGTCGACACGTCTTCATCGAGCACGCGCGATGGCCTTTGACTTCGAGTGGAAAAACGAATCGTCAGATACTGCTTCAATGGTTTGCGAGCGGCGAGACGAAGGCGTTTCGACCTAAGCGTGAGAAACCGCAAGCGGGATTGGAAACAGTCGTCGCGAACGCTTGGGCTGTCGCGCTGGGGCACGGCGACGCGAGCGATATCGGCGCCCTCGACGCGTTCGATGCGCTCGGTGGAACCTCACTCAACGTTCTCGCAGTTTCAAAAGCGCTGGCGAGCGACGACGGAATCGTGCGCTCGCGCGATACCGCGCGTGGCGAAATTGTGCGCGAAGCGCGAATTGGTTTACGCGACGGCGAAGCTGCGGCGCTGCTCAACGACGGCGAAGAACCCGCGGCGTGCGCGTTCGACGTCATCGACGGCCCGTTCGCACCGTGCGAAATATTCGCGAGACCCGTGCTTCGCGATTACGTTGATTATTTGCGAGCGCAAGGTATAGACGCCGACGTGAACGCTCCCGCGTCCACCGCCGTCGAGCCACAGCGAGATACATCTGCGAATCGTCGCATGCTCGCGGCGTGCGGTCGCGGCGTCGCCCCCGTCGTTCGCGCTTTGCTCGCGACCGGCGTCGAAGCATCGGGCGAGCACCTTCGAGCCGCCGCCGCGAGCCTCGCCGACGAAGCCGTGGACGTAGTGCAAACTTTACTCGCCGCCGGTGCGGATGCAAGTTCATCATCCGCCACAGCCGGTACGCTCGCGACGCACGTCGCCGCCGCTCGCGGGAACTCTGAAATGTTAGAAATGTTGCTCGCCGCCGGCGCTCCAGCGGGAGCGAAGGACGCGGATAAGCAAACGATTTGTCACTTAGCAGTGCGGAGCGGGGATGTGAGTACCGTGCGCGTCGCGGCAAACGCGTGTAAACACTTGAAGACACGCAAAGGTGGCTTGGAGTCGTGGGATCGTTGGAAGCGCACGCCCGCAGCGTGGGCGCTCGTCGCGGGATCGAGTGAAATTTTAGCCGAGTTGCGAGATGCCGGGGCGAATTTAACATCGCTTGAAACTGACGTCTCCAACGCCTGGGTGCACGGTTCGCTGAGCGCAAAGAGCGAGGTGCAGTTGGCGCATCGCCCGGTTCGCAAGCGAGGTGCCGCGGCGGAGGTGTTGAGCGCGCTCGCGGCTAGATTGGACGCCGCAAACGTCGAGAGCGAACGTATTGAAGCGGCGACGGCGATTCGCGAGCTCGTGTGCGCAAACGCAGAGAATCGAGAAAAGGCGCGAACGATCGGTTTGGTGCCAAAACTGTGCGAACTCGCGCGCGATCGTCACTGCGTTGAAGCCATCGGCGCGTTGAGAAATTTAGCCACCAACACGAGCGCGGCAGGGGCGGCTGGCGACGCCGGAGCTATGGAAATCCTCGGTGATGTCATTCGCGCTCGTGCTAAATTAAAAGACAGCGAGCTGAGTGCTGACGATAGGCGAGTAGTGTACGCTGCGGCGAGCGCGATGCGCGCGTTGGCGGTGAAGCACGACGCGAATGCCGCGCGATTGCGCGCGTCGAGAGACGTCGCGGACGTCGTCAGTCGATTGTGCGAAGGCATGCGATTAGAGTAGATATATGTAGCGAAACTATAGCGTCTATTGAAACAATTTAGCAAATTTGCGCACGCGTTTGAAGCAAGACGATGCGATCGCCCACGACGGCGCCTTCGATGTCTTGCGGCGAGCCTCGATAGCTCTCCACCGACTTGGCGATGTCGGAGATTCGTCTAATCATCGCTTCGCGCGCGAGGGAGTTCCACACGATAGACGACGCGGTGTAGTCCACCACGCGTTCTTCCGTAGGCTCGGCGGTGATGCTGTCGTAGAGACCAGCGCCGGCGAAATTTTCCAAGTCTTCACCGTTCGAGTCGCTTCTCGCGATGACGGTACCGCCGGATGGCGCAAAGTGCCCGCAGAGCTTACTCGGAAGCGAACGAAGCGTGACCTCACCCGTTGTCTTGCTCACCGTAAATCCGAGCGCACTACCAGCGTCGTTACCGACCAAAGTTTCCCCGAGACCGACGCAAATCTCACCAAAGATTTCATCCGCGTCGCCGGTGACAGGGTTGGCGGTGTGCACCACGAAGGCGAATTCGGCGTCCACGAGTTCCATGAGAAGCACGGCGACGTTGAGATCCTTGTCGTCGATGCCGCAGGATTTACGCGACAACCACGCACGCTCTGTCCATTTTGACGCCCATACACCGCAAACGGCGTCCCAGAGTCGCGGGAGGTCGACGGATGGTGAAAGCTTCGCCGCCGCTTCGTCGAGCGCGGATTCCAAACCTTGCGGGCACACGAGACGGGTGGCGATGATTTCTCGCGCATCCGCGAGCGCCGCACGGCGGTCTTCGGCGGTAGTCGCTGTCTCAATGGCGGCAACGGCTGCTTCGAGCGCAGTACGAGTGTCGACGTCTTCCTCGAGGGCGCGTTCAAAGGTGCCAAATGGAAGCGCGTACGATCCTGGCACGTCGACGTTCGCAATGTTCATTGCGGCGAGTTCCTTGGCCATTTCCGAAAGACTGTTGCTCTTGCCGCCGACAATATCGCTGCTGTACGCGTCAGGAGTAATCAGCCACGCGTCAGAGGGCTTGTAAGGGGCGATAGACACCTTGGTCGTCGCCTTGGCGCTCGCCGTCGTCGTCGCGTCGGAGACGTTGGCTTTATCAATCTGCACATCTTCACCCGCGATAGAGAATCGCACGTTTTCACCCGCCATCTCTAGGACTTTGTTCCAAAGTACGTCATCTGCGACGCTCGCGAGAAGCACGTTCGTGTTTCTCGCTCGAATGGCGATGTGACTGAGCAGATCGACCGGCGCCTTGGTGACGACGGCCTTGACGCCCGCGGGAATGTCTTCCAACCCACCGAGCGTTTCGGTGAAGCAAACCATGGGAGTGGACGAAAAATCTTCGCCTTGAATCTCACTGAGCGTTTGAACTTTCGCCATCCCGGCGTACGTCTCGAGGCTGGCGTCGCCGACGCTGACAATTTGCCAAGGCGAGCGACCCGCGGCGGCTCGAACCGCCGGACGAAGCGTCGAAATCAATTGCGAGACGACAAACAGGCTGTGTGAGCGCACGTTTTCTTCCCCAAAGTTGATCAAGTACTTGGGATCAGCCTTGGTGGACTTAGACGCGATGATATCTGCAGCGTTTTGCGTAGCGCGGCACAAAAAGTCCATATCGCTCTCCATGGCGAGAGCGCAGAAATCGAGCGCGGCGTCCATGGTCTTCGACCAGTCCGCGCCCCAGCGTTCGCCGTGACCGTCACCCATGGCGACTTGGAGAAATTTTAAGCCCTCGCCGATGCGCGTGGACTCGTTCGTCAGCGCGACGTTCGTCAAAGAAAGCTCGAGAAGCGAAAGCAAATCATCCGAGGACATTGCGCCGTAATCGACGGCTTCCACCTTGGTTCTGAAAAACTTTTCCAACGTCGCGTCGAGCATGACGACGTCTCGGTTCGGGCTGTCGTGTTGCCAAACTCCGAGAAGCTTCTTACGAACTTCGATAATTTTCCCCGGCACCCACCACGCGTCGCGGTTTTGCAGCAAATCGTCCACCTCCCACGCCAAGTCGCCGGGCAAACCGTTTCTGGCAAAGTTCATGGCGCTGTCCACGTCCCCGCCCGAGTGCGTGGTCTTTAAAACCCACAAGTAATGTTTGAAAGAATCGATCATTTGCGGCATGTGGAACGCGGGGCCGTGGATGCCGTCCGAGCGCCAACCCGCCTTCATACCGGCCAAATCTTCTCGCGTCAAGCCGGCGTTATCCCACAAGTGCGCCCAGAAATCGTCCCAGTTACCGGTGTGCAAAAAGTGCAGGTATGCCTCGCAAATCTTCACATCATCGGGCGTGGTGTTAGAGTGAAGCTTTTGATGCCACTGCGCGATGAACGGATCCTCGATTCCCGGACGATGTCCCTCTTTGATGCCGTGCGTTCGCATGATGTTCAAGATGCCCATGCGAATATCGTCGCCGTTGCCTCCTCCGCGCGGTAAGAATGCGAGCGAGGCGCGCATGAGTCCGCGCGACGTGGCGTCCGGCGCCGTCGTCGCCGCGTGCGCGATGCGTCCCGCCAAGCGCTCTTGCTTGCTCGCCATGTCCTTGCCCTGGTAATTGTTCCCGGCGTACCAGTGCAACTGGCGCAGCGAGCTCAGGCGCAACCACGCGTAGACGAGCGCCGCACCCTCGGGCCCGATCGCCAACGCGGCGTCCAGGGCGTCGTCAACCATGCAAAATCGCGTGAACAAGTTCACGCTCCCACCCTCGTGCTCGGCGGCGCGTCGCGCCAACGATTCCGCGCCCGCCGCGCCGCCGCCGCCGCCCGCCGCGGATTCTCTCACCCTCATCTCCACGTCCCCGTCCTCCGCGTGCGCCCAAAACTCTCCGCACACGACGATCCCGACGATCGACCCAACGTTTCTCAACCCCTCGACGTCCCCTTCGCTCGCGTTCGAGCAATCCATCTCCAACGTCAGCGTCCCGCTCGCGTCGAACGCGCTCCTCGACGCGATCCCGTCCCCGAAATCCCTACTCCCCGTCCTCGCCTCCAGCCCGCGCGGCGCCTTCGCCCACGACCCATCGCCATCGACCGCCCGCGTCGCCCAGTGCAGTTCGACCTCGCCTCTCGCGCACCGCTCCAGGAGCGCGTCGTCCGCCGCCCGCAGCGTCGCCGTCGTCGTCCCGTTCGCGCGCGTCCGCGTCTCCACTCGCACCGCGTGCCCCCCCGCGAGCGCGTGCGTCGTCTCGCGGACCACGTCCGGGACGTCCGCCTTTTTTTCGCGCGCGCCGGCGCCTCGTCCGACGCGCGCGCGCGTCCCGGCGTCGATCGCGCCGCGCGCCGTGGATAGCGTTCCTCGCGAAGATCGCGTCGCGCGGCGCGCCGTCGCGCGGTCGATCGTCGCGCGCGCCGCGTCCGCGCGCGCGAACGTCGCGCGCGTCGCGTCGCGCGCGAGAGAGACGCGCATCGCGCGCGCGCGCGTCGTCGGTCGCGGTGTGACGATTCGCTTCGACGAATCGAATCGTCAGAGCGCGACGCCGCGCCGCGCGGACGCGTCGACGCGCGGCGCGACGCGACGGCGACGCGCGCGGTCCTCCGCGGCGTTTCGCATGTGCGGCGCGTGCCGCGCGCGGCGCGCGAGCGCGAGAGAGACGACGACGCGCGCGGAATTCTGCGCGCCGTGTCGCGACGGCGCGAGAGCGACGACGACGCGCGCGACGCGCGTCGCGGACGGGGCGTCGTTCGACGTCGTCGTGTGCGGCGCGGGCGCGGCGGGGACGTCGTTCGCGCGGACGTACCTGGAGACGACGGCGCGGGGTGGCGACGGCGACGGCGACGGCGACGGCGACGGCGACGGCGCGCGCGGCGCGAGGCTGCTGCTGCTCGATCGCGGCGGATGCGCGAAGACGGTCGAGCGCGTGGAGCGCGTGACGCGGCGGGCGTCGGTGTACGGCGCGCGGGAGAGCGCGCTGGGGGCGCTGGAGGCGCTGGGGGCGCGGACGGCGACGGCGAGCGTCGCGGCGTGCGACGCCGAGTCGAAGACGTTGACGCTGGACGACGGCGCGCGCGTGCGGTACGGCGCGCTGTGCGTCGCCACGGGGGCGACGCCGCGATGTCCGCTGCCGGAGGCGAGCGATGGAGCGGTCGACGCGCACGAGGTGCGAGACGTGGAGAGCGCGGACGCGCTGGCGAGACGGTTGAGCTCGATGACGGCGACGGCGAGCGCGGATTCGGATTCAAAGACGAAACGGATCGCGATCGCGGGGAACGGAGGGATCGCGCTCGAGCTCGTCGACGCGCTCTGTGTGCGAGGTTTGCGCGCGCGAGGGTTGGAGGCGTGCGAATTGGTGTGGTTGGTGAAACACGGCGAAGTCGGCGACGCCTTTTTCGACGTCGACGCCGCGGATTTCTTGCTGCGCGCGCTCGACGCGAGACGGCGAGACGGCGAGGCGAAAGACGACGACGGCGCGGACGTGGACTGGGACTCACCGACGCCCGAACGCGGTGCCGGACGATCGACGAAGAAGCGCGCGCGAGGGCGCGAATCAGGCGCCGCCGCCGGTCCGGATTGGCTCGACAGATTTAGAGCGAAGAGCGCGGCGGACGACGCGCGCGCGCCTCTCAGCCGCATGAAGCTTCGCGTGCTGAAAAATGTGTGCATACGCGAAGCGCGTAAAGACGCAAACACCGGCGTCAACGTATTGACGCTGAGCGATGGGACGACGATCGAGGTGGACGCCGTCGTCGCCGCCGCGGGCGTCGAGCCGAGATGCGATTGGCTCGACGAAGTCGCCGCGCCGAGGTCGAAATCAGACGGCGGTATACTCGTCGATGCGTGCATGCGCACCGTAGGACCGTACGGCGACTCAATATTTGCCGTCGGCGACGCGTGCACGATGTCGGCGCGCGCGTCGAACCCAGAGACGCCGTGGTTTCAAATGCGACTGTGGAGCCAGGCGGCGCAAACAGGCGCCTTCGCCGCGAAAGTCGCCGTGGGCGTCTGCGACGCCGACGCCCTCGGATTCAATTTCGAAATCTTTACCCACGTCACCAGGTTTTTCGGTCTCAAAGTCATCTTGCTCGGGCTGTACAACGCCCAGAAGCTCGACGACGTCCCGGCGAACGAGGTGACGACGTACCAGCGCGAGTCGCTCGCCGACGCGACGTACGTGCGCGTGCTCCTCGTCCGCGGTCGCATGATGGGCGCCGTGCTCGTCGGCGACACCGATCTCGAGGAAACTTTCGAAAACCTAATCTTAGACGGCGTCGATCTATCGCGTTTCGGTCCGAGTTTACTCGATCCCGAGCTCGACTTGGAGGATTATTTCGACTGACGCGACGCGCGAGACGAGCGAGAAACGAATGAAATCAAATGACAATCAACCCTAGACAACTACCACCGTCCGACGCCCGCGCTCAGTGCGGTTTCGGCACGAACCCGTCCACCGCGAAATTCCGCGTCGCGCGCGGTAAAATCACGACGCATCCCTCCAACGCTCCGCGCTCCAGCGTCACCTGACACCCCAACCTCGACGTCGCCGTCAACCCGTACGCCAAATCTAACATGTCGTTCTCGTCGTCGCACGCCTCCGGCAGCGTCTCGAACACTTTTTCGTCCTCGAACACGACGTGGCACGTGGAACACGCGAGCGAGCCCTCGCACGCGCCCTCGAGCTCGACGTCGTGCCGGTGCGCCGTCTCCAGCAGGTTCTCGCCAATCAATCCGCGCACCGCGCGTCGCTCACCGTCGCGCTCGACGAACGTCACCTCGATCGAGTTCTCGGGCGTGAGTTTCGTCTTTTTGTCCGCGCCGTGCGCGACCGTGATCCCGGCTCGTCCACGTGGCGCGTACGAATAAGAATGAGAATGAGAATGCGCGGCGATCGAGCGTCTTCGTTCGCGCGGTCGCGTCCCCGCGCTCGGCCGCTCGTGCGTTCGCGCGCGTTCGCGGTCGAGTCGATCACCGGACGACGCGTTCGTTCGCGCGTCGTCGAGTGCGGCGACCGAGGGCCGTCGCGCCCGGTGATGCGATGTCCACGTGGGATCGTGGAATATCTGGCTGTGTGCGTAAACAGTGACGGGGGGCTTCTCGGATCGACCCCGCGGCCCGTGGGGAGAGGGGCATGGTGTTGGATGGTGTGTACGCGAAACGTGTGTGCATCATACGTATATTGACCCAAAGGTATCTATCACGTGTAAAGGTACTAATGTGTGTGTGAAATTCAATGATGGGTCATGACTCGAGAACGGGGGGGGGAGGCACACCCGGGATGCGCGCCGATTCTTATCGACAGAGGAGGACGAGGAGGACGATTGGCGCGCGCGTCGCGTTCGATGGAAAACCGATGTCGTATGACAAACAGATAAAAACGTTATTTAGTGCGCGTGCCCGTGCGAGTGGCCGCCGCCGCCGCCGGCTGTGCAGTGCTTGTGGTTGAGGAGCACGAGACTGACGGCGACGACGCCGACGACGAACGTCAAGAGGCTCGCCGCGCGAAGACGAGACGTAGTGGCGCTCACCGAAACTCGCGGCATACACTCCGCGGCAGCGATTTGTAGATAGATTCCAGCGCCAAAGGCGAGCAAAAGTCCGTGCCAGAAGTCGTTGTTACTTCCAGATCCAACGCTGATGAGAACGCCGAGGATGACGCTCACGCCGGAGATGAAGTTCATGAACAGCGAGCGAAACGGCGTGAGATCGCCCTGGAAGGGATCCGTGAGTACCAAATAGTCGGCGAGCTCTTGCGCGATTTCGTGATAGACGGTCGCGGCGGTGATCGACCATCCCATGGTCTTTCCACAGTTCAGGAAACCGAATCCGATGAAGATGCCATCCACGAGGTTGTGCATGAAATCTCCGAGGATGATGCCGCTTCGAACGCGATACTTGTGCGAGTGGCACGTTTCGCAATCTTCTTGAACGCCTTTGATCGCGTTCTCCGCGTCGATCGTCTTCGTCTCGGCTAAACGAGAAGGGAACGCGATGGAGATGCCCAAATCGATGATGTACGCCACGAGAAAGCCAAAGACGGACGCGGACGCCCACCACGCGGTTTGTTGCGACTCATCCGAACCGGCGGGTTTGATCAAATGCGTGGCTTCGTACAACATCAGATAGAACGCAGCCGAAAGAAGTGCACCGGCGGCAAAGGAGTTAATGATGCAACTCACGAATTCGGGGTACGCTTTCTGCTTCTTCGCGAAGCTCGGAGAGAGAAAGATGACGCCGGAAAGCGTGACGATGTTGACGATGATCGCCGCCCCGATGGCGTCGGACCACGGTTTTGATTTCTTTGTAGTCACCGTTTCGGGAAGCGAAGCCACTGGCTCCACGTCATCCCCGTTGACATCCTTGAGATAGTGCGTATCGCGCTCGAACTCGGTGGGAACGTGCTCGGCGAAAATCGAGACGGCGGCGACGCCAGTCGTATCAATCTTAAACGACGACGTGTGCCAAGCGTTATCAAATTGAAGTTTGACGCATCCACTCCCGGGCGTCAAAACGCTGTTTCGCGTTTTAACCGTCGTGCACGCCGTCTCGAGCGCGGCCTCGCCCGCGTCCTCGCGAGCCTCGAGCTCTTCGTGTCCGGCGGCGGTTTCGGCGTAGATGACCATCTTCATGGTCGCGTCCGCGTACTGGTCCTTCACCTTTTCCGCCTGCCACACGTACGCATCGTCCGGAGTCTCAAAGATCCCCGCCCATTCGAACGAGTGCGCGTGCGCGCCGGACGCGAGCGCGCCGCGCGCCGCGAGCGCGCTCGAGACGACCGCCGCGCCTCCGAGCGCGGCGCCCATCCTCCATCCGCCTCCTCGTCGTCGTCGTCGTCGTCCCGCGCCCGCGGTCGCGTCTCGCGTCGTCATCGCGTCGCGCATCGTCTCGTCTATCGTCTCGTGCATCGTCTCGTTCGTCGTCGTCGTCGTCGTCGCGCGTCGTCGAGTGCGGCGACCGCGCGCGCCGGCATCGCGACGAGACGACTCGAACCGGCGCGAGGGGGGTACTTCTCGAGTCATGACTCGATATTCATGAGAACACCATGTGTCGACACCTCGCGAGGTGTCGACACGCGTGTCTTCGTACGTCCGCGCGCGACGACGACGACGACGACGAGGATGACGACCGTCGGCGGCGCCGCGCGACGTGACGATCGAGGCTCGGCGTTGCCTCCGCGATGCGTCGAGATCGCGCGCGAGTCGCCGTCGGCGTCGCCGTCTCGAAGGAAAACGCCCGCGAACGATCGCGCCGTCAATCGCGCCGCCGTGCGACGGTACCGCGAGCGCAAACGAATGGACGAGAAGGAGAGAATCGAGGAGTGCGAACGGTTGCGCGGGGAGAACGAGACGTTGAGACTGGCGTTGGAGACGTCACGAGCGGAGTTGAAACATTCGAGGTGGTTGTTGCGCGTCGTCGCGTGGAAGTACGACTTAGACTTGGCGGATATTCCGACGGAGAAACCGTCGACGTCGACGATGCCGCAAGGGAGGGTGAGAGGAAGCGATGCAAACGCGGTGTTTCCCGCGGGTGGGGTCCCCGCGCGGAACGACATCGCGCGACCGTTCGCCGCGCGCGGCGTCGCCGAGACGCGGCCTCGGAAAATTCCTCGCGCAGCCGACGACGACGCGAAACCGGCGGGCGCGCCTGATGAACTCGAGCTCAAAGATTTCTTGGAGGAATACTTCACGCACGGCGACGCGTGCCCGTGCTACGAGATCACGGACGCGGACGCGCGCGCGGCGCCGACGCGCGGCGCCGACGCGCGGCACGCGTGGTTCTAGGTATGACGACACATTTACGTCACACGGTGAAACGTTTTACGCTTCTAATATTATATTATAAAGTTAGTCAACCTATATAGTTACACGCACCACATGATGTCACACGTGATGTGCACACGCGTATGTATTCGTACTGTGAGTACAATAAGCCTAACATTGTGTAAAATCCCGTGCCCACGATGATCGCGCGTGTCGACACGAACAGACGGTTGGCCGAAAAGGCGAAAGGGTCGGCGGCTGTCGTCATCTCTCGACGAACGTTGGCGCTCGACATGGCGGACGAGCAAGACCAGACCTCGCGCGTGCCGGTGACCATTCTCACCGGATTTCTCGGTTCCGGGAAGACGACGCTCCTCAATGAAATCTTGGAATCCGAAACGCACGGATTGCGCTTCGCGGTGATTGAAAATGAATTCGGAGAGGTGGGCGTCGACGAGAGGATTCTGTCGGAGAAGGCGGACGAAGAGATCATCGAGGTCATGAACGGTTGCATCTGCTGCACGGTGCGCGGTGATCTCGTGGTGGCGCTGAAAAAGCTCTACTCGAAGATCGCGCAGTTCGACGCCGTCATCATCGAGACGACGGGTTTGGCGGATCCGGCGCCGGTGGCGCAGACGTTCTTCGTCGACGATGACATTCGAGAAAAGTTTGTGCTCGACGGAATCATCACGGTCACGGACGCGAAGCACATCCTCACGCGGCTCGATGATGAAAAACCCGAGGGTGTGGAGAATGAAGCCGCCGAACAGGTCGCTTTTGCCGATCGGATACTCCTCAACAAGACCGACTTGGTGTCCGAAGACGAACTCGAAACCATCACGGGCCGGATCAAGCAAATTAATCCGAGCGCCGATATCTTCCGATGCCAGTATTCCAAGGTTGATCCGAAAAATTTGATCGGAATCAATTCCTTCTCGCTCGAGAAGACCTTAAAAATGGATCCCGAATTCCTCAACACGGAGGGCGAGCATGAACACGACCCAACCGTGTCTTCGACGAGCACAAAATTCTCTGGGCACCTCAACATCAATAAATTAGAACGCTGGATAGGCGAAATAATTCAAACAATGGGTGCGGACTTGTTTCGGTACAAGGGTGTTCTTTCCGTTGCGGGCATGGATCAAAAGTTTGTTTTCCAGGGCGTCGGCATGCTTTTCTCCGGCGGCTTCGTCGACGCCAAGTGGGGAGCCGACGAGGAGCGCGAATGCCGCTTCGTCTTCATCGGTAAAAATCTGGACAAAGACGCCCTCATCAACGGTTTCATGGATTGCAAGTGTTCCTCGAAGCTTCGCTTCAAGGTGGGCGACGCGGTTCTCGCGCAGGTGGGCGCCGCCGACAACGACGGCTACTGCCGCGGCACCGTCCGTAAGACGTGGGACTCGGGCAACCCGTACCAGATCGAACTTGAAGACGGTAAAAAGACAAAAGTGTGGGGACCCGTCGACGAAGACGAGTTCGTCAAAGCTTCGCTCAGCGCCACCGCGTAAATGTCGTTTTGTATGAAATCAAATCAAAATTTTGACCAGTCATGAACCTTCGTGTACACACTCCTCCTTTAGCGCGAACACACACGCATAGTATAGATACAAAAAGACAAGGTAAAACCCATCCAACGCACTCGCACCGGCTCGCCGGCTCGCCTCGTCCGACGCGCGCGCGCGTCCCGGCGTCGATCGCGCCGCGCGCCGTGGATAGCGTTCCTCGCGAAGATCGCGTCGCGCGGCGCGCCGTCGCGCGGTCGATCGTCGCGCGCGCCGCGTCCGCGCGCGCGAACGTCGCGCGCGTCGCGTCGCGCGCGAGAGAGACGCGCATCGCGCGCGCGCGCGTCGTCGGTCGCGGTGTGACGATTCGCTTCGACGAATCGAATCGTCAGAGCGCGACGCCGCGCCGCGCGGACGCGTCGACGCGCGGCGCGACGCGACGGCGACGCGCGCGGTCCTCCGCGGCGTTTCGCATGTGCGGCGCGTGCCGCGCGCGGCGCGCGAGCGCGAGAGAGACGACGACGCGCGCGGAATTCTGCGCGCCGTGTCGCGACGGCGCGAGAGCGACGACGACGCGCGCGACGCGCGTCGCGGACGGGGCGTCGTTCGACGTCGTCGTGTGCGGCGCGGGCGCGGCGGGGACGTCGTTCGCGCGGACGTACCTGGAGACGACGGCGCGGGGTGGCGACGGCGACGGCGACGGCGACGGCGACGGCGACGGCGCGCGCGGCGCGAGGCTGCTGCTGCTCGATCGCGGCGGATGCGCGAAGACGGTCGAGCGCGTGGAGCGCGTGACGCGGCGGGCGTCGGTGTACGGCGCGCGGGAGGACGCGCTGGGGGCGCTGGAGGCGCTGGGGGCGCGGACGGCGACGGCGAGCGTCGCGGCGTGCGACGCCGAGTCGAAGACGTTGACGCTGGACGACGGCGCGCGCGTGCGGTACGGCGCGCTGTGCGTCGCCACGGGGGCGACGCCGCGATGTCCACTGCCGGAGGCGAGCGATGGAGCGGTCGACGCGCACGAGGTGCGAGACGTGGAGAGCGCGGACGCGCTGGCGAGACGGTTGAGCTCGATGACGGCGACGGCGAGCGCGGATTCGGATTCAAAGACGAAACGGATCGCGATCGCGGGGAACGGAGGGATCGCGCTCGAGCTCGTCGACGCGCTATGTGTGCGAGGTTTGCGCGCGCGAGGGTTGGAGGCGTGTGAATTGGTGTGGTTGGTGAAACACGGCGAAGTCGGCGACGCCTTTTTCGACGTCGACGCCGCGGATTTCTTGCTGCGCGCGCTCGACGCGAGACGGCGAGACGGCGAGGCGAAAGACGACGACGGCGCGGACGTGGACTGGGACTCACCGACGCCCGAACGCGGTGCCGGACGATCGACGAAGAAGCGCGCGCGAGGGCGCGAATCAGGCGCCGCCGCCGGTCCGGATTGGCTCGACAGATTTAGAGCGAAGAGCGCGGCGGACGACGCGCGCGCGCCTCTCAGCCGCATGAAGCTTCGCGTGCTGAAAAATGTGTGCATACGCGAAGCGCGTAAAGACGCAAACACCGGCGTCAACGTATTGACGCTGAGCGATGGGACGACGATCGAGGTGGACGCCGTCGTCGCCGCCGCGGGCGTCGAGCCGAGATGCGATTGGCTCGACGAAGTCGCCGCGCCGAGGTCGAAATCAGACGGCGGTATACTCGTCGATGCGTGCATGCGCACCGTAGGACCGTACGGCGACTCAATATTTGCCGTCGGCGACGCGTGCACGATGTCGGCGCGCGCGTCGAACCCAGAGACGCCGTGGTTTCAAATGCGACTGTGGAGCCAGGCGGCGCAAACAGGCGCCTTCGCCGCGAAAGTCGCCGCGGGCGTCTGCGACGCCGACGCCCTCGGATTCAATTTCGAAATCTTTACCCACGTCACCAGGTTTTTCGGTCTCAAAGTCATCTTGCTCGGGCTGTACAACGCCCAGAAGCTCGACGACGTCCCGGCGAACGAGGTGACGACGTACCAGCGCGAGTCGCTCGCCGACGCGACGTACGTGCGCGTGCTCCTCGTCCGCGGTCGCATGATGGGCGCCGTGCTCGTCGGCGACACCGATCTCGAGGAAACTTTCGAAAACCTAATCTTAGACGGCGTCGATCTATCGCGTTTCGGTCCGAGTTTACTCGATCCCGAGCTCGACTTGGAGGATTATTTCGACTGACGCGACGCGCGAGACGAGCGAGAAACGAATGAAATCAAATGACAATCAACCCTAGACAACTACCACCGTCCGACGCCCGCGCTCAGTGCGGTTTCGGCACGAACCCGTCCACCGCGAAATTCCGCGTCGCGCGCGGTAAAATCACGACGCATCCCTCCAACGCTCCGCGCTCCAGCGTCACCTGACACCCCAACCTCGACGTCGCCGTCAACCCGTACGCCAAATCTAACATGTCGTTCTCGTCGTCGCACGCCTCCGGCAGCGTCTCGAACACTTTTTCGTCCTCGAACACGACGTGGCACGTGGAACACGCGAGCGAGCCCTCGCACGCGCCCTCGAGCTCGACGTCGTGCCGGTGCGCCGTCTCCAGCAGGTTCTCGCCAATCAATCCGCGCACCGCGCGTCGCTCACCGTCGCGCTCGACGAACGTCACCTCGATCGAGTTCTCGGGCGTGAGTTTCGTCTTTTTGTCCGCGCCGTGCGCGATCCGCGGCGACGCGGAGACGCCGCGAGCGACGTAAAGCTGGGCAGGTTTCTGGGACGCGCGCGGCGCGGCGTCCCGGGGACGCGACGCCGACGCGCGCGGGAGGGCGGTCGAGGCGAAACACGCGGTCGACGACGACGACGACGACGACGACGCGCATCGCGCGCTCGCGGCGGCGCACGCGCGCGCGAGACGGCGAAACATCGGCGCGGTGGGACCTCGCGAGGCGCGAAGTGAAGCCGAGGCGAAGACAAAGTTGAAAGTCGAATTGCAACGCGGCGGCGCCTCGCGGCGGCGCGAGGGCCCGCGCGCGACGTGTAAGTGTTAATGTTGGTTAATAGTCGGTGGATCATTCGTCGACGTCCAGGGCGCGCGCGCGGTTCGACGCCGCTCGGCCGAGGTTTTGTTCAAACAGACGCGAAGAGCGGCGCGAGCGCGACTTCGCCGCTCGCCCCCCCTGCGGACGAGGGCGTCGGGCGCGCGTAAAAGAATCATTCGTTCGGGTAAAGTTCCCTCTCAAACTCCTCCAAAGTTGCTAAATCGCTCGGTTTGAGCTTAATGCCCTTGTGTCCGCGCGGGTATCGGCGCTCCAGCGCCCGCATCGCGTCCTCCAATTTCCTCCGCTCGCTATACATCAGATACGCCACGGCGACGCTCGGCGCGCGCGAGTGCCCGCTCATGCAGTACACCAGCACCCTATTCGGCACCCCAGCCTCATCCGCGCGCTTCGCCTTGACGTGTAATTGCTCTAACTTCCTCACCGTCTCCCCTAAATCCAATTTCGTACCGTCATTCGCGTTTCGCGGCGCCGTGAAGACGTCTATTTGCCTAGAGCTACAGCACGGCGTGCACTGCGGCACGCTCTGTTCGTTCGCGCGCGTCGCGCCGTTCGTCAGTCACCGCGCTTCGCGCCCGCCGATCGCGTCCACCCATCCCACATCGTCCCCAAACCGTCGTCTCGCGCCTTCGATCTCGTCCCCTCCATTCGCGCTCGCCTCCTCCTCGTCTCTCCGCGCGCGTCCCGCTCGCGCGCGGGCCCCCCAAGTCCCGCGCCCTTCCCCGCGCTCCCGTCCCGTCGCCTCTCTCTTCCCGCGCTCGCGTCGTTCGCCCGCCGCGCTCGCCCGCTCGAAACGCACGTTCATCACCGTTCGTATCCCGCACGCCAGCAGCACGTCCTCCTTGCTCGTGTGTTCGAACGCGCCGAGGCACAAAAACTTGTCGATGACTTCGATGATTGGTTCGTCGTGCCCCAATCGCGGTCTCGGGAGGTCGTCGAGGTCGTCGTCGACGCGTCGGTGGTGGCCGCAGACGCCGCACGTCGTGCCCGGCGCGTGGTCGTGGCCGCACGCGCGGCACCAGGCGGCGCGCGGCGGCGGGGCGTCGTCGTCGCTGTCGACGACGTGCGGCATCGTGTGCGCGCGTGGGGGGGTCGGGGGCGATGCTTTGCGTGTGATTGTCGCGCATTCGGCGTGTCTAATACGGGGTTGAGGTGCGTATTGGGGGGGGCGTTCGCGTTGATTAGGTTAGGCGATTTTTGTGTCCGTGTTTTTATGGAGGTGATTGATTCTTTGGGTGCGCGCGTCCCGGATTCGGCGTGTACAATACGGGGTTTAGGTGCGTATTGCGGGGGACCGTGATCGGGCGATTTTTGTGTCCGTGTTTATATGTAGTCTCACACTGACCTCGGCGGTCGATCGCGCGCCGTCGTCGGTTCGAAACGCGCCGCAACGCCACGCGCGTCGCCATATCGCGCGATGCTCGACTTGATCGACCACGTCGATGAGCGCTCGGTGGAGTGCCTGAACGCGCTGACGGACGAGAGCTGGCGCAACGCGCTGTGGCCCGGACCGCGGGATCGGGCGTCGTCGACGCTCGTGAGCGACGACGACGAGGAGCTCATCCTGCGCGTGGAGTTCACGTCCAACGTGCGACCGCGCGCGGTGAAAATCGCGGGCGCGAGCGCGACGCACGCGCGCGAGGACGCGAGCGCGCCGCGGGTGGTGAAGATATTCGTGAACGCGCCGAGTCTGAGCTTTGAGAATGCGGCCAAGCGGCGCGCGGCGCAAGTCGTCGAGCTCGACGGCGACGACGAGGTCGAGCTCGACGTGACGGCGTTTGAGAACGTGCGCGTGATGACGTTTTACGTGGAGAGCAACGTGGGCGGGACGGCGCGGACGGAGATCGGGAGGATCGATATCAAGGGCGAGCTCTCGGGCGAGCTGCGAGACGTGTCGGAGCTCAAGCCGTGCTGAGGACGGTAGGATTCGTCGTCACCGACGATGGATCCGGCCCCGAACGATGCGGTTACGATACGACTGAATGTTTTTACGCGCGTCGGTGCCGGGCACCGACGGGAGCGGTGGATTTTTACCGGGTCAAGGCGTCGGCGGCGCTCGAAACGAATTCGAGCGCCGCCGACCCGCGTGACGACGCGCGGCGAAAGCTCGCACCTCGAGCCGCCGCGCGTCCGATTTTCCGGTTCAAAAATGCCATTCACGAATCAAACCAACATACTAGACTATAGCGTATAGCCTCGCGCTGTGTAATATAGAGCATGTGTACCCGACGCCGCGTCTGTACCCGACGCCGCGGCGCCGCATTGACCGACTCGCGCGCGCGCCGTCATGTCCTCCGCGCCCGCGCCGCCCGTGCGCGTCGGTCACGCGCTGAGTGGGATATTCGTCATCAACCTGCGCGGAGACGTGCTGCTGATGCGCGCGTACCGCGAAGACATCGAGCGACACGTGTTGGATGCATTTCGCACGCAGATCCTGAATCCGCGCGGTGGCGCGCGACGCGACGCGCGATCGACGCCTCGACGCGGACGCAAAGACGACGGATTCGCCACGGAAGCGCCGGTGCGAAGAATCGGGAGCGTGACGTACATGATGAAACGGTCGAGAGACGTGTACGTGGTGGGGATCGCGCGCGGGCAAGGCGAACGGGGCGGACCGGGCGACGCGAATTTAATGCTCGGATTCACGTTCCTGGGACACGTCGTGCGGCTGTGCAATCAATACTTTGGCGCGTGCGATGAAAACGCGATCCGTGGGAACTTTGTGCTGATGTACGAGCTGCTGGATGAGATTTGCGACGACGGGTATCCGCAGATAACCGCTGGGGAGACGCTGAAGACGTACATCACGCAGAAGGGTTCTAAACTTGAAGGTGCGATCGGAAAAGAGGCGATGGAACGGAGCGCGGCGGAGGACCAACGCCGGGCGATGGAGGCGGCGAAACAGGTGACGAGCGCGGTGCAATGGCGAAGAGAGGGGTTATCGTATAAGAAGAATGAAGTGTATTTGGACATCGTGGAGAGCGTGAATCTGATGATGAGCGCGGAAGGCACGGTATTGCGAGCGAACGTGCAGGGTTCGATTTACATGAGGACTTTTCTGAGTGGGATGCCAAACCTCAGCGTCGGGCTGAACGATCGCCTCGGGGAGACGACGCGCGTGACGTCGCGCGGCGAAGACGCCGAGACGAGCGCGGCTCGCGATCGAAGGCTGATCGACCTGGACGATTTACAGTTTCATCAGTGCGTGCGACTGGATAAATTTAGCGCGGAAAAAGTGATCGAGTTCACCCCGCCCGATGGCGAGTTCGAGCTCGTCAAGTATCGCGTGTCGGATAACATCACGCTTCCGTTCAAGCTCATGCCCGTAGTGAAGGAACTCGGTAGAACGCGTCTGGCCGTCACCGTCAACCTACGCTCGCTCTACGGTCCCACGACCGTGGCGAACGAAATTAAAGTGCGAATCCCCGTCCCCAAGCTCACCGCGCGGGCGACGATCAACGTGAGCGGGGGCAAGGCCAAGTACGTACCCGAGGAGGGCTGTCTTCGCTGGAAAATCAAAAAGTGCGCGGGTCACGAGGAATACCAGCTCGACGCCGAGGTCTTACTCGCCAACACGCTGGAGGACCACAAACCTTGGGTGCAACCGCCGATAAACATCGCGTTTCACGTCCCGATGTTCACCGCCTCGGGCTTGCGAGTGCGCTTTCTCGAAGTCAAGGAGGCGTCCAACTACGACGTCGTCAGGTGGGTGCGATACTTGTGCCAGAGCGGCGGTTCGTCGTCGTCGTCGTACGAGATTAGATGCGCGTGAAATGTCGGTTATAATTCACATCCCGCTTTAGCCATCCCGTCACCGCGCTGTTTTTATCGTCGCGAAGCTGTCGTCCCGCTCGCGTCTGGGACAGACTCCTCAGATACCGCCTCGCCGCCCGTCGTCTCGCCACCTCGCGCGGTACCGGCGTCACGCGATGTCCATGTTTACCACACGCGCGTCGAGCTTCGCCGTAGGCTTCGCCGTGGCTTCCGCGGGTGGCTTTTACGTCATCAAAGAGGAGATTCAGAAGAATCACGAGGCGTTGGCGCGTGAGTGTTCGACGCTGTGCGATCGCGTCAAGGCTCTCGAGGCGCGCGTGGGGAAGTAATAGCATAGCCGATGCCACCGCATCGTTGTAGTAGCGCACGGATATCACGTCGTGTATCTGACAAGTCACCGCGGTTCCACGGATGGCGTCGAGAGAAGCGTTTCGCGAAGCGTCGGAAACGCGTCGACGCACAGAGCGCGGTGCGTCGGCCAGGATAACCTCTGACACGCGGATGAACAGTAAATCTCGCTTTTGCATCGCGCGCAGCGTTTCGGCGACGTCGTCAGACGGAAACATCCCGCGCACGTCTTCGGCTTTCGAGGAAGCTGGGCAAGATCGAAGTGCCGCGCACAGAGCGCAGAGGCGGCACCGATGGCGCTCGCGATGTCTGCGTCGGTGTCTCGTTCGCGCGTGCCTAAAACGTCGCCTCTTTCGATCGGGTCGGGCCATGATCGATGTTTTCGGGGTGTGTCGATGCTCGCCGCGAGAAGCGCCTCGCCAGATTGGCCGTCATTGTCGACGATTTCCCTCACGACGCGGATGACATCGAACTCTTTCAAAACTTCGAGCGCCTCTGTCGCGTTGCGATGACACGCCCAGTGGTACGCCGTACGCCCGCGCGAATCGACAAGTGCGGTGAGTTTCGCCGGATCTTTCGCTCGTCGTAAAATCATTCGAGCCAGCGGCGCGTTGGAGTGCGCGCACGCGAGCATCAACAACGTTTGCCCGCTCGAACACCGCACTTCGTCGTCTCCGTCGTTCTCATGCGCATCGAGTGCGAATGTCATCAACTTCATGCGGCTCGCGAGCATCTCAGTGGCGCGTCCTGGTTGTCTGACGGCGTCGCGAGTCATGCTATCCGCGAGATAGTGCACGGGCAACCACCCGTGGGGTCTACAACGCACGTTCAAGTCGCCGCCGGCTGCGCACAGAGCTTCTACCGTTCGTAGCTCTACTCCGAATCCGAAAGCCGTGTGAAGCGCGAAATCGTCCACCCTGATACCCGGGGTTCGCAAGAGCGCTTCTACGATAGAATGCCGGCCGATCCTGCAAGCATGCTGAAGCACGCTGCCGTGCGCTCCCTTCGCGTTGACATCGGCGCCAAGGTGTATCAGAAACTCGACAAAATCCACATCTTGTCTACCATCGATCGCGTACATCAGCGGCGTCCTCTGAAGACTATCTCTGCGATTGACGACGCATCGCGCCGATTCGAACGGTTGCCGATTTCCGACGAACGCCGCGACGTGCGACGTCGATCGGTCGGCGTCCCCTACTTCATCCAATATACTTTCGATCCACGTCTCATTCCATCGATCTATATCCATCGCAAACGTTGCGTTCGCGATGCGTCGACGAACGGGCGACCCGATCGTTTTCTCGCCGTCGGCGAGTCGCATCAAGATGTCACATCGTTGCCATCGCGCCGCGCAATCCACTAAATGAATCTGCTTCGACGGCGTGTTCGCGGCCCTCACGACCGTCTCAACGATCATATCGGATGTTTTTGCGTCGCAGCACACGAGCATGGCGGCGGAAACACCGATGGGTGAGACTTTGAACGCGTCGCAACCGTTCGCGAGCAACCACAGCGTCGTGCTCGGCGAGGCGAAGGGAGAGAGCACAGAAACGGAAAGCGCATCAAGGCCATCCACGCACGCCAGCGCGGGATCGATCTTCCCTTCCAACGACAGCGCTATGACGTCGTCCAACTGGTCGTGATAAACCGCGATGAGGAAGATTTTATTGATGGACATCGAGAGGCGAGGCGAGGAGTGGAGGTTCGTTCTTCGTTTCGTACTACAGACTAAAGTTAAAGTGTAAAAAGCGTCGCCCTAGTTCATGCTCGCCATGCGAGCCGCCACGTCCGCCATCAAATCTCTTCGTTTCTTCAACCGATCGGTGGCGTCGTACACGATCGTCTCGCACCCGTTCTTATCGACAATCTTGACCAAATAATCCGTCGGCGCGGTGACCAAGCGCTCGCACACCTCGCCGACGCACAAATCCACCAAATCCATCGCCTGCGCCCTCGACATGTTCGGCACCCAGTGCTTATCGAACAACGACAAGCAAAACATCCCCCCGTACCCGTGTCCTCCGGTGTTCACCCGATGACACGTCGCCAAGTAATCCATAAAATGCAACTCGGGTTCGTTTTTCAATTTATCAAACCCCGCGAGCAAGCAGTTCACCTGATACGGTCCGCTCCTCAGCGCCTCCGCGAGTTCATTCCTCGCGTAATGCGCCGTCGCGCTCACGTCCAACTCGTGTCCATATTTCAACCGGTACAACCGCACGTTCGCGCGCAGGTACTCTCCGAACGCGACGCAGTCGCCCTTCGGTCCGCTCAGCGCCATGATCTTCGTCGAGTCCAGCTCCACGATCTTGTCCTCGTCCAGTTTTTGCACTATGATTTGCTGCGTCGCCGCGCGGTCGGCGACCAGCACGGCGAAGTCGTATCCCACGAATCCGAACACCACGTCCATCGCGCGTCGTCGTCGTTTCTATTCGTTGAATGAATGAATGAACGCTCGCGCGCGATCGATCTGTGATTCGCGACTTTAACCGTCTCCGCGCGCGCGCGATCGCGTCCCGCTCGACCGCGTCCCGCTCGACCGCGTCGCGCGCACCGTTCCGCGCTTTCGGCGCTCGCTCGCTCGACGCGCGGACTCGACGCGTCGACGTGTGCGGCGCCGAAAGCGCCAATCGTCAACGACGCGTCAACGACCGACGCGCGGCGACACTTCGCGTCGCGCGCTCGCGTCGCGCCGCTCTCGACATGTCCGCCGAGCGCAAGCGCTACGCCGTGGTGTGCGCGGCGAACTTTAACCGCTCCATGGAGGCGCACAAGGTGCTCGCCGAGCGCGGACTCGACGTCGCGAGTTTCGGCGCGGCGTCGCGCGTCAAGCTCCCGGGGGCGTCCCGGGACGACCCGAACGTGTACGATTTCGATTCGATCACGTACGAGGACATCGCGAGCGATCTGGAGCGACAACCGCGGGAGACGGTGGAGAATTACGAGGCGAGAGGGATGTTTGAGATGCTGCGGCGAAACGCGAAGATCAAACCGGCGCCGCAGCGATGGCAGACGCACAGCGATCGAGAGCGGTTCGACGTGGTCGTGTGCTTCGAGGAGAGGGTGTTCGATCTCGTGATGGAGGATCTGCGAGCGAAGGGAGGGGCGCGGGAGGGGGTGCTGGTGGTGAATTTGGACGTGCGAGACTCGCACGATTCGAGCGTGGACGCGGCGCCGAGGGCGTTGCGGTTGTGCGAGGCGTTGGAGGCGAGCGAGGATTGGGAGAGCGAGGTGGATGAGATCATGAATGCGTTCGAAGAGGCGGAGGGGATGCGACCGTTGTACGGCGTGTGTTATTATTGATGGATGATTGTACAGCGCGCCGGCGACGCGCTCGTATTTTACAACTCGCTAACGCAAAAGGGTGTAGATGACGCTGTCGCACACCTCTTGACGCGCTTTCGGGGACGAAATAGGTTCACCGTTGAAATCGGTGAGTAAAAATCTGTGCACTTCATCTTGGATGAAGTTCTCGACCGTGCGCGGGTCGATCAAAATATCCGCCTTGAAAACCATGACGTTGAGCGCTTGCAGCGCCTCGGTGACGTCGAGCAACACGCGAGGTCGGGTGTGGCCGGAGATATCCAGCGGCGCGACGACTCGAAGCTCGCTCGTCATGCTCTCGCCTTTGTGACACAGCATCTCGACCTTGAGCGGACGATCGACGTGTTCCTTGTACTTGGCGCAGAGGTATTCCATTTGCTCTTCGTTTTCGATGTTTCGCGTGAACAGGGCGACTTCGCAAATGGAGTCGTCGACGATTTCAATCTTGGCGTAGCTCACGGAGACTTTCAAATCCTTCGACACGCGCAAGCAATCGTACAACAAGCCTTGCCTGTCTCGAGTGCGGATTTGAAACACCGTGTGCGCGGGACTCATGAGGTTATCCACCTCCACGGTTGTTTCGTAATCGAACACCGGCGGTTTGGCTTCGGTGACGATCATCCCGGACGACTCGCGCAAGGTTTTCGTGCGACCTTGTCGAGTGACGAACGACGGCGCGGGGTGAACCAATATATTGACCCGATTCAACGCCTCGGGCGTTCGCGCGACGACGGGTTTGACGCGTCGGGAAATATCGCCGACGCGCGACGGATTCGGCAGCTCGTGTAAATCATCCGTCACGTAGAATAGATCCACCGCCTTGCCGCACGGCGCCGTCGTGACGTGCGCGCGATGCACGGTGAGCTGAAGCTCCCACAACGCGAGCGTGACGTCGTGCAACAGCCCCACGCGATCGTGCGCCTCGACTTGTAAAATATACAGACTCTGATTCGCGTGCATCTGCTCCAACATCTCAAACGACTCGACGGATGGAATCGTGCTAATCGTGCTCTTGTGCGGACACAGCAACTCTAACCGCTGCCTCAGCAGCTCCCAATCCACGACGCACGTCCGAGGCGCTATGGACTCCTCGAGCTCGGCCAACGCCGCGTTCCCGCCGTGCGCGCTCCCCTCGAACCGTCGCAATTTCGGCGAACTCATCGACGCCGGCATCGGCGACCCCGTCGCCGCCGCGCGCTCCCGACCCAGCCCCCGGTCCACGCTCGCCCCCCTATCCCCACTCCCACTCACCCCACCGTCTTTCGCGCGCCCATCTCGCCCGCGCGCCCCTAACCAAGCCTTCCTCGCGACGTCGCCGACGCGTCTCGCGATTTCTCCCGCTCGCCTCGCGACTCGCCTCGCCACTCCTCCGACCCCCGTTTCCTCGCTCGCCGCGCCCGCGCCCGCGCCCGCGCCCTCGCGCGCCGCGTTCTCATCCATCAGCGATCCGTGGCTCACGCCTCGATCGAGCGCGCCCGCGCGCACCGTGAGCAACACCAGCGCCCACACGCCGTCCGTCGTAAAGTCGCCGCGCGTCACCACGAGCCCGAATTCAAACACCACCCTGCAGATGTCCGCCCCGAGCCCCGTCTTGTCCGGGCACGTCACTCGAAACTCCGCGCACGGCACCGCGTCCGCGCCGTCGTCCAGCGCGGCGTACGCGACGCACCGCTCGTCGTCCGCCGCGTCGTCGGCGATCGTCGCCGCGCGCGCGCGCGCCGACGCGTCGCGCGCGCGCGGCGCGGACGGCGCGCGCGACATGCCGGCGACGCGACGAACCGCGGGCGCGACGCTCGACCGACGCGTCGGCGCGCGCGCGACGCCCCTCGAGCGCGCGCGGCGCGTCGATGAGTGACGCATCGCGATGGCGAATCGCGATCGCGAATCGCGTCGCCACAGCGCGATGCGCGCGGTCGCGCGGTCGCTCCTGCTCTGGCTGACGCTCGCGCCGACCCTGGCGCGCGCGTCGGCGCACGCGTACGCGCGCGACTCGCTGTACGCGACGAACGACGCGGCGATCCTCGTCGCGGGCGCGGAGGGCGTCTTCGCGTCGCGCGTGCGCCTCGAGCGCGAGACGACGGACGTCCGAAAGCGATGGCTCGGCGCGAATCCGCGCGTCGCGGACGGGCGCGCGTACGTCCGACTGGACGCGCTGACGTTCGAGCGGCCGCGGGAGACGGCGCGGGCGAGGGGCGCGACGGGGGGGGCGAGCGGCTTGGTCGAGGCGGCGACGTTTAAACGCGAGGACGTCGATCGGATCGGCGTGTGGGACGACGAGGCGGGCGCGAGGAAGTTTTGTTGCACGGGTGACATGGCGAAGCGAGGGCTGTGCGAGAAGGGAGAGGTGGGACGATTGGTGGTGCGAGGGCGGGGCGACGGCGGCGCGACGGCGCCGTGGAAGACGGAGATTTGGTTCGAGGGCGACGACGTCGAGGCGAGGAGCGATGTGCAGGCGGTGAGCGTGCGGGAGACGGGGATGTATTACATGTGGTTCGTGGTGTGCGATCCGGAGCACGCGGGGGTGACGGTGAGCGGGAGGACGCTTTGGAAGAATCCGGATGGATATCTGCCGGGGGCGAAGACGGCGCTGTTGCCGTTTTACGGCTTCGCGGCGATGGCGTACCTCGGGTTGGGGTTCGCGTGGGCGATGGCGTACGTGGGGAATTGGCGACACGTTTTAGAGCTGCATAATTGCATCACCGTCGTGCTGGCGCTGTCGATGTGCGAGACGGCGGTGTGGTATTTCGATTACGCCAACTGGAACGCCACGGGCTATCGCCCGTACGTGTTCACCGTGGTCGCCGTCTTGCTCGGCAGTCTTCGCACGACGCTCAGTCGCACGCTCGTGCTCATGATGTCCATGGGGTACGGCGTCGTTCGCCCCACCCTCGGCGGGTTGAACGCCAAAGTGGTGTCGTTGAGCGTTTGCTATCTCTTCTCCACCGCCGTCAAGGACGTCGTCGAGCACGTCGGATCGGTGGATGACTTGAAACCCGGCGCGAGGTTGTTTTTGGTGCTGCCGGTGTCGGTGTTTGATTCCGTGTTCTTGATTTGGATCTTCAACTCGCTGTCGAGGACGCTCACGCAGCTCGTGTTGAGACAACAAAAGCAAAAGCTGTCGCTCTACCGCGCGTTCACCAATCTCTTGGCGGCGAACGTCGTGCTCTCGGTCGGTTGGCTCGCGTACGAGATGTGGTTCAAGAGCACGGACATGATTGAAGAGAAGTGGGAGTCGGTGTGGATGTTGACTGCGTTTTGGCAAGCGTTATCCTTCGGTTTACTCGCCGGCATTTGCTTTTTATGGCGCCCCGCGAGCGAGTCGACGCAGTACGCCTACAGCGAGCTCGCGAACGACATCTCCGAAGACGCGTGGTGGGGCGAGCTCATCACCAACGACGACATCGAGCAATTCGCGGGGTCGTCGAAAATGTCCAAGTCACCGCGCGTGATGAATAGTGCGAAGAAGACGCGAGCGATGAACGACTTTTCGCTCGACGCCGACGACGACTCGGCGGCGGAAATCGAAATGGAAATGGGAAAGATTGACTGATTGATTGAATCGATCGACGCACGCGTCCTTCGCTTCAACGCTGTAATTTGAATTGACACGCAATCGCGCGCTCTCTATTTGCTAAACGGCAATCACCGTACTTTACTTGCGTCCGCCCTTTCGCGACGCCCCGCGCGCGTCCGAGAGCGCCTGCAGCGTCTCGTCAAAGTGCCCGAGCGCCTCTTCGCGTTTCACCGGCGGCGGCGAATCCGGTTCGTCGGTGAATACTTTTGACTTGTTCGCGCGCGCCTTGAACGGCGAAAACAAACCTCCGCGCTCCTTCGCGGACGCCGACGGCGGCGGCGGCTCCGCGGCTTTGGTCTTGATCGCCCTCGGCGCCTTCGGCGTCTTCGGCGCCGTTTTCTCCCTATCCGGCGCGTACGCCTCCGGCAGCCGACACAACCGACACACGCTGGTGCGAACCTGAATATCGCTCCCGTCCTCCCCCCGCTCTATCGCCGCCGCCCTCGCGTCCGCCGCGATCGCCCGCTCCGCGACGATGTACTCGTACGTCGACATCCGCCTCCAACACAGCGTCGCGTGAAACGCGAACAACTCCCCCACCACGTACAACAGCCCCATCCCGAGCGCCACGTACGCGCACACTCCCACGATCAACGACGCGTGCGTCACCCCGTTCCCCGCGTACCGCGCCCGCTCGTTCACGTACCTCTTCGCCTCGTCTCCGTTCGCCGCCAACCACGCCGCGAGACACGCGCCGCACGCCGTCTGCCCCCCGATCTGCACCGTCGCGCTCGTCACCAGCGCCAAGAACGCCCCGTAATTCCGTCCACCGACGCAATTATTCAACCACTTGCAGTGATGATCGAAATCGTCCACGCACTTATCGCAGTCCCGGCAGTGCTTCGCGCGTCGCCCGACGCTCGCGTCGCAGCGCCCGCAATACAGCGCCGCGTCGTCCGTCGCGCGCGCGCCCGGGTCGATCGCCGTCGCGCGCGCGAACGCGCACGTCACGAACGCGCACGCGCACGCGTACGCGATGATCGCGCCGCGTCGCGAGCGCGCGTCGGCGATCGACGGCGCGAGCAGCAGGTAAAATCCGAGCGCTTCGCACGTCCACACGACGATCGCCGTCGTTTGGTGCGCGTTGAGCGCCGCGCGCCCGCGCGCGTCGACGAATCCGTTGCGCCGCGTCGGCGGCATCGTTCGTCCGCGCCCGCGCGCGATCGAGCGCGGTTCGGGCTTCGCGCGGCGTCGATGAGTGTCGAAAACGACCCGCGCGGATTACCATTCGCCGCAGAAATCGCCGCGAATTCGCGATGCGCGCGCCCGCGTCGGCGCTCGCGACGACGGAGACGCGAGACGACGCGTTGGCGCTCGCGATCGCGGACGCGTCGAACGCGCCGGACGATCGCGCGCGGCGGGAGGCGGACGCGAAGGTGCTGGAACTGAAGCTCGGCGCGATTCGCGACGACGTCAGGGCGTCGACGCTCGGCCGCGACGTGCAGGGCTCGCAGGCGGGCGCGGGGTCGGGGGAGTTTCACAAGTATCGCGAGCGGCGACGGCGCGAGCGCGCGCGGTTGGAGGCGATGGAGGCGGCGGACGCGGCGCGGGTCGAAGCGGAGGCGCGCGCGCGGCGAGCGGCGGCGGCGAGCGAGGCGAGCGAGGCGAAGACGGCGAAGAACAGGGCGAAGCGAGCGAAGGCGAAGGCGAAGCGAGCGGCGAAACGGCGACGGGGGGGAGGGGGGGCGACGATCGGGGAGGCGAAGGCGGACGAGGAGGAGGAGGAGGAGGAGGCGGAGGCGACGGCGACGGCGCTCGATTGACGGGACGCGCGCGATCGGTGGGCGCGCGAATCGGTGGGCGCGCGAATTATAATACAATCTCGTGATGGGTTCGGCGGTGGCGTCACGCGGCCGGGGTGGTGGTGGTGGTTGTGGGGTCTCGCGCGTCGTCCGCGGAGGCGTCGTCGGCGTCGGTTTTCGACGCCTCGGTCTTCGTGTCGGCGAAGACGCCGGCGAACTTGTCCGCGATCGCTTGTTCCATCTCCATGCGCTCGGGCGAGCCTTTGTTGATGATGGCGTTCACGAAATCCTCGGGATCGACCTTGAGCAGCTGGAACGCGAACAGGATCAGTAACGGCAAATCGCTTCCCGTGGCGAGCGTCGCGCCGAACGCGACGAAGCCGACGATGAGATTGACGCGCTTCTTCCTCTTCTCCTTGGCGATTTGTTCGGGCGTCTTGTTTTTATCCTCCTCGCTCGTCTCCGCGATCGGCGCGTCGTCGAGCGTGTTCGTCCACGCGCGCGCTATGGCGCGCGGGAGCAAACACGCCGGCGCGACGTAAAACACGTACGCCATCGCCATCGCGAACGGGCCCAAGATGAATCCGACCGCGCCACCGCCGCGAAGCGCGCCGAGCGCCTTGGTCAACGTCGTCGACGTAGACAGCAGCAGCGTCGCCAATCCGACGACGCCGAACACGACCACGCACGCGCGCCGCGCCGTTTTGAAAATCTTCCCTCGGCGTCCGCCGAGCCATCGCAGCGCCATCAAAATCGGCGCCGTCATCACCCACCAACTGCTCCCTTCGCCGCCGTACGCCCCCGCGGGGACGAGCAACATGTAACCGACGTGAAAATCTAACCACGCGCTCCGACACGCGCGATTAAACGCGAACGGTCGATGCTCCCCTTCGTGCCTCGGCGACGTCTTGTTCTCGTACCACCACCGCCGCAGCGCGTACAGCGCGCCGAACGTCGGCAGCACCACGAGCAACAGCCACTGCGCGCCGATGATCGGCGCCTCCCTCGATTCCCTGAGCATCGCTCCCGTGTAGAACAGCAGCACGGCGGTGAGCGGGTTCAGCCGACCGAAGAACGTCGGCACCGCGTCGAGCGCGCGCGGATACAGCGCGTCGCTCAGCGGCGCGATGGTGTCCTCGAGCTCCGGGCGCGCGTCCTCGCCGTCGCGCGCCGCCGGGTCCTCCGACGACGCCGTCGCGCGCCGCCGCGTCGACGGACGCTCGCGTCGCGCGCGGGACGCCGCGGGGCGCGCGCGCGGCGACGCATCGCATCCGACCGCGGCGCGCGCGTCGGCGAACGATCGCGCGCCGCGACGTCCCGCGGACGCCTCGACGCGCGATGACGCGCGTTTGAGACGCGCGCGATGCCCGCGATCGATCGCGCGCGGCGCGAGGGCGCGCGCGGCGAACGCACGCATCGCGGCGCGCGCGCGAGTGAGGACGGGACGCGGAAAATATCTTTCGGGACGCGCCGACGCGGGCTTCGCGAGACGCGCGAGGGCGAGTCGCCGCGCCGCCGCGCCGCCGCGACGGGATTTCGATGGAAATAAATAGTGATGGATTAAACGCGGGTCGAACGCGCGTGGGCGCGAGCGAGGGACTGGCGCGAGAGAGACGCGCGGTCGGTCGGTCGGCGACTACAAGCCGTCGAACGCGGGCGTCTCCGCGCCTTCGGGGAACAACATCGCGAGCTTGACCGCGCCGAGATCGTTGACGACCTTGCTCGCGCCTTCGCCCATGAAATCGGCGCCGATGTTGCTGCCGCACGGGGTGATGAGACAGGCCATGTCGGCGCCGACGGCGGCGCGCAAGCCGACGATGGAATCTTCCACGACGAGGCACTTGCTCGCGGGCAAGCCAACCTTGTCTCTGGCGAGGTTGTAGATCAAGGGATCGGGCTTCTTGCGCGTGACGTCGTCACCAGCCATGAGCACGTCGAGCTTGCTCAAACGCTCGACGCCGACGACGGAGTTGACAACCTTTTCGAAGCCCGCCTTGGTCGCCGCGCTGCAAATCCCCACCGCGATGGAGGGATCGGCGATCGCCTCGTCCATGAGCGCGAGCACCCCAGGTCGCGCCACAGCCACTTCTTCGACGATCTTTTTATAAATTTCCGTCTTCTTGTCCTGCAACGCGTCGATGAGCGCGTCTCGATCCGCGTCGCTCGACGGCGCCTCCGCGAACATCGTCGACGTCGGCCACGCCTTTTTATCCTCGTTAAAATGCCATCGCATCTTCGGCTTCCCCCCGCCCACGGTATTTTGCAGCACGTCGTAATATTTCACCACCCACTCCACGCCCTCGCCGTCGATTTTCAAATCAAACGCCTCGAACGCGCCGTTGTACGCCAACCGGTGCAGCTCCTCCGTCTCCACGATGACGCCGTCGCAATCAAACAAAAGCGCGAATCGCGCGTTCTTCGTGTTCGATCCCGCGTTCGCGCGCGTCGTCGTCGCGCGTCGCGTCGTCTTCGTCGTCTTCTTCGCCGCCGTCGTCCTCGCGCCGCGTTCAACGCGCGTCGACGTCGTCATCGCCGTCATCGCCATCGAATCCGTCCCTCTTATCGATGACGCGTCTTTTTCGTCGTCGCGCCGGCGTCGCGCGTTCGCGCGTCCGAAACGCCGCCCGAGCGCGTTCGACGCGCGTCCGCTCGCGAATCCGAGAGCGCGTCGCCGTCGTCGCGTCCGCGTCGCGGTGTGCGCGTCCCGAATCGCGCCGTCCCAGGCCCCTCTTCGTCGCACTTCGCCGCGCGACGCGAATGCGCGCGTCGCGCGGCGACGACGCGCCGGCGCTCCCGGGACGCGCGGTCGCGGTGGACGAAGACAAAAAATCGATCGACAACGACGCGAACAAGCGCGCCGTCAAGCGCTACCGCGATCGTCAGCGCGACGCGAAGATGAAGTTGGAATCCGAAAACGCGGCGCTGCGAGTGGAGACGACGCGGTTGGCGACGGAGCTCGCGCACGCGCGATGGGTGCTCGACGCGGTGGCGTCGCGGTGCGGGATGAAGCGACGCGCGACGGGGCGCGACGCGGACGCGGCGCTGCGCCGAAGCGTCGCGCGCGTGATCCACGGCGCGGGGTGCCCGCTGGGACATCAGGGGCGGGACAGGCCGTTTCGATTGGACGCGACGGAGGCGAGGCGACGCGAGGACGAGGACGAGGACGAGTTGGCGGCGTTTTTGAAGGAGTTTTTGGTGCACGAGGACGGGAAGTGTCCGTGCCCGGGGCGCGCGCGCGATGGGGGCGAGTAGAGGATAGTTGTGTTGTATGAATAGTGATGTGGCGTGACGAACGGATGCGTGTGATCTGCTGCCCCTCAACCGGTCTCTTGAGTCCGTACTGTAGCGCGGAAATTTAGTAATTCAGAATGAATTAACTGTCTCAACGCCTGATGCGTTCAGCGTTCCACTGCTAAGCGTATCTCTACCTGATGGGGTCCGAGGCCTCGAAGTCCTAGGCCGAAGGAGATTGAAGGCAATTCGCGTGCGATTCGTGAAAGCAAATGTGCGTCTTATAAACAACCCCGTCGGTAAGGGACGGGTCTAACAAGTGACGCGCGCAAAGGAGCAGTTGCGCGTGTCGTCGCTTTATTTGCTGACATTTTTTATATAGCGTAATTGGAGGTATTCTAGTACCTCAGAGTTCATATAAGGACGATGCGTATACCTATTTACCATAGAAATGGCTAAGGCCCTTTCGTCAGCGTGCGCGACGACGCGCGCCGCGGCGTTACTAGTGCGCGTGCTCGACGCCGAGTTGCGCGAGCGCGATGACGAGAACGCCGGCGGTGTAACACACGAACTTGTAAATGCGCATGCCGCGCGCGGGCGCTTCGTGCACGGTGTGCGTGTGCGGAGCGAGTTTATGGTCGTGACCGTGCTCGTCTTCGCACGATTGCGTTTGCGTCTCGAACTCGTCGCCGATGACTTCCACGGTACCGACGTAAATGAACGTACCGGCGGCGATGCCCTCGAGGACGGCGGAGACGGCTGGGCTGTGTGCGCTTTCCGCCGCGCACCCGATCAAGATCCCGATCGGGGTTATGAACGAAAACGCCGTCATGAAAATGAAGAGCGTCTGCGGATTCGTCATGCCGCAGCGCAAAAACGCGCACCCGATGCTGAACGCGGCCGCGGCTTTGTGCGACGCGATGGCGGTGAAAATCGCGTACACACTGTTTCGATCGCTTTGAAGCCCGAGGGAGACACCCGCGAGAGAGGCGTGCAACGCGACGCCCGCCATGAAGAGCAAAGCCGTTCTCGTCTGCGCGAAGATGGACACGTGACGACCCTTCTCGTCGTGCGCGCACGTGTCGCACGCGTCGGTCGACGCCTTGTCCACGACGACGACGACGGCCGCATCGACGTGATGTTCTTTACTTTGTCCGTGTCCGTGTCCGTGTCCGTGGCCGTGCTCTCCGTCGCCCTCGCTCTCCGTCACGTGCGAGTGCGTGTGAAACACGACGCGTTCGACGAAGAACGCGATGAGAAATCCCAGCATGACCATGACCATGGCGAAAGGATACTCCTTCGCCGTACCGATGCGTGCCTCCGTCGCGCTCTCGAGCGCGTGCGGGACGAGGTGCACGAACCCAGACGCGAGAAACAATCCCCCGCTGAACGCGTTCATAAACTCCAACGCGCTCTGCATCTTCGGCAGCGTTCTCACGAACAGCGACGGCAACATTCCTCCCGCCAAACCTTCAAAAAACACAGCCACCATGAGACCCATCTTGAGTTTGAAATGCTTCAACCCACCCGTCGCCGCCGCCGCGCTTTCCGCCTCGCTCGCGATGAACGTGCACGTCGACTCGCTCAGGCACCGCGCCGCCAAACTCAGCGCCGAGAGCAACTCGGTCTCGTTCAACTTTTGATCCGCGCCCGCGTACGTCGTGATCACGTCCGCCGACGACACGTTCGTCAGCGTCTCCTCCGCGCTCGCGTGCGCGTGTCCAGCGCTCGCGTGCGCGTGTCCAGCGTGCGAATCCGCGCCCGCGCCCGCGCCGCTCGTCCTCGCCGCGAACCGCTCGAACAATTCGCTCAGCTCGTGAGCGTCCATCGTCGCGTCGTCGTTGTCGTCGTTGTACGTCTCCAAGATGTGATCCACCGGCGTCTCGTCGCCTCTCGCGACGCGCGCCATCGCGCACGCGCACGCGCACACCGTCAGCGCCGTCGCGAATCGCGCGCGCGCCCGTCGACACCGCCGCCGGTCGTTCGCCGTCATCTTGTCTCGCGCCGTCGCGAATCGCGCGCGCGTCGAGTCCCGGTCTCGACGCCCGCGCCCGGTTCGCCCCGGTTCGAGCGCGCGCGAACGAGCCGAAGAGGCGTCGCGAAGTGCGGCGATGCGCGCGCGTCGTGCACGTGTCGACGATTCGCGTCGTGCACGTGTCGAGGATCGTCGTACGCGACGCCCCGCGAAGCCCATCACGGATCGCGTCGCGACGCGCGTCGTAAACATGTCGACACGCATGTCGACATATTTACCCACGCGCGTGTACGCATTGAACCCCGTGATGCATCTATATACGAAAAACGTCTCGACGCACATGTCGACATATTTACCCCACGCGCGTGTACGCATTGAACCCCGTGATGCATCTATATACGAAACAGATAAATGCACGAAATACACGGTGGTAAACAGACCCCGAATGCGATGCGCACGGACGTTCGAGCGCGCAAAAAGCGCGATCGAGCGAGCGATCCGATCCGCGCGCGATCGCTCGCTCGATCGCGCGCGTCGCCACACGCCGACGACGCGCGCGCACTCGCGATGTTCAAGACGAAAGCCCCCGCGCCGAAGACGGCGGTGAAGAAATCCGCGCCGGCGAAGAAGGCGCCGGCGAAGAAGGCGCCGGCGAAGAAGGTCGCGGCGAAGAAGGCGCCCGTTCGCAAGGCGGGCGACGACGAGGTGCGACGCGAACGACGACGATCGCGACGACCGGGCGCGCGCGACGACGCGATGGCGCGCGCGACGACGCGATTGAATGGGAAGAATATTCGCGGCGCGCGTCGGGCGGGGACGGCGCGACGCGCGGCGGGAGGGGAGACGGGAAGGCGATGGATGCGCGGACGGGGACGATATCCTGGAGATATGGTTTGACGCGCGCGACGCGGGCGCGAGACGCGAGGGCGGCGCGCGGCGCGAGACGGTCGCGAACGATCGAGAGGGAGAGAAATCGTGGACGCGCGCGCGGTGCGGGACGGATCGGCGGGTCGACGCGCGCGGTGGGCGACGCGGGAGGGCGCGACGCGAAGACGACGAGACGACGCGAGACGGAGGACTGACGGCGAACGCTCGCGTTCTCGCGCGATAGCTCTGGCGTCCGGGTGCCGTGCGACCGGCGTGGTTGGATGGCTCTCTCCCGGGTGACCGTGGATTCGATCCGTTCAACTTGTCCAAGTGCGTGTGGCGACGTGACGCGATGCGACGCGAGCGCGCGAGACGCGTCGACGAATCGCAGACTGACGGCGTTTGTTTCGCAGGCCGATTGAATACGTTCAATTCGATCTTGACGCTCTCGATGGCTCCGCCGCGACGAACCCGGCGGGTCGGGTGATCGGTAAGCTCAAGAAGACCGACAACAAGCCGAAGGCGCGCGCGATCGTGCCGTACGACGAGTCCTTCGACATCATGCGCTTCCGCGAGTGCGAACTCTTGCACTCTCGCTGGGCCATGCTCGGCTTGGTCGGCGCCACCGCCGCGGAAGCCGCCACGGGTATCTCCTGGGCCGACGCCGGTAAGGTTGAACTTGAACAACCGCAATACCTCGGCTTCCCGCTCCCGGGCTTGTCCGTCGCCTCCTTGACGGCGATTGAAGTGCTCGCGATGGGTTACCTCGAAGTCGCCCGCTCGGCGGAGCTCGACCAAAACAAGCGCATGTACCCGGGCGGCGCGTTCGACCCGCTCGGCTACGTCGCCAACGCCGACGCCGAGGAGGAATTCCGCCTCAAGACGGCTGAACTCAAGCACGGTCGCTTGGCAATGGTGGGCATGTTGATCATCTCCATCGAAGCCGCGGCCGGCCACGGCGTGCTTCCGTAAGCGAGCGATGTGAGCTGTTGAACATCGAAGCGCGCGACGATTCAAATCCGCCGAAACTCGCGAGGGTCGACGCCGATCGCGACGCCGCGCGCGTCAATTAGCGAATCATCATCATTTACCTTAGCACCTTCGTCATGTATCGCAGGAAGACGCACGATTAATCGCTCGACGCTTTCGCTCGTCGCGCGCGCAAACCTCGTCGTCGCGCGAGCTAACCCTCGGCGCGCACGCCCCGCACACCCGCGCGACGCACCATGCTCGCGCGCGCGTGCGGCTTCCCCCGAGCGAGCGCGCGATTCTGTCACCGCGCGTCCGCGTCGTCCTCGCGCGCGTCGCGCGCGCGCGCGCGCGTCGGCGTCGCCGTTTCCGCGCGCGTCGTGGCGAACGACCGCGAACGACGCGCGTCTTTCGACGCCGATGACGCCTCGCGCGACGGCGCGCGCGCGACGCGACGGCGCTCGAACGAACGACCGCGACGACGCGCCGTCGCGCGCGCGGCGAGCGGGACGGACGACGAGCCACCGGCGCCGCTGTACGTCAAGATACCGCTGGGCTTCGCGTACGCGGCGCTCACGTACGCGGCGGCGTGCAACGCCTTCATGTGGACGCTCGATCTGAGCGCGCCGATCATCGAGGGACCGACGAGCTTGGTGGTTGGACGACTGTGCGTCGCCCTCGGGGCGACGCTGCTCGCGGGATTGAACTTTTGGCCGCAGGCGGAGAAACAGTTGGGACGGTGCGCGCGAACGTTCGCGTCGAAGGAATCGAGCGAACGATTAAAGGCGGACGCCGCGAAGTTCGCCGCCATGGTCGCGATGAAGATGGGGTTTGAGTTTTACGCGTATTGGAAGGCGCTGACGTCGTTCACGCCGTGCAGTCAATCGCTCGAGTTGCCGGCGTGGTACGGGTTGGCGTTCGTCGGGCACGCGACCTTCGTCGCCGCGAGCTCAAAGATTCTCGGCCCGGGCGGCGCGTCCACGGAGGACGTGCCGTTACAGATGCGCAAACTCATCGGCGGGTTCGATGTTTTGCTGGCGTTGGCGTGCGTGGGGACGAGTAAGCTCGCGATGGCTGGGTACGGCGTTCCGAGCGCGGCGCTCGGTTTCGTCTTCATGCTCGCCGCGACGTACTTTACGTTTGAAAACAAGCTCCCATCCAAAAAGACGCCGAGTTCCGGCGCCGCGGCGTGACGCCCTTCGCGAATCTATTCGCGCCTCGAACACGTAGCACACCATTGTTAGAACACCCGAGACGATCGTCTTCTCGCGCGTCTCGCCCGCGTCGCCGCACTCGCGCGCTCGCCCTCGCGTCGCCCCCATGCGCGTCCCCAGCGCCGCGAAAAACATTCGCAACGCCGCCGCCCGGCTTCTCAGCGCCGAACCACCGCCTTCGGTCGCGTCCTCGGTCGTCGATCCGTTCGCGCTCCCTCCCGTGGACGTCGCCTACGACGTCGAGAGCGCCGAGCGCGCGCTCGCCCTGCGCGGCTTCGCGCCCTCCGCGGCGCCCGGAGCGCCGCGTTTCATCGGTTTCGACGTCGAGACGAAGCCGAATTTCACGAAAAACGTCGCCAACGTCAACGCGCCGGCGCTGGTGCAGCTGGCGAACGAGCGCGGGTGCGTGCTGGTGCACCTGGCGAGCATGCGCGGGGAGACGCCGCCGACGCTGCGAGCGCTGTGCGAGGACGCGGGGTCGATATTCGTCGGGAACGGGGTGTGGTCGGACATGCGGGACGTCGACTGGGCGTTCGGGACGAAATCGCGAGGGTACGTCGACGTGGGGGTGATCGCGCAGACGTTTGGACACTCGAGACACGGGTTGAAGGCGATGAGCGCGAGATACGGATACGACGCCGAAAAGCCGAAATCCGTGCAGACGTCGAATTGGGAAAAAAGCCCCCTGGAGGCGAAGCAGATCGATTACGGGGCGAAGGACGCGGCGTTGGGGTTGTGGGTGCTGAAACAGTTGTACGCGGAGTACGCGGGAGGGGAGGTGTCGCTCGAGGATTGGGCGATGGCGTTTGGAAACGCGTCGCAGCCGAAGGAGGCGTTTCGGTCGGCGCGAGCGAACGCGAAGACGACGCCGGAGTGCGTGATGAAGGCGTTCGAGAGATTCGATCAGAAGAATCGAGAGTTGGTGAAAGAGGCGTGGTTGGTTCGTCAGATGAAAAAGGCCCAGCGCGTCGTGAAACAGATGGCGGAGGGCGCGTTGCATCCGGTGAGCGCGACGCACGCGTTGATGGATATTTTGCATGCGCCCAAGTCGAAGCGCAAAGTCGTCGAGTGGGTGGGAAGTGGTAGTAAAGGTGGCGGACTGTTCGAGATCGAGCTCAAACTGGGCTCGTCCGTGCGCGCGCGCGGTGAAGGGCGCACGGTGAAGGCGGCGAAATTCGAAGCCGCTCGAGGCGCGTTCGCCGCCTTAAAAGACGGGGACGCCGCCGACGCGACGATTTGGATCAAGCGCGAGTTAGAGCACGCTTGGTCGCAGTAGAAGTGTTGTAGTGGCATTTTGTACAAAACTATTGAAACTATTGGATGAACGCGTTACACCAGTGAGTTTCCATCCGGGCGACCGTACATCATCGGCGCGTTCGGCGTTTGGAACACGACGCCCGGATCCGACCGGGCGGTCGGCGGCGGACGCTGCGCTCGCTGCGCCGCCGCCACCGCGACGTCGGGCGCCCTCGTCTTTTCCGTGACCTCGTCGTAGATGGCGACAATTTCGGGCTTGGTGATCATGTTCTCGTCCTTGTCTCGGGCGTAGCAAATGAACACGGCGTCGATGCACGTCAAGAGGACGGAGAACAAAAATGACAAAATCACAATCGAAGAGACGCCCGCGCACGCGCCGACAATTGCACCGACGTTGTGAGCCAAATCATCGTCACCGGTTGATACTTGCACACCTACGTGCACGGAAATCCCCACGACGACGCCGTAGAAGATGGCGAAGAAGAGCGCGGTCATGTTCAAAATCATCTCCGGTAACCACCACACGCGCAGGGCGCTCAAAAAGTTATCCTTCAGCAATCGCGTGACTTCGCGACCGGATTCCAACAACGATTCACCCGTGATGGCGCACTGGATGGTCGCAAACTTGGTGATGGTTTCAATGATTTCGGCGATACAGTCCATGACGGCGGTGACGATGCACGCAAGAATAGCCATGAAGCCGCGCGATTCGCGTCGCAATCTTTCATTCAAGTTGCGCAAAATGGTCACACCTGTCAAAACTAACCCGCCGAACGCCAACGAGCCGAACGATGCGCCGAAGGCGTGGCCGATGAACTCGCGCGTCGTTCCCACGAACGCCGTCGTTCCCGCCGGGGCAAAGTACCAGCGCGAGATTGACCCGCCGATGACGAATGTGCGCATCTCCGCCGCGATCATGTGTGACCAGAGCCACACGAGCAAGGCGAAAACGACGTACGGGCCCACCCAGCTGTCGGTTTGCCATTCGCAACACGGAACGACTTCCTCGCCGTAGTAGCATTTCCCGCCAGTGTAGTGCTCGTAATCGCTCGGCGCGATCGAGCCGTTCATGTACGCCCCCCACACGCACGTGAAAAACATGATCGAGGACACGATGACGGCCAAACCGGCGAAGACGCTCGTGGTGATGAGATGAGGATTATCCTTCAACGCCGTCGACGCGGCGCCGAGAAGCTTCGCGACGAGCTCCACCCGGTCGCGCGTCGCGTGCATCCAATACGCGAAAAACGCAGCGAACAACGCGAACAGAATACACGGAAACGCCATCCTTTCAATCGCGAACGCGATCGACAACGCGAAGCAACTTCCGATTTTCACGTAAATCATCGACCACGTGGCGAATCGAGGGTGTCGCTTAAACGCCGTCAAAGCCAACGCTCCCATCGCGCACGCCCCGAGCATCGCCATCACGACGTACGGTCTCGCCTTCGTCAACGCCGTCGCCGCGTCTTCGTCCGCGCCGTCCTCCAACAGCGTCCTTCGTCGCGCGCCGACGCCGTTCGCCGCGTGACAACTCTCGTACTTGTTCAGCGTCTCCGCCTCCGTCAACACGTGCGCGTCCGCGGAGACGCGCGAGAGCGCCAAAAGTCCGCACAGGATCGTCACCGCGAGCGACGTCGCGAACGCGCGCTTGAACGCGACGTCGCGGTGCGGTCGCGCGGCGAGATTTCCGTCGTTTTCATTCGCGATTTCGTGACGTTCCGACGACGTAAAGAGCGCGCTGTCGTCGTCCTCGCGCGCGTGGTCGGCCATCGCCGCGTTCGACGTTCGCGGTTCGTTCGCCTCGCGCGCGGTCGCGACGAGGCGCGACGCGCGCGGTCGCGACGAGGCGCGAAGTGACGCGAGGGCACCAGATCCAGAGTCGCCGGCGCCGCGGGTGCCGAGTTTACGCAAACGCCGCGACGGCGCGTGGATTACAACGTCGGCGCCGAGGAGGAGCGCTTTTCTAAGAACGGCGCGGTTTCGCCGAGCGTCGCGCGACGCTCGGCGAGGTGCTCGCGGACGGTGATGTTGTCTAAAGCCTTGGCGTGATTGAAGGCGACGAAACCGGCGGTGGCGACGGCGTAGCCGACGATTTCGGTGACGCTCACCTCGTCGCCGTATAAGAACATGGCGGCGCCGATGACGGCAACGTTCTTCAATTGTGACATCGTCTTCACCATGAGCGATCCCGCGTGTTTGACGACGCCGAGGCAGACGTAATTGACGGCGAAGCCGAACGTCGCGCAAATAAAGAATAGGTACCAATACCGGGTAAACGTGGCGATATTTTCGGTGCGAAACAATTCCTCGCGCTCGAAAATCAAGCTCAACGCCATCAAAAACACTAACGTCGCCGGGGAGAAGTAATACATCCCGTTGAACAGCGAAAACTTTTTGTTGCTGATCAAGTATTGAATCCCGACGCTCCTAAACGCCTCGGCGATTTCCGCCGTCAGCATGCACGCCAAACCAAACATCGTCACGTGCGCCTCTCCCCACGCCGCGATGAAACATCCTATCATCACCACGCTCAACGTGGCGATGATTCTGCCGCTCCATCGGTCTAAACCGAACGCCACCAAAGTGAAATAGCACACCACCGGCGCGAACGCCTTGAGCATCTGAATAAACGACAGCGACAAATACGAATACGCCACGTTCGCCGCCGCGAGCGACAGCGCGGTGCAAAACCCGATCGGCAGTATGTTCGCCGTCCACTCCCTCGCGCTCAACCGGTGCGACATGCGCTTCGGGTCGAGTTTTATCGCCGCCGCCGCGACCCCCCAGCCGAACCAGCTCCCCAGCGAGCTCACGAACACCGGGCAGTTGAACGACGTCTCCGTGATCAGGTGCTTATTCGCCAGGATCAACACCGTGGCGACGAGCAGATACGCCACCGCGTACGCCATCGCGTACGCCGCGCCCTCCTCGCCGTACGTCGACAGTTCCATCGCTTCGTCGTGTCAACACCCTCAGCGCGTTCGCGCGTTCGCGCCGCGCGTCGATCGCCGACGATTCGCGCGATTCGCGCGATTCGCGATTCGCGATTCGCGTCGTCGCGTCGTCGCGTCGTCGCGTCGTCGCGTCGTCGCGACGCGCGCGCGAGTGTCGATTCGCGTCGCGTTTGACGCGCGCGTCGGTGCGCGCCGAACCGAATCGTCAGACATGCGCGCGACGCCCGCGATTCGCGCGCTCCCGTCGGCGTCGGCGCGCGCGTCGGCGAGCGCGTCGGCGCCTCGCGCGGTCGATCGCGCGCGACGCGCGGTTCGATCGACGGCGCGCGGCGCGAGAGACGGCGCGCGAGCGATGGCGGCGGCGACGCGCGTGTCGCGCGCGACGGCGCGAGAGAGCGCGAGAGGTGCGCGCGCGCTCGCGAGAGGGACGTGGGACGACGCGCGCGCGATTCGCGCGCTCGCGGGCGACGAACGGCGCGCGGGCGGCGCGGGGAGGGGGCGCGGGGTGGTGAGCGCGAGCGCGGCGAGCGGCGCGAGCGGCGCGAGCGAGCGAGAGGTGCGAGAAGGAGGGGGAGAGCGATCGCGCGCGAGATCTCGAACGCCGATGATGCTTAATACTGCGTTATCTTCCTTATTAGAGCGCCGCGACGGGTCTCTCGGGGCGCGGGCGCGGCGAAATCTGTGAGGCAACTCAACAACTACCTGAGGCGTTTGAGGTCGAGCGAGTTTTGATTTTAAGTTTTTTTTTGTGTTTTGGGCGGTCGAGAGGCGCGGACGAGGCGCGCGCGCGCTAGAGACTGACGATTCGCGTGCGTTTCTTGCGCAGATCGCTTCGGCGCAGACGGTGCACGCGAAGGTGCGGTGGGCGCTGAAGAATTTGGGATTCGAGACGCTGACGGAGATTCAAGCCGCCGCGGTGCCGGCGGCGGCGGAGAACAGCGACGTTGTCATCGCGGCGGAGACTGGGAGCGGTAAAACCTTGAGTTATTTGATTCCGATTTGGAGTAATCTCCTCGAGCGCGGCGTCGGAGGACGAGACGACGACGACGGCTCGCGCGAGACGGGGGCGTTGATTTTATGCCCGAACGCGACGCTGTGCGAACAAGTCGCGCGCGTCGCGAATTCGCTCGTCGACGAGGGCACGGGCGAACCGCTGTTGCGAACGTACGCGCTGACGCCGGAAACGGGAACGCCGTTTCACGCCCCGGACGTGTACGTCACCACGCCGGCGCGCGCGGTGGACGACTTGTTACGATTTCGCGAGGGCGCGTGGCGACGCGGCTCGTTCAGTCCGACGGCGCGCACGCTTCGGCACGTCGTCTTCGACGAGGCCGACATGTTGTTTTCGGGAGGGTACTTGAAACCGCTCCGCATGTGCTTCGACGTGCTGTATCGCGAAGAAAAGCTCGCGAGCGAGGGGTTTTACCTCCCGGGCACTGGGAACGAGGACGCCGCCGCGGAGTGGGACGGCGACGTCGATCGCGACGCGTCGTCGTTCGAGCGGGATTGGCGCAAAGACCACGACGGCCCGCGGAAGCGTGGACCAGCGCTCGGAGGCAAGGGTAAAGTTGGTTTAGGTGACGGTAGAGACTTTAGACGACAGTACATCTTCGCCGCGGCGACGGTGATGAGCAACGGGAAGAAGACGCCGGGGGCGATGATCAAGTACGGCTTCCCTGACGCCAAGTGGATCGAGGGACGACGATTACACCGCTCCGTGGAGAGCGTGAATCAGACGTGGGTGGAAGCGACTTTGGAAACGCGCGCCATGGCGCTCGCGGACGCCGTCGGATTGACGTCCGCCGGCGCTTCGGCGGAGAAGACTATGATTTTCGTCAACACCGCGGCGGCGGCGGATGAAATCGCTCGCGAGTTCAACGCGCTCGGCTTGCGCGCCGCCGCGTTCCACGCCGACATGGCTTCGCACGAACGCGCCATGCGCCTGAAAGATTTCGCCGACGGCGTCATCACGGCGTTGGTGTGCACGGACAGCGCGGCTCGAGGCGTGGACATTCCGGGCGTGACGCACGTCGTCCAAGCCGAATTCGCGGGCAACGCCGTCGATTATCTCCATCGCATCGGCCGCACCGCGCGCGCGGGCGCTACCGGTCGCGTCACAAACATATGTTTACCCGGAAGCGCCGATCTCGTACGCGCCGTGCGCGACGCCGAGGCGAACGGCGATCCCGTCGAGAGCGCGTTCAGCCGAAAGCGATCGTTTCGCAAAAAAACCAAAAAATACGGCCCGTCCAGAAAAGGCGTCGCCGATCTCTCCCTCAGGCGCGCCCGCGATCAACGTTCGTAATGATTGTACATTTTATTTTCCGACGCGCCGCCGACTGAAAACTCCTTGAACGCGCCGACCGCACACGCCCGCGCACCGCGCCGCGGAGATGCCCGCGCGCGCGCCGCGCCGCGCGATGGACGTCGACGCCCTCGACGTCGATCTGCGCGTGCCGGACGATCGCGAGGTGCGACGACGACGCGACGGGACGCGACGAAACGCGACGCGACAGCTCGAGACGAATTTGAATTCGAAATTGAAACGAACGACTGACGACGCGATGCGACGCCGACGACAGGGCCTGACGCGACGAGCGAAAGAATTGCGCGAGCTGCGAGCGACGCTGGCGCGGGAACTCGCGCGGCGACGGCGAGAGGCGTTCGGGGAGGATGACGAGACGGCGGCGCCGAGCGGCGCGAAGGAGGAGGAGGAGAACGACGACGACGACGACGTGAGAGGCGACGACGCGCGCGGTGAAGAATGCGTGTTCGAGGATGATGATGCGACGGTGCCGAACGCGCGATCGTTGTCGGATGGGGAGGAGTACGCGGCGGCGGTCGCGGCGGCGCTAGAACCGACGATTCCGCAGAGCGACGATTTCGCGGCGGCAGGCGACGATGGGGGCGACGATGGCGTCGACGCGCACGATGGGGGAGGGCGTTCGATACCCACGGTGCTCGATGAAGACGATGAGGCGTTGGCGACGCTGGAGGCGTTGGGCGTGGCGAGCGAGAGCGAGACGCGCGGGACGGATTCGAAGAGGAAACGCGGGAGGATCGAGGAGACGCCGATGGCGGTGGGCGCGGACGAGGGCGTCGATGCGCGCGATCGCGTCGCGGAAAGCCCGGGACGGGTGTTGCGATTCAGCGTCGGGGCGAGTTTGGGGTTGGATGATGACGATCTCATCGCCGCCGCGGAGGCGCGCGAACGCGCGGCGGCGACGCCCGCGAAGGACGCGTCGATGGCGTACGTGCGCGCCATGACGACTCGATTCGACGGTGGTGCGCCCGTTCGCGTCGTGTTTTCGGACACCATGCGCGGTGCGAACGCGGCTCAGCACTTGGTCGTCGTCGTGGAGACTTCGGGCGGCGCGTCGATGGACGCGTTGGTGTTTCGCGTCGACGTCGACGAGGCGACGTGCGTGGGCTCGTGTTCGCTGCACGAGACGCGCAGTTCGCCGAGTCAGCGTGCGACGCGCCGGCGTCCGTCCATCGGCGCCACCGCGAGCGCCGCATCGGCGCCGCCGAGCCCGGACGCCGTGCGCGTGAGTCCGAACGGGCGTTTCGTCTTCGCGGCGCACGCCGAAGACGGCGTGCGTTTGCTCGCCGTGCGCGACGGCGACGCACCCGCGTCGAAGAACACGTCGACGTCCAGTGACGTGGTGAAACATCTGGGGTGTGGGTTCAAAGTGACGCGCGTGGCGACGACGATGGGGGAGTCTGGATTTCTTCTCGCCGCCGCGGGCGAACCGGGACGATGCGTCGTGTGGTCCTGGTCGGTGAACGACGCTAACGACGACGAGTTCTTGCTCAAAGAACACGTGACTTGCGATGAGATGCCCGCGATGAACTATCGAGGCGTCGTGCCCAAGCCGGGCACTCCCACGAGTCTGCAGTGGCTCGACGTCGATCGCAATCCAAAAATCGTCGCCGTCGTCGACGAAGGTTTGACCTACGTGTGGAACGTCTTGGAGAAGGCGCGCGATCGCTCGTCGTACGCGATCGACCACGGCATTCGATCATTGATTCCGGTTCACTGCGAAGGCGTGCCATCGCGTGGCCCCGCCGAAGACGAGCCCTTGGCCGCAGTGGCGCTCGCGCGTCGCAAGCGCGCGCCGCTTTTGGATCTCGAGTCGAAAGACTCCTCCGACGACTCTCTGTCGAGCGAGCGCGGAGAATCGTGCGCGATCGGTGCCGCACTCATTCGTGTTCACGGTTTATCCATCGGCGAGTCGTTATTCGCCTCGGAGTCGTCCACGGCGGTATCGTTGGCGTGCGCGGGCGAAGACGCGTGCTTCGGCGCGCGAGACGGCGCGTTCGTCGCCTGGAACATAGCCACCGGCGAGTGCGCGCTCAAGGTGCTGCTCGCCGTACCGGCAAGTGGTGAACTCACCGACGACCAGGACCTCGCCGTGCGCTCGGTGGCGTGCGCTGAGAGGCACGTCGCCGCGTGTTGCGGCGACGGCGTCTTCGTCTTCGCCAAATCCGCGCCGCGCGCGAGCTAACGCTCGAGCCGACGCGCGCGAGTCGTTCGCGCGCGAATCGATCGATCGGCACCGCGTCGCCGTTTCCGCCGCCGCGATGGCGCAGCTCGTTGTATCTACAGATTTCGATAGAATTACACGCGGTTCCTCGTTTCTCCGCTCGCTCGCCAGCCTACCACACCGGCCGTCTCCCCGGCACGTCGTCCCCCGTCTGATTCGCGTCCGCGTACGCCAACTGCGACTTCTCCCTCAGCCAATACCGATCGCTCTTCGTCGGCTGATCCCAATTATCCTTCCTGCGCGCGAATCCCGAGCCGCGATCCCTCTCGTCAGTCGCCGTCCGCGCCGTCGTCGCCGCAAACCCTCGCGTCGTCGTCGCCGCGCCGCGATCCCGCCGCGTCGTCCGCCGCGCGCTCGCCGCCACGGCGAGTCCGCGCGCGCTCGCCGCGCGCGACCGCGTCGCGATCCGGAATCCCCGTCGACGCGCCGCCTCGGCGTCTCGCGCGCGCGCGCCGTCGTTCGCGCGCCGCGCGATCGTCATCGTCTTCATCGCGCGTCGGCGTCGTCTTCATCGCGCGCGTCGCGTCGCGCGCACGCACAGCGTCGCGCACTTCGCGCTCGTCTTCTCGAGGTGCTTCTCGAGCGCGCGCTGCCGCTCGACGCCGTCGTCGATGCCGCTCGCGATGAATCGCGTGAGAAATCCCATGGCGCGTCGGTCTGTGACGGCACAGCGTCGCGCGATGCTCGACGAGGCGCGCGACGCGCGCGCGAGCGTCGACGCGCGCGTTCGCGCGTGCGCGGCGACGCTCGAGCGGTGCGCGCGCGGCGACGACGAGAGCGACGCGCGATGGCGCGCGCGGTGTCGAGACATTTGTGAAAAAATGACGCGCGCGTGCGCGCCGACGACGCGCGACGACGGCGAGTGCCGCGCGAGGATGCTCGAGTGCGCGTTCGCGGCGTGCGCGGCGACGGGAGGGCGGTGCGAGCGCGGGCGCGCGGCGGTGGAGGCGTTGGCGGCGGCGGCGCGCGGGGACGGCGAACGCGCGAGCGACGCGCTGGACGCGCTGTCGAGGACGACGATCGGAGCGTGGGACGAGGCGAGCGATGCGATGGTGCGTCGAAGCGTCGCGGACGCGGCGTTCGGGGCGATGGAGACGGCGATCGGGGCGGGCGGGAGGACGTGGGCGCGGGCGACGAGCGCGCTGTGTCGAACGGCGGCGCGGTTGGACGCGCGCGATACGGAGGATGGGAAACGGTACCTCGACGAATCGTTGCGGCTGCTCGAGACGAGGGAGAGCGAGCGCGGGAGTGGGGACGCGGACGCGCGCGCGAGAGCGGCGATGTGCGCGCGATTGAGCGGCGCGCGGGTGTTGGGATCGATGGGCTCGGCGGCGAAGGAGAGCGCGAGAGGCGCGTTCGACGAGACGGGCGCGCTTCGAGGCGAGTTCTTCGCGCGCGCCGTTCCCGCGCTGTTGGAACATTCGTATAAAGATAAAGCGGGAAGCGTGCGGCGGGCGTGCGCGGAGGCGCTCGGGCGCGTGGGAGGGTTGAAGACGACGGACGTTCGCCAGCTCGGACGCGCGTTGGGCGATAAGCGCGACGACGTGCGAACGGCGGCGACGCGGTCAGTCGGCGCGCAGGGTGGAGTGGCGAAGTTTTTAGTGCCCAAACTCGTCGAGAACGCGAGGCGCGATGATCCAGAGTTGCGTCAAACCACGTGCGAGGCGCTGGAGAGCGTGTGGAAAGGACGCCAAGGCGATCCCGCGCAAGACGGTTCGGAGGACGTTCTTTTGTTTCAAACCGCGGAGTGTATGGGCGAACTCACGAATGATGCAGACGCTGGCGTGCGCGCGGCGGCGACGAGGTGCTTAGGTCACCTTCGAGGCGCCGCGGCGGCGAAAGTGAGCTTGATTAACAAGCGCGTAGACGATAGCGATGAAGGCGTGCGAGACGCCGCGGCGGAGACTTTAATCAAGCTCGGATTCATCAATCCGAGCACGGGCACGCTACGAAACAAGGGCAACTACCGCACGTCAAAGTTTTCGGCGAATAAAAACTTATTCGCCGTCCTGACTGGCAAGCAAGATTCCCTCGCGACGACGTCGCGCGTCAACGTTCCCGCGGGAGCCATCGTGCGCGTGTGGTGGCCTCTGGATGAGTGCTACTACGAAGCAAAGGTCAAGGGATACGACAAGTCAACGCGCAAGTACAGGCTTCTATACCTAGACGACAACGTAGAAGAAGAGGTGAACTTTAGGAAGGAAAAGGTTGACTTGAAGCACAAGCCGACGAAGAACGCCAGGGCGACGTGGATCCCGTGCGGCGCGGTGCAGCGCAAGCCAAAGTCGAAGGACAAGGATCAACCAAAACACAAAATAGCGCGAAAGCGATCGTCGGCGACGAGCGCGTGGGTGGATTACGACGCCGAAGAGCAAAAACGGATCGGTCGCGAAGCGCTCGTCGGTCGTCGAATGAAAGTTTGGTGGCCAGACGACAAGGCGTGGTACGCCGGCGAGATTCGTCGCTTCAGCGCCGACACGGGCAAGTATACGGTGTTTTACTTCGAGGACGGCGAAGAGGAAGATTTAGATTTCGACAAAGAAGAGCGCGCGCCAAAGATTTACGAACCTGTTCAAGACGAATCCGCGACGCCTACGATTCACGGTTTGGAACCGCGGCGACTGCCCGTTCGCTCTGGCGAAAAGGACGCGCTGTACGAACCGGGATGTTTCCGCGGGAGCGAGTGCTGCAGCTTCGTGAACGAAGAGGGCGAGAAAACAACAATGTTGTGCTCGGACTTTGACAAAATGTACGGCGGCGGAAGTCGCTGGCGACGTTCCATCGTCGTGACTTCCGAAACCGGCGCCGAGCCGATTGACACCTTCTTCCGCGTCAACGGCGAGCGCTGGGGGAACGCCGTCTTAGGTTATGAGTTCGATATGGACGTCGCCGTCGACATGCGAGACTTTCCCGTCGATCGACAGCCCGTCGAACCGTCTTGGCAACGCGTGAAAATCATCTCGTACAACCCGACGAGCGGCGAGCACCAATGCGTCGACATCAAGGACGACGGCGAGCCCGATCCCAGTCGCGCCGTGTGGCTTCCGCTCTGCATGCAACGCACGCGCGCGCGCGCCGCCGCCGACGACGACGACGGTGAAGATTCGATTTCTGACATCATTAGTTCATAGAATTTTGTAACTCTGCGCCTCCCGCGAGCGCGTCGCCCGCACTCACCGACGCGACGTCTTGAAACCGCGACGCCGCGCGCGCAAAGCTCAACGAAAACGCATCCGCGCCATCGGCGTCGCGTTTTTGGTCGTTCTCGCCGCGCGCGCGCCGCATTCCCTCGCGCCGTCGCGTCATGCACAAAACCTGCGCCTTCCAACGAACGCTCGCGCGCGGCGTCCTCACGGCGCGCGCGCCGCGAACGAGCGCGGACGCACCGCGCTCGAGTCGTAGAATCACCGCGCACGCGCAGACGCGCCGCGAGTCCCATCGGAAAGTCGATGGGAACGGTGGCAAGGATTACGCGCAAGTCCGGCACCAACCAGATCCGAGCGCGCATCCGACGCACTTGATTCCGGATGATTTACGCGCGCCCGACGTCGACGACGCGCGGAAAAAGAAACCAGTGGCGATTGTTTTGGCGTACGTCGGGCAAGGGTACAAAGGGAACACGCACAACGCGCAGGCGCCGCGAGGGACGACGGTGGACGACGTCGTCGAGGACGCGCTCTTCGCGTGGGGCGGGATTTTAATGCCAAATTATCGCAGTCGCGGGTTGCAGCGGTTGAAGTGGAGTCGGAGCAGTCGCACGGATAAAGGAGTGAGTTCGTTGTGCACGGTGGTGAGTTTGCGGGCGGAGATCGATCCGGAGGTGTGGACGAAGGACGTCGAGGCGAGGGAGACGGCGAGAGAAATCACGAAACATTTGCCAGAAGACGTGGAGTGTTTCGCGGTGTACAACACGCCGAAATCGTTTCAAGCGCGAAGAGAGTGCATCATGCGCACGTACGAGTACTTGCTTCCGGCGCGGGTGTTAGATTTAGAGCGCGGTGTGCTCGATGCGAGCGATGCCGAGCGATTGGAACTGTTTTCAAAGGCGCTCGCGGCGTTCGTCGGCGCGCACCCGTTTCACAATTATACGAAACGGAAGCAGTACACGCGAGAGGCGATAGGAAAGTACAGCGCGAAACGGCGAGACGCGCGCGGTAAGTTGGCATGGAAAGGGCAAGAGGGTGCGGTCATGGACGATGGATCGGACGAAGACGTGGAAGGGGAGCACGGCGAGGAGGACGAGGAGGAGAACGTCGTCGCGTCGACGTCCGCCGCCGAACACGACGACGGGTTTCCAAAACACGTCGGTGAACGCAGGCGAGGCACGTATTGGTTGTACGAAAGCGACCCGAACGACAAAATCGGCCCGTCGCACTTTCGAAGGATTCACAACTTTACCGCGGGCGCGGATGTCGAGCGTATGGAAATCACGAACGACGACGGATCGAAGACGACGAGCGAACCGTTTATTCGCGTCTCCGTTCGAGGGGAGTCGTTCATGCTGTACCAGATTCGCAAAATGATCGCCAGCGCCGTGGCGGTGAGTCTCGGTCATTGTCCACTCGAGTTCCTTCCCGCGTCGCTCTCTCGACCGTGCCGCGCGGCGATGCCGCTCGCGCCCGCGTCCACGCTCTACCTCTACGACGTCGAATTCATGAAGTTTCGCGTCAATCACGACCCGTCGCAGCCGAACCGTTTAGAACGGCTCGAGCCGTCCGAGAGCGTGCGCGCGGACTTGGCGCGTTTCCAACGCGAAAAGCTCGAGCCCGCGCTCGCGCCCGCGCTGCTGAACGACGAATGGGACGACTTTAAGGAAAACTTGAAGCAAGGCAACGTCACGCCCGAGCTCTCGCGCGACATCTTAGCCGCGTACGAGACGTACAAGGCGAACAGAGACGAGGCGCGCGCGTTACAGGACGCCGAAGAAGCCGCGGCGGCGGCGGCGGCGGCGGCGGCGGCGGCGGATTCGCCATGATAAAAGCGGCGCGCGCGGTACACATTAATATTTCAACATCGCTCTCTAGCCGTCGACGAAGCGACGAAGCGACCGACTCCTCGACATCGCTCTACTGCAACACCGAGTCCAGCGAGTGATTACCCGTGACGACGACCCACAGCGCCCCCAGCGCCGCGCTCACGATGATCGCGTCGAGCCACAGCGGCACCTCTTGCCGAAGCGCCGTCGTCACCAGACGATACGCCACCAGCGGCGAAGCCAAATCCACCGCCAAATCCGGCGTCTGATACGCGTAATCCTCCTCCGCGAACGACGGCGCGCCCGCGAATCCATCGCCGCCGCCCACCGCGAACGATGCCGCGCCCGCGACGTCCGCGTGCGCCAGCGCGAGCGTCGCGAGCGCGCACGCGCGCGTCACCGCGCGAATCTTCATCTTCACCGCCGCGTCCCGGTCGCCGTCGGGCGCCGCGCGCGCGCGCGTCGCGCGCCGACGACGCGCGCGCGTCGTCCGGCGCGCGCCGACCGACGCGCGCGCGTCCGCGCGGCGCGCGGCGAGCGCCATCGCGTCGCGAAGTCGCGCTCGTTGGATGCCGGCCGCGTCGCCATCGCGCGACGCGCGGCGCGCGTCATGTCGGCGACGCAGCTCGAGCACGCGCGACGAGCGCACGAAGAGATCGAGCGGCTGGAGCGTCGCGCGGCGCGCGCGCTGAGCGACGGCGCGCCGACGACGCACCGGGCGCGATTGACGCAGAATCGAATCGTCGACGCGATTTTAACGGCGAGCGTCGACAGGGCGAAGCGATTGGTGCGTCGATCGAGCGACGCGCGCGTCGGCGCGGTTTCGCGCGCGCGCGCGGCGTTCGGGCGCGCGAGACGCGCCGGGAGGGGTGAAAGACGACGGATGGGGCGTTAGGGCAATTTGGACGCGCGAGCGCGACTGACGAACGAACGCGAACGCGAACGAACGCGCGCAGCGACGAACGTACGCGGACGACGATGGATCGATGCGGGAAGAGGCGGAGAGCATGGGCGACGGTGAGGACGTCGAGAGGGCGCTGCGAGGGTTCTATGAGGCGGTGAAGGAGACGCGGCGGTCGCACGCGGCGCGCGCGGGGGCGGTGGCGGAGGCGGGCGGAGCGTTCGCGGAGGAAATCGTAGAAGAGGCGGAGCGCGCGGTCGGTGGGGTGTTTAGTGGAGAGGAGAATAGTGGGAGGTATTTGGATTTGCACGAATCGCACATGACGTACGCGAACGCGACGTTCGGGGAGAGGTGCGATTATTCAGAGTATTTGGAACGGTGCGGGAATTTCGCCGAGACGCCGAGGTCGAAGAAGTTTTGCGCGGCGTACACCGATTATTTGGACGCGTTGTTGGCGTACTTGCGATCGTTTCATGAGCGCGCGATTCCTCTGCAGTTCGTTCACAAGGCGTTAGCGCAAGACGCGGAGGAGTTTGAGCGCCGATGGAAAAAGGGCGAGTGTCCGGGGTGGGAAGACGGCGGCGTGCGCGCCGTGGACGAAAAGACCCTCGAGTCGAGCGCGGTGGATCTCTCGGCGTTCAAGTCTTTGAAAGACATGGAAAAGGCGCTCGACGTCGATGCGATCAAATCCGCCCTCGGGTCCTTGGGTCTGAAGGCGGGAGGCACGCCCGAGCAGCGCGCCGAGCGATTGTGGAGCGTCAAGGGCAAAAAGCTGAGCGACATCGACCGAAAGCTCTTCGCCAAGGGTGTAGTCCTCGGTTCTGCGTCGTCGACGTCAAAGAAGAAAAAGTCACAAAACGGTGAAGACGGCGACGCGAAAGTCAAGGCTGAAAACCGCGCGCGCGCCATCGCCTTCAAAGAGAGCCAGTGCGCGCTCGTGTTGAAGCTCCTCGGCAAGCAACTCGACGCGACGCGCACCAACGTGGAGAAGAAATCCACGCTTTCGCTCGCAGAGCTTCAAGCCGAGGCCGAGGAAGACGATGATTTCTCCGACGCGGAAACGGATGAGGACGAAGAAATTTACAACCCGTTGAAGTTACCGTTGGGGTGGGACGGGAAACCGATTCCGTACTGGCTTTACAAGCTTCACGGTTTGAACATGGAGTACACGTGCGAGATTTGCGGTAATTACTCTTATTGGGGACGACGCGCCTTCGAGCGCCATTTCACCGAGTGGCGACATCAGCACGGCATGCGGTGCTTGAAAATCCCGTACACGAAAGCCTTCAACGAAGTGACGTCCATCGCCGACGCCGCGGCGTTGCACAAAAATTTGTCCCAACGCGAGGTGGGAACCTTCAACGTCAAGCTCGATGCCGAAGTGGAAGACGCACAAGGAAACGTGTACAACAAGAAGACGTACGAAGATTTACAGCGTCAAGGCTTACTTTAGCGCGTCGCGGTTGTGATTGAACGAAACGTCGACAAAACGACGTCGTCGATGTGCGAGCGCGCTCGCATTATAAGCTAATCGCAGCTAATACTACTGTTCACCGTTTGCGTTTCTTGTGCTCGTCGTGCGAAAGCTTGAGCGCGGCGCAAATTGTGACGTACGCGCCCTCCGGGATATCGCGGGCGATTTCGTCCAGCGCCGACATCGCGTCGTCGAGCTTTGATTCTTCCGCGTCTTTCAGCGTGAGCATGTACGTCAGGCACGCGGTAAAGTGCAATCTACGCGCGGCGTCGATGCACTGGTCTTTGTCCCAAGGACACCCGTGCTCGTGCGCGTACTTCAAACACTCCAACTGTCCATCATAGGCGGCATCACGGCACGTATCCTCGTTCCAAGGACACCCGCGCTCGTGCGCGTACTTCAAACACTCCAAGCTTCCACTCCCGGCGGCACGTGCGCACGTCTCCTCGTGCCAAGGACACCCGTTCTCGTGCGCGTACTTCAAACACTCCAAATGTCCATTCAAGGCGGCAAATGAGCACGTCCTCTCGTTCCAAGGACATCCGTGCTCGCGCGCGTACTTCAAACACTCCAAATGTCCATTCGAGGCGGCAACCGCGCACGTTTTCTCGTCCCAAGGACACCCGCGCTCGTGCAAGTACTTCAAACACTCCAACTGTCCTTTCCAGGCGGCAGAGATGCACGTCTCTTCGTCCCAATCACACCCTTGCTCGTGCGCGTACTTCAAACACTCCAACTGTCCATTCGAAGCGGCATTATTGCACGTCCTCAGGTTCCAATCGCATCCGTGCTCGCGCGCGTACTTCAAACACTCCAACTGTCCATGCGAAGCGGCAGCGTTGCACGTCCCTTTGTCCCAAGGACACCCGTGCTCGTGCGCGTACTTCAAACACTCCAAATGTCCACTATAGGCGGCACATGCGCACGTATCCTCGTGCCAAGGACACCCGTTCTCGTGCGCGTACTTCAAACACTCCAAATGTCCATTCGAGGCGGCAGACTTGCACGTCCAAGCGTTCCAACGACACCCGCGCTCGCGCAAGTACTTTAAACATTCCAAATGTCCAGTCGAAGCGGCTTCCGCGCAGTCCGGCGCCGTGAACGCGAGCGCGAGCAAGCGCATATAACTTTCATGTCCATTCAAAGCGGCTTCCGCGATGTGCGACGCCGCGAACGCGCGCTCGCGCAAGCGCGCCAACGCGGTCGCCTCCTCGCTCGACGCCATCGGCGCCGATCGTCGCGCCTCACCGTCGCGCGCGCGTCGGCGTCGACGCCGCGCGTCACACTCTGCCGCGATGGTCGAGCGCGCGCCGCGTCGTCGTCGCGCGCGCTCGCCCGTCGCGCGTCGCGCGCGTCGCGCGCTCGATCGATTCCGCGATGAACTCGGCGGTCCCGCGCCGTCGGCGTCGATCGCGACGTCGCGCGCGGCGCCGAGCGACGAGGACGACGCCGACGCGGAATCGCGACCGCGCCGGGACGACGCCGCCGCCGACGCGCGCGGCGCGGACGTCGCGGCGCTGCGAAGCGCGCTGACGTGCGTGATCACGAACGCGCTGTTCGTGGACCCGGTGACGACGGCGTGCGGACACACGTTCGAGCGGGACGCGCTCGCGAGGTGGCTCACGCGAGGCGAGCGAGAACGCGCGGCGGGACGAGACGGACGCGGACGCGTCGCGAGCGGGGAGGCGCCGGCGAGCTGCCCGCAGTGTCGATCGCCGCTGTATCACGAATTGCCGCACGAGTGGCCGGTGAACACGACGGTGCGGGAGTGCGTGGAGGCGACGTTCGGAAGGGAGGCGGCGCTGGGAGAGGCGGAGGCGAGACGCGAGGCGAACGCGCGAGGCGAACGCGAGGACGATCGACGAGGGCGCGACGGCGGCGAGGGAACGAGACGACGACGCGCGCAGGATGAGGCGTGGGTGTCGACGCGAGGGAACGTGAACGTCGTGGGACCGACGTACGAGCTTCCGATGTTTTTTCTCGAGGCGTTGGTGCCGGGGCAGGAGGTCACGCTGAACGTGTTCGAGGCCAAGTATAAGGTGCTGGTGCGACGATGTTTGAGCGGATCGAGGAAGTTTTTGATGATGACGAACGAGGATAGCAACGAGGAACATTATTTGGAGGACTTGGAAGACGACGACGCGACGGCGGCCGTCTCTCGAGGCGTGGCGGATGGGTACGGATTGACGGATGTCGATTTGGCGCAGTTTGGGCGATTTTGCGCCGAGTGTCAAATCGTGACGTGTCAAGAGCTCGTCGATGGGCGGTTTTTGGTGCGCATTCGCGCCATGCGACACGTCTTCGTGCACAGCGCGGTGAAGGATCCATCTGGGTTCATCGTCGCCAGGTGCTCGCGCGTTCGCGACGAAATCAACGCGGATCTGAGCGTGCTCGACAACAGGGGCTTCAAAGACGACAGCGAACTGCGGAAAGCCAACGCGGCGGCGGTGAAGCTCGAACTTCGCATAGATCGCGTGCTAGAGCTTTTCGACGTGTGGGTCGCGATGACGATCGGCTCGCGTTGGTTGTACAATTACGGCGGATCGATGAGCCAATTGCTTCAAGCCGTCGGCCCGTCTCCGCGCAGGGAATCTCCGAGCGATCTCGCGTGGTGGATCGTGCGCGTGCTCAATCCACTGCCGACGATCGACGGCACGATCGAGATGCGATCGATTTGCTTGAACACGTCGCACATCGACACGCGGTTTCAAGTCATAGCGCAAATGCTGATTTATTCGCTCTCCCTCGTGCAGCGCATCAACGTTCGCGACTGGACCAAGCGCGAGCACGTCGTGGCGGTGAGCGTATGCAACGAATTATTCGCGGTACTCAGCGAATCACCCAGTGATGCCGCCGGCGATTTACGTCGCGAACGATTGGTGGAGGACATCTATGAATTGCTCTACGACGTGGACTTTATCGAGCACGAAGCGTACGAAGGCTTACGCATTTGCCCTCCGGGCTACGACGACCCCCAAGGCGTGGCCGCAAAATCCTTTCTCTTAGAAAAGAGCAAGAGACCGGATCCATCGAAACAAACCGATAGCAAAAAGGCGCAGTCTGAACAGACGAAGTGGAGCGATTACCCTCCTCCGGTGTTCGACGCAGTGATGGACCGCTTGATATGGGAGCACGGTTACGGCGCGTTGGCGCTCGCGGCGTGGCGCGCGCTGTCGGATTACGAGTGCGGCGACCCCAAACTCAAGCGATGGAACGAGCGCCTTCTCGCGCATTGCCCGAGCAGCATCAATGTCGGGACGCACGTGAAGGACACGAACGAGCTGTTGCGATTATCCCGCAAGTTCAGCAAGTGTCTTCGCCGCGACATGCGATGCGGCTTTTACAAATTTTTATACCTCTTCGACTTGTGTCGAATGCTCGTCTATTTAGTCTACCGCGTCCTCGTGTTGGTCATCTTCGCCCTCGGATTCTTGTTCGAGCTCGCCTTCGACCGTGAGTTCCACGGTGGGCACAGAACCGCCGCACGCGGGCTCTTCATGGCTGTCGCAATCGGCGCGGCGAGCGGCTTGTTCGCTCGAAGCTCGCTCGACGCGTACTTGGGTCGCGTTCGGAGCGAATGAATGAGTCATTTGATGTAAGCATAACAGTAAATCTACCCCCGCTTCTGGCGCTTATTATCCAACACCGCCTTCGTCGCCACCACGCGCCCGCTCCGACCGTACCTCCACCGCTCGTACTCCGCCTGCGCCATCCTTCCCGCGTCCCAAATCCTCCGCTCCTCGCGCGACAGCAACCGCTCCGTCTTATCGTCGTCGCCTACCCTTCCGATCGAATCCACCAGCACTTCCCGCCACCGTCGCTCCAACGCATCACTTATCTTTTCCTTCAACTCGATCACCGGTTCCATCGCCTCCGCGTCGTCTCCCGCGTCTCGTTCGAGCGCGTCCAACGTCGCCCTCGCGAATCCAAAGTACGACTCGCACGTCGTCCTCAAGTTTGTGATCTTCGCCCCGTCCTCCGCCTTCAACAGCGCGAACACGTCGTCCGCGAACGCCGCGGGCGTCTCACAAATGTACACGTCCTTCGCCATCTCCCCGTCCAGCCACCACAGCGGCACGGGCGCGCGATGCTCCTTCGGGACGTCGGCGCGACCGTTTGAATCCTTCTTCGCCTTGGGACCGATGACTTCCGGGCCGACCGTCGCCGCGCCCCACGCGAACTCCACCGTGACCGCGTGTTCGCGCGCTAAGAAATCATCGATGTCGTAGTAATCCCGCCGCATCTCGCCCGCGCGATCGACGCGCGCGTCGCGAAGTGTCGCCGAGCCGTCGCGCGCCGTCCCGAAAAGCGCACCGGCCGCACACGATGACGCCCGCAGACGTCGAAGCGACGTCGTTCGACGACGTCGACGCGCTCGTGTTCGACTGCGATGGAACGCTGATCGACACCATGGGATTGTTTTACGTCGCCGACGTCCGGGCGTGCGACGAGGTCGGGGTGAAGATGTCGAAGGGGACGTTTTACGAGCTCGCGGGCGTCCCCATACGGGACATATTCCGTAAACTGTGCGTCGAACAGGGCGCGGCGAGCGACGACGCGACGCTGGACGCGATGGTGCGGTCGTGCGGCGCGCACGCGCGCGCGCTCGGGCCGCCGAAGGCGATCGAGTGCGTCGTGGAGGTGGCGAGGAACGCGAAGGCGCGCGGGAAACGCGTCGCCGTGGCGTCGAGCGGCGTCAAGACGACCGTGCTCGAGCACCTCGAGCACCACGGATTATTAGATTTATTCGAAGTCGTCGTCACGTGCGAGGACGTGACGCGCGGGAAGCCCGCGCCGGATCTGTACGCGCTCGCGGCGGAAAAATTAGGCGTCGCGCCCGAGCGGTGCTGCGCGTACGAGGACGCCGTCCTCGGCGTGGAGAGCGCGCGCGCCGCGGGGTACAAGCGCGTCGTGGACGTTCGCGCGATGTCTGGGTACCATCCGACGGATTATTTATGCTCGAACGAGCCGTAGCGCGCGCTGTATTCTTTCCCTCGCGTCTCGCGTTCCTTCGTCGGCGGCACACCTCGACGCGAGCGATGCGCGCGGCCGCGGCGTCCGTCGTCGCCGTTCGCGTCCTCGCGCGCGCGTCGTCCTCGCGCGCGCGCGCGTCGTTCTCGCGCGCGCGCGCGATGTCGCGCGCGTCGCCGACGTTCGTGGACACGCACGCGCACGTCGACGTCGTGCTGGATAAACTCGGCCTGCCCTCCGCGGATGCGTACCTCGAGTACGCCGACGCGTTCGCGCGCGAGCACGGCGCCGCGGCCGCGCTCGAGGCGTGCGTCACGATCGGATGCTCGGAGAAGAGCCTCGCGAGCGCGGCGGCGGTCGTGGACGGGAGCGAGAGAATGTTCGGCGCGTACGGGTGTCACCCGCTGAGCGCGCGAGAGTGGACGAGGACGAGGACGCGCGTTCGCGAGATGTTGACCACGGGCGCGCGCGTCGTCGCGGTCGGAGAGACGGGATTGGATTATCACAGGATCCGCGACGACGCGGAGGACGGGGAGGACGCGGAGGCGTACAAGACGACGCAAAGGGACGCGTTCGCGGAGCAAATGCGCTTGGCGACGGAACTCGGGCTGCCGCTCATCGTGCACACGCGAGAGGCCGAGACGGACACCGTCGCGATGATGAAGGAACATTTACCCGCGGACGCGCGCGTGCACGTGCACTGCTTCACGTCGAGCGTCGGGATGGCGATGGAATTGTTGCGCGCGTTTCCAAATTTGTGCCTCGGCTTCACCGGCGTATCGACGTTTAAAAACGGGCAGGACGTTCGCGACACGATCAAAGAGGTACCGCTCGATCGCATTTTGCTCGAAACCGACTCGCCGTACATGGCGCCGGTTCCATTCAGAGGGCAAACGTGCCACCCCGCGATGGGCGAGCGCGTCGCGCACGCCGTCGCCGCCGTGCACGAAGTCGACGTCGAGGAAGTCTTCGCGCGATGCCGCGAGAACACGAGGCGCGTGTACGGCATTTAAGTGTATTCCTAGAACCATCAGCCATTGCATCCGATTCATCATTAACCGTAATCTTTCGCCGCGTCCCGCGTTCGCGTCCCGCGTTCGCGTCCCGCGCGGCATTCCGCGCCCCTCGGCCGTCGTCATGCCGCGCCCGCGCCTCGTCGAGACCATGCTCGACGCCGACAACGCGTCCACGCGCGCGCGCGCCTTCGAACGCGGCGCGACGCTCCAGCCCGAATACGATTCGTTCTCTTGGCTCAAGACTGCGCTCCTCGCGACGCCTCGCGCGCGCGGCTTGCGCGCGTTCGCCTGGCCCTGGCTCTGTATCAACGGCGTGAGCGTGTTGTGGACGTCGCTCTACGAGCTCGCGCTGCCCAAGCGGACGTCGTCGCTCGGAAGCTTCGGCATGGTGTACCAGCTCGTGTTCTCGACGATGGGATTTCTGTTGGTTTTTCGGTTGAGCCGAGCGGCGGTGCGGTTCTGGGATTGCCGCGCGGCGTTCGGGAACTTTAACGTCGGCGTGCGAAGGCTCGTGGACGTGGCGCTGGTGCACGGGAAAGGACGAGACGCGCGGGCGCTGGATGATGTGTGCGCGTGGGCGTGCGCGTTCGTCGTGGCGAGTAAACAGTTTTTGCGAGGCGTGAAGACGATTTCGGCGGAGGAGGTGATGGGGATTCTGAGCGACGATGACCGGAAGCGAGTGGAGAACGCGAGACATCCGCCGTTGTATTGCGCGTCGATGCTCAGACGGGCGATTCATCGCGCGTTCGGGGTGGATGAGAAAGGCGGGACGACGAGCGATACGATTCGACTCGAGTCGCGCTTGCGGCAGTTGCACGAGCAGTGTGATTTTTTAATCACCAACGAGGGCGCGTTAGAGCGATTGCGAGGGACCAAGTTGCCGATGATCTACGTGATGCATTTGAGAACGTTTTTAATGGCGTATTGCGTCTCTATGCCGTTCGTGTTCGTAAACCAGTGGCGCTGGGGGACAATCGTCGCCGTCGCCGTCGTGTCCTTCGCGCTGTTGGGCATCGAGGGCGCGGCGACGGAGTGCGAGATTCCATTCTCTGCCGACCACGCGAATCACTTGCGGATGGATCAGTACGCGCAAGCGTGTCTTTTGAGCGTTGGTGCGTACTTGGCGTGGAACGAGCGGCTCGAGGGAGCAAACGATTTCGGTCATCGCGAGGGCAACGTCTCGTGCGCGTCGCTCGAAGATTTAGTCATCGACGTCGATACGAACGTCTAGAGCACCTGAATGTCGGTAGAAGTATACTTATTATTAAACGCAAGAGCATGCAAGAGCGCGCGCGCGATCACTTGGCGAAGCCGCCGTAGATTTCTTTGACGTTCTCGATCGCGTACACTTCGCCGTGTTCGGGGAGGACGCCAAAGGACAAATCAAACGACACGACGCCGCAGTTGACGATTTTCTTCTTCTTTCCCGGGCACGTCGAGTCGAAGGGTAAATACGTCTTGAAGAACTCGCGGAACCAGATGGAGTGACCGCCGGCGATGACGACGTCGGCGTCCTGATTCATCACCCACGCGGCGAACTCTCGCATGGAGTCGCGGCCTTTTCGGTTGAGCTTCTTCTGACCGGCGTTCGACGACGCGTCGAAGAGTTTAGCTTCGTCGACGCTGGACACGCCGAGTTCTTTCGCGAGCGTTTGTGTCGGCACAAAATCGCCCTTCTTACACGCCAACGCATACGTGTCGACGTTGCGCGCCATCTCTTGCAAAGCGCTGTGAATGATTATTTTATCGTTCGCCTTCGCGTTCGACAACCGGCACCACAGCGCGTGCGCAGTGGTGTTCACCGCTCGCCGCAAATTACTGCTCGCGATGACCGATTTACCTCGAAGCCCCAACATGACGTCCACGACGTCACCGACGTATCCTTTCGTCTGGCTCTTCGCCGCGCGAGACGCCGATTCCGTCGCGAAGTGCGCGCGCAGCGCCTGCGCCTGCGCCACCCCCGTCGCGCTCAGCGGCGAATCCAAAAAAAACGAATCTCGCGCGAAAAACTTCCCCAGCTCCGCGATGACGCCCCCGATCAGTCGCACTGGAAACGTGTGATCAAACTTTCGATTGAACACCTCGTTCCACGTGCTCTCACCGTGTCGAATGAAGACGACGGTGCGCGTCTTCGTCGCCCGCGTCGCCAGCGTCTTCGGGTCCACCTTCGACCGCTTCCATCGCTTCTCATCGCTCGCCACCAGGTGCGCGTTCGCGCGCACCGCGTCGTGCACCTTTCGCACGCCGCGTTTCGCGCGCTTATCGACGAGCGACGCGCAGAGCAGGGCGCCGTACGCGGTGAGCAGCGCGCGCAGAATCATCGCAATCGTCGCCGCGCGCGCCCCGCTCGTCGCGCTCGAGCCCGCGTCCGCGAACCGCAGCGCGCCGAACAGCGCGTCCGCGAGCGCGCGCGCGATCGAACGCTCGATCGGCGGCGGCGCGCGCGAGAACATGCGCGTCGAAGAGTGCCGCGGTCGTCTGCCGTCGTCCTTCGTCCTTCGTCATTCGCCGACGGCCGTCGACGCGACGCTCGACGGTTCGCGCGACGCGCGCGACGCGCGCGCGGCGACGCGCGATGCCCGAGCGACGCGCGGACGCGCGCGGGCGGCGCGCGCGGACGATTGTATCCGTCGTTCGCGATGGCTGTCGTCGCTTCATCGCGCGCGCGCTCCGCGCCGGCCCGATCCCGCGGCACGTGGCGGTGATCATGGATGGGAATCGTCGGTTCGCTTGCGCGAGCGGCGTGGCGCTGGCGCGCGGGCACGCGCGCGGCGCGGACGTGCTCAGGGAGGCGTGCGCGTGGTGCTTCGAGCTCGGCGTGGAGACGCTGAGCGTCTACGCGCTGAGCACGGAGAATTTCAAGCGCTCGGAGCGCGAGCTCGAGGCGTTGTTCGATTTGGCGTGCGGGGAAATCGGAACGCTGATCGACGACGAAGGGTTGCGACTTAGAGAGGCGCGCGTGCACGTGAGCGGGGATTTGGACGCGCTGCCGAAGCGCGTGCGAGACAAGGCGAAGGAGGCGATGGAAAAGACGAAGGATAATCGAGGACCGATGTTGAACGTGTGCATGGCGTACACGGGGCGAGAGGATATCGCGCGCGCGGTGATGAAGACGCGGGAAGACGTCCGGGGAGGAGCGTTGGACGCGAGCGAGGTGGACGAACGCGCGGTGGCGTCGCGATTGCACGGCGCCGAGCGGGAAATCGAGCTCGGAGCAGGCATGCCGGAGGTTGATTTGCTCGTGCGCACGAGCGGGGAAACGCGGTTGAGCGATTTTATGCTCTTCAACGCGCGATTCGCGAAGTTGGTGTTCGTGGAGGTGTTGTGGCCGGATTTCACGTTTATGGATTTTGTGCACGCGGTTTGGCAGTATCAGCTCGGGGCGAAGGATTTGAAACGGTCGAGACAGGCGTACGGCGACGCGAATGCGATCGAGGCGGAATCTGCCGTCGTCGCCGAGGTTCGCGTTCAGCCGGGGCGCGTGGCGAAAGGGGCGAAGCGTAGTGTGTAGTCTAGTTTGTGTGCAATTGTAGTTGTTAGATGATGATTCGCGACGACGAGGGATGTACGTGACGCGCGAACCCGTCGCACTCGTCGACGCGCGCTCGGTCGATGCGCGCGAGTCTCTTGCGCGCGACGACAGTTGTTCTCCTGTTATATGCATCGACCGTGGCGAACGCGGCGTCGCTTAATGCTTTCGGTCAGGACGGTTTGTTTGAGTTCGACACCGTGACGGTTGCCATCCCATCCGCGTCGGCTCGCGAGGGAGGGGAAATCGTCGTCACGCATCCCACGGGCGTGATGGATGAACCCGCGCCGCTCGTGCTCTTCATGTTTCCAATACACGGTTTTCCGTTCTCGACATGGCGAACGCTCATGGCGAACGTCATTCGCGCGCTTGCGTCCAACGGCTTTGCCGTCGCGACGCCGGCGAGTATCGACCCGAACGGGAATCGCCCGATCCAAGGAGGCATGTTCCCAGGAACCACTTCGACGGTGAGCGGCATCGATCTTCGCGAGATGGCGACGCGCTATCTGAATTTTTTCACGCACGCGAGCAGGTACTTGGTCGACCTCGCGCAGTCGGATCCGAGCTTCGCGTTGCACGGCAAGCTCGATACGTCTCGCATCGGCACGATGGGCTTCAGCGTCGGCGGCGCTCTATCGCAATACCTCGCTCAGCGGCTAGATGCGGAGCTCCCCGGAAGAGTGGTAGCAGAAGTCGCGCTCGCGCCTACCATCGGCACGGAAGTTCCCTTCACAGGCGTCGACGACATCGGCGCCGAATTGTTTCGCGAGTTCGCGAGCTCGATGACGGTCCCAACCGTCTTTGTCGCCGGAGAAAACGATGGAATGGGTGGTCTGCGAGATTCGGCGATTTACTACGACCAATCGCGCGCACCGAGAGTGCGTGTGACTGCTGGTAATGGCGCCACGCATTGTCACGCCATCGTGCCGATGAGCGAATGCGATCTCGTTCAAGGCACCAGAGGTTTACAGAGCTTGGACTCCATCATCGCGCACGCGATGATGACGCTGTATCTTCGGCCAGACACGCCACGTTGGCGCGACGAACGTGAGTTAGCGACGGAAATCATATGGCGTGATGGTCTCGAGGCGCTTCACGCGCAAATGGTGACGCCGCTCGCGCCGCCGAACCGCGCGTGGGAGATTAGAAAAGTCGAACGCGATCCCGAGTTGTCTTTGACGATGAACGCGTATTCGGTCGCCGCACCGCTCGCGCCGCAATCGGTCGAGCTCATCGCTGTGGTGCGTTCATCGTCGCGCGCCGACGAATGCGACGAAGTGCAGGTGACGGTGGAGAACGTTCCAGTCGGCATCGAGGCGACGGTGACGCGATTATCGCCGACAGAGTTTGGAGTCGACGTGCGATGGACGACGGTGCCACAGCGCGCGCGCGGCGCACAAACGCGACAGTTTCTCGGAAACTTGCTCAACGCGAGATCAAACAGGCGTCCAGTCCAGGTGTCGAGCGAGTTCGGACCTCGCGTCGGCTTCGCCGCGCCCTCGCAGAGCGTGTTGACGATTCAGGCGAAACACGCGTGCGTGCGATCCGGCTTCGCCTTCGCGGACGTCTTCGTGAACCAGCCGTACGCGTATTGATGAGACGCAAATGATATAAAGTGGCATCACAACATCATAATTTCACACGCGCGCGCCGCTCGCCTAACGAATGTGGTGCCTAAAAGACTCAATTATCGACGCCGACTCGCCCGTCGAATCCGTCGAGCGCCCCCCCCCACGAATCGACCGGCGGTAACTCCACCGCGAATCGATTGAACGGCACGCGCCCGGTGCCCGACGAGCGCACTCGACCGTCCATTCGCAACCCAACGTAAACCCCTTTATCGTCGCTCACCTTTGACATCTTCTTCTGTTCCGCGACCCACTCCAACCAATCGTTCGCGCGCAGCGGCGTGCATCGAAACTTGCGATCCTCGGCGCTCGGCGCCTCGATCGCGCCGTCTCCTCGAATCACCGGCACCACGAGCACCCCGCGCTCGATCAACGCCTCCCTGACGTCCTCCGCGTCCTCCAGCGCGGTTCGCGCGTACGCCTCGTCCCCGCTCACCACGACTACCCTCGAAAACGACCGCAAATCCTCCAACCGCACCGTCTTCCCCCCCGCGAGCTCCACCCGCAATCGCCCCAACCTCTCCTCGCGCCCGATCCTCGCCATCTGTCGCTCGCGCGCCGCCTCCTCTCGCGCGTACAGCCACGCGAACGTCGCCAGCGCCGCGCCGTCGATCGCCAAATTCTCCAGCGATCCCTCCAGCGGCGGCGCGTTCGGCGCCCCCGCCGCCTTCGTCGCCGCCTGGATCGTCGCGATCCCGAATCCGATCGTCGCCGACGCCGCGCACGCGCCGTAGAGGAACTGTCGAGCCACGCGAAACGGCGCCTGCGCCTCGCTTCGCAGTTTCGTCTCGTTCGAGTACCGCGCGTCGTCGTCCTCGAGCGCGCGTCGCGGCGTCGTCGTCGCGCGTCGCGCCGGCCGTCGCGCCGCGCGTCGCGCCGTCGGTCGCGCCGCCGGTCGCGCGCTCGACCGCGCCGGCGCCGTCGCCATCGCCATCGCCGCGCGTCGTCGTCCCCCGTCGACGCAGTGCGCGGTCTTCGAGCATCGTACCCGGTCCGTGTTTTTAATCGACGAACCGCGAGACTCGGGTTCGAATCCCACGATCCGCGTCAGCGTCGCGGACGCGCGACACCGCCGCGACGACGCGACGCCGCGACGACGCGCGCGCGCGACGCGACGCGCGCGCCGACGACGACGACGACCGCGACGACGACGACCGCGCGCGAATCTCGACGCGATGGCGCGCGGCGCGGCGACGACGCGCGGCGTCGCATCCGACGCGGCGACGACGACGGGACGCGCGCGACGCGCGCGAATGGCGCGGCGCGGCGTCGCGCGCGCGACGCGAGGACGCGCGGCGATGACGACGACGGAGGACGAGGACGCGCGCGCGGCGCGGTTGGAGGCGCTCAGGGCGAAGTCGGTGGAGCTGCTGGAGAAGCGGCGCGCGCTGACGGAGAGGTTGGAACGGCGACGCGCGGCGCGGGAAGAGAAGAGCGCGTACGGGGGGGGGGGGAAGCCGGCGTTCGAGGACGCGTCGGCGTTCGTGGAGCGCGCGGGAAGCGGGGGGGGTGGGACGGCGTCGGAGGCGGCGGTCGCGGAGGCGGCGGTCGCGGAGGCGGCGGTCGCGGAGGCGGCGGCGGTCGCGGCGGCGGCGGCGGAAGCGGAGGCGGAACGTGAAGCGCCGGCGGCGCCGAAATGTCGAGAGCGGCTGAACATCATCATGGTCGCGAGCGAGTGCGCGCCGTTTAGTAAGACTGGCGGTCTTGGTGACGTCATGCAGTCGCTTCCGAAGGCGCTCGCCGGGCGAGGCCATCGCGTGATGGTCGTCGCGCCGAGGTATAAAGAGTACGAAGAAGTGTACGACACCGACGTTCGGTTGACGTTAAACATTCTCGGGAGTCAAGTGGAGGTTGGGTACTTTCACTCGTACCGCGATGGGGTGGATTTTGTGTTCGTCGATCACGGCGCCTATCACTTTGTGCGCGACAACATTTACGCGGGCGAACGCTCGGACGCGATGTTTCGCAACGCGATGCTGTGTCAAGCCGCTTTAGAGGCGGTGTGGCACGTGCCGTGCGGAGGTGTGCCGTATGGAGATGAAAATTTAATATTCGTCGCCAACGATTGGCACGCGGCGTTGCTTCCGGTGTACTTGCAGGCGTACTATCGCGATCACGGCAAGTTTGAGTTCGCGCGCTCGTGCTTCGTTATTCACAACATGGCGCACCAGGGTCGCGGACCTTTAGTCGAATTCAACAACTTGCAGCTTCCAGATCATTACAAGCACCACTTCTTGCTCGACGATCCGATGGGCGGTGAATGCATGAACATCATGCAAGCCGGATTGCGTCTCGCCACCAAAGTCATCGCCGTGAGCGAAGGGTACGCGTGGGAGATCACGACGGACATGGGCGGCTGGGGGCTCGCGCCGACGATTCGCGAATTCGGCGAGCACAAGCTCAGTGGCATCGTCAACGGCATCGACTTGAACGAGTGGTCGCCCGACATTGATCATCATTTGGACGGCGACGGATACGCGAGATACGAGCCGCGCGCCGGCGCGTTTGAGGACGGCAAGCGCGCGTGCAAACTCGCGCTTCAGCGCCAACTCGGGTTGGCCGAACGCGAAGACGTGCCTATTTTAGCATTCATCGGGCGTCTCGATGACCAGAAAGGCGTAGACTTGATCGCCGAAGCTGAAGGATGGTTGATGAGCCAAGACGTGCAACTCATCATGTTGGGCAGCGGGCGGGGCGATTTGGAAGACGCTCTGCGGGGGATGGAGAGCCGACATCACGACAAATGTCGCGCCTGGGTTGGGTTTTCGGTGCAAATGGCGCATCGAATCACCGCCGGGGCGGACATTCTGTTGATGCCCTCCCGATTCGAGCCGTGCGGATTGAACCAACTGTACGCGATGCGGTACGGCACCGTGCCCGTCGTCCACGCCGTCGGCGGCTTACGAGACACGGTGAAGCAATACGACCCGTTCAATGACACCGGTAACGGTTGGACTTTTGATAGCGCGGAAACGAACAAGCTCATCGACGCCATGGGCCACGCGATTACAACCTATCGCGATCACCGGGACGCGTTTCGCCGTATTCAAGCGCGCGGTTTCGAGCGCGATTTGGGTTGGGATCGCGCCGCCGAGCTCTACGAAGACCGTTTCATCGACGCCAAGTACTCGTGGTGATCACGTCGTCTCGTTTTACCCTTGTAACGCACGCGACAGCGTTTCTAGCCACGCGTCTCGTTCCGTCGCCCGACGTTCGCGTCTCGCTCGCCTCCGCGCGGCGTCAACCCTCCGCGCGGCGCGTGCCACTCCCCGCACACGCCCGCGCGTCCGTCGTCGCACCGCGCGCGCGGTTCGGCGACATGGAAGACCTTCGCGCCGCACTCGCTGGGTCAGTGAGCGCCGATGAGGGCACGCGCGTCGCCGCCGACGCGTTTTTAAAATCCGCCGCCGCCCGCAGCGGCGCCGCGCTCGGCCTTCTCGGCCTCGCGAGCGACGCCGCGACGGAGATGGGCACGCGGCAGAGCGCGAGCATTTACTTCAAGCATCTCGTCAATAAGTCGTGGACGCAGCGCGAAGGCGCGACGGCGACGACGGAGACGAATCCGATCTTGGACGAGGGCGACAAAGCGGCGGTTCGACGCGTCGCGCTGGAGGCGATCGCGAACACGCCGAGCAAGGTGCGAAGTCAGCTCGTGGAGGCGGTGCGAGTGATCGTTCATCATGATTTCCCCGGGCGTTGGCCGGAGGTGGCGAATCAGGTGCTGGATGGGTTGAACGCCGCGTCGTCGAGCGAGAGCGGAAAGCTGTGCGGGACGGTGTTGGTGTTGCACGCGCTGTGTCGAAAGTATGAGTTCAAGGCGGTGGATGAGCGAGCAGACATCGAAGAGATGATACGCGTGGTGTTTCCAAAGTTGCTGGAGATTTTGAAGGCGTTGCTTGCGTATCAAGGCCCGCCGGACACGGAATTGGAGGAGTTGAAGAAGGCGATTTGCAAGACGTACTTGAGCGCAACGTATCTTAACGTCGGACCGTCTTTGCGCGAGGAAGGGACGTTTCGGGAATGGATGGCGGCGTTTCACGCGATCATCACCGCGCCAGTGCCGACAGAGAATATGCCGACGGACGATAAGACTGAGTTGAAACATTGGCCGTGGTGGAAGACGAAGAAGTGGGCGATGCACGTCGTCAATCGGATGTTCAATAGATACGGCAACTTGAAAAAGTGCCAACCTCACGACAAGGCTCAAGCGACGGTGTATCGTGACAAATACGCTGGACACTTTGTGACAGTATACATCCAATTACTGAGCTCCCTCGCCACGGGTGCGGTGATGCCCGACCGAGTCGTCAATCTCGCCGTGCACCATCTCTCCACGGCGTTGGGGGTTCCGACGATGTACAAGCACATGGAGCCGCACCTCGATGCAATCTTCCAGCAAATCGTATTTCCAATGCTATGTTTCAGCGCTGAGGACGACGAGCTGTGGAAGGATGATCCCCAAGAGTACGTTCGAAAATCACAAGATCTCATAGAAGACATGTATTCGCCACGAACCGCGGCGTGCAGTTACACACAAGAATTGGTGATTACCGGCAGGCGTCTGAAGGAAAACTTGCCAAAGGTGTTAGGCGCGATGGTTCAAATATTCACCAAAAACTCTTCCAGCGTCAGATCCGGGCCGATGGACGCTAGAGCGCGATACGAACTCGATGGCGCGCTGCTCGTCATCACCACCCTGTCGCAACTTTTATCCACGCACCCGGATTACGCAAAGGAAATCGAAGGTATGCTCATGACGCATGTTGTTCCGGCATTTGGTTGTGTACATGGTCATATTCGCGCCAAGGCGGTATCGTGCGTATCAAAGTATTCGGATATCACGTTCCGAGACCAGAATAACTTTATGCAGCTGTTTTCGAGCGTCGTAAATGCGATGAAGGATCCCGAAATTCCGGTGAGGTTCGAGGCAGTCGTTGGGCTCGGAGCTTTTGTGCAAGCCACAGACGACGTGAGCGCGCTGAAGGGTATTCTACCACAGTTGTTAGACGAGTTTTTCAAGCTCATGAACGAAGTGGAGTCGGAAGATGTTGTGTACACGCTTGAAACAATCACCGAAAAGTTTGGCGAAGACATCGCGCCCTTCGCTTTGGGCATGACGCAGAACCTCGCCGCAGCGTTCTGGAAGGTTGTGCAAGAAGCTGAAGGAAAGGATGACGATGAGTACGGCATGATGGCATGCATGGGATGTCTGCGCGCCATGTCGACGATTCTCGAATCCGTTTCTAGTTTACCGCACATGTACCCCGAACTTGAAGCCGCCGTGTTCCCAATTTTGCATAAAATGATTAGCGAAGAAGGATACGACGTGTTTGAGGAAGTTTTGGAGATATTGTCCTACCTAACGTATTTCACTCCGGTCGTGACACCACGCATGTGGGAACTCTGGCCGCTGATGATGCGCATGATGGATGACTGGGCGCTGCAATATTTCGAGAATATGCTCATTCCGCTCGACAACTACATCAGTCGAGGCACGGAGCACTTTCTCACCCCTGGCTCGAGTTACGTGGAAGATACGTATAAGCTGTGCGAAAAGGTATTAGGAGGCGATTATCCCGAGCCCGATTGCTTGCCAGCGCCAAAGTTGATGGAGTGCGTGATGACGAATTGCCGCGGCCGCGTCGACGTCGTCATCGAACCGTACGTGAACATTGCACTTGCGTGTCTCGCGACTGCGGAGTTGCCACACTTTAGGGATTGGCTCATGATGACTTACGCGCATGCACTTCATTATAACGCATCGCTTGCGCTGGCAGCGACGAACCGAACTGGCAAAACGAACGAAGTGTTCGCGTTGTGGTCGAACATGCTCGCCGAGCGCAGGAAGAGTGGAGAACGTAAAAACTTCACCTCTGAACACGCCAAGAAAGTTTGCGCGTTGGGACTCATGGCGCTTTTGCAAGCGCCGGCAGAGTCGTTAACACCTGAGATTCGAGGTGCGCTCGGAGGTATTCTTGACACGCTCATCTCTTTACTCGAAGATTTGCGATTGCAAATCACGGAGCGCAAGTCGGATGAAGCGAGCGGCAAGAGTAGGCATCAATGGAATGGCCTTGGCCTCTTCGACGGCGAAGACGAATACGAGGAACACAACTTTGACGAAGAGGACGATGATGGAGAAATGCACTTTGACGCGACGACGCTCCGCGCGTTGGCGAAGCAAGCGCAAGACGCTGATCCGTACTCTCGCGCCGGCGACGTCGACTCAGAAGACGACGAGCATTTCTTCTTCGACGACGATGACGATTCGTGCCAAAGCCCGCTAGACGACATTGACACGTTCATCGTATTTTCGGAGTGCATGAATCAGTTGCATCGCACCGGTAGTCTCAATCCGAGCGCTGAATCTCATTCAAAATTGCAGGAGTTGATCAATCACGCCGCGATTCGTGCCGAAGAGTTCCCTCGAGAGCGCGCGGAGGCGAAGAAGGAATCACACGGCGTGTCTGGTAGTTGAACGAGTACCAGCATACCGGCGGTACGTTAGACTGATAATTATGTGAATATACTTAGTACAACAAGTAGCTAGATCGTACGTTTTTTACCTCGTTATTCGTCGAGATTTATTTCGTTGAGAATGCGAGACATCTCGTCGGGGATGTTCGCGTGCTTAAAAGACATTTCAAAGTTTTCGACGTCATCTCTATCGACGCGCTGTAACCCAGCCAATCCGAGCGTCGTATCAACGCTCTTGAGTCTATAAAAGAACAGCAGCATCCAGTCGTCGGGGACGTACACATTGACCAGTCGCCCCGATACCACTTCTCGCATCGGTTCCCAGACTTTATTCGACGTAGACATCGGCGCCGAAATGAACACGACGCGCTCGACAATTTTCTTTCCCTTTTCACCAGCGGCGTGGAGCTTCATCAGCGCGCTCTGAACCACAAACGCGCCAGAGCTGTACGTCACGAACGTCACGGGTCGTCGACCGTGCTGCTGGGTGAGCAAAGCGTTGGCGATTTCCTCCCCGGCGATTTCCGCCTTTGCTCGCGCAATCGTCCACGGATTGTCTAGGTAGCACGCGCAGCTGAGGAGCGTCACCGGCCAAGACACCGCGGTCGTGATCGACGCGAGCGCGGTTCGAGCTAAAACTTTCGGCGCGGCGACCGTGATGGCGTACTTACCACCCACGAACTGCATCGCGGTGCCGAGTTCGGTGAGCGTGGACGGCTCCCAGTTCAGCACGTATTGTTCGCCGGTGTGATTTCCCCACTCAGGTTTTGCCGCCGGCGCTTCGGCGTCCTTCTCGTCGATCGTCTTCTCCAGCACGACCTCCCTCATCTTTTCCACCAGCGAGTCCATTTTTTTATCCAACGCCTCGTCCTTGGTGAGTTGCAGTCGTAGCTCCAACGGCCGCGGCATGGCTTCCAGTTCCTCAATCTTCGGCGTCTTGCCCTTCTTGCTCAAGATTTTACTCGAACGCGAACGCGCCAACTCTTGCGGATCGATCGAGCGGTAAGAAACCAAGATACTCCCAGAGATCACCCCAGCCAGAGACGCCGCGCCCTTGACGGTCTGCTTCAACGCGTCGGTGGTTTGCACGATCAAATAGCCGTCGTCGTCGCGCTCGAGCGTCATCCCGAGTTCGCCCGGATCATCGATCACGACGACGTATTGATTCTTTTCCGCTCCCCACGCGCGGAGTAAATCGCGCTCATCGCGCAAAAATCCAGGAACGAACACGTGCAGCGCGAATCGTCGCCCGACGCCGCGCAGAGGAATGAACTGAAACTGTTCCATCTCCGTCGACGTTCGACGCAACATCGCGTACCCAGTCAGCCCCGCGCCCGTGGCGCCGAACACGGCGCCGACGCCGCCCAGCGTCGCCAACACCCCCGTCGTCGCCGCGCCTATCACGCCCAGCCCGCTCAACGACGCCAGCACCGCCGGCGCCGCGACCCCCCCCGTGACGAACAACGCCGCCCCCCCGATCGCCGCCGCTCCACCGATTTTCACCGCCCGCGTCCACGACCACTCCCCCTCCGCTCGTTCTTCGCTCTCCGATTCGCTCCCATCGTCCAACGCCGCCGCGCGTCGCATTCGCTCCGCCGCGCCGTCCTCCGCCTCCGCGAACGTCCTCCACGACTCGCCCGCGCGCGTCGCCCGCGTTCTCAATCCCGCTCTCGCGTCCGCGTCGTACGTCCCGCTCGCGATCAGCGCCTCCGCCGCGAATTCCACGCTCATGCGCTCCATGCTCTCCTCCTCGTCGCCGGATTCGTCGTACGTCGCCATGCGTCCCGCGCGTCGCGTCTCCGCCGCCGCCTCGAGCGCGCGTCGAACGCGCGCCCCCGTCTCTCGTCGCCGTTCGCGCGTCCAGTGCGCGCGTCCCACGTCCGCGTCGAAGTCCACGACGGACCAATCGATCGTCGTCGGCATCGCGTCGCCGTCGCTCGAGACGCGCGTCGGATTCGGATCGGAATTCGCGTCGCGCGCGACGATCCGCACTCGCGAGCGCGACGCGCGCGCGCGTCCGAGCGCGCGCGATGGCGAACCCGTGCCCGACGCCGTACCCGGAGCGGTGCGCGCGCGTCCGAGCGCGGCGCGCATGCGAGCGCGCGGCGCTCTGACGAACTCGACCGCGACCGTTGGAGCGCGACGATTCGAGCGCGATTCGAGCGCGGCGACTGACCCGCGCGCGAACGCGCGACGCAGGTTTCACGCGGCGACGCGCGTGGGGAACTCGAGCGCGGCGCGGTCGTTTTTCAGCGACGAGACGCGATTGATGCTCTTCGCGTTGGAGCGACGCGCGACGCGCGGCGCGTTGACGACGGTGCGCGAACAGACGGGCGCGTCCGACGCGGAGGCGCTGGCGGAGGACGCGCACTTGGCGGAGGGCGACCCGCGGGCGCTGCGAGCGATGGCGCGGGCGTGGGAGGCGCTGGACGCGACGCCGGCGAACGAGGCGATGCGGCTGTACGTCAAGGTGCTGGACGAGGAAAAACCGAATTGGTGGGACGGCGCGGCGACGGAGGCGCGGCGAAGCAATCGTGGGATGCACGCGAAGGGCGGGATGGAGGCGCTGCCGGAGGCGATGCGCGTCGAGCGCGGGAGATGGGAGTTTTTGGAGTACGCGGGGACGAAGCCGACGGCGCGGTTTCAACACGCGGCGACCGTCGCGGGCGCGAAGATGTACGTCATCGGGGGATCGTTTCGCGGACGATTCATGAACGACACGCACGAGCTCGATTTGACGACGTCGACGTGGCGGCGGTTGAAGACGAAGCCGGGGACGAGCGCGTTACCGGCGTGCGCGGGGCATCGGGCGGTGACGTGTCGAGGCGTCGTCTTCGTCGTCGGCGGCCGGTTCAAGGGACCGGAGACGAGCGCCATGTCGGTGTACAGGATGGAAACGAAAGACGATGGATTAGACGAAGTGGAATGGGTCAAGATTGAAACCGGCGGAGACGAAGCGCCGTGCGCGCGTCGCGGCGCCTCGGTCACGATGGTCGGCGAACACAAGTGCATCGTCTTCGGCGGCGAAGACGACGAGCGACGATTTTTGAACGACGCGTGGATTTTAGACATGACTTCTTTCGTGTGGCGCGCGGTGAAGGCACCCGGTGGGCACCCTCCAGAGTCTCGCGCGGAGCACACTGCGACGATGTGGGGCCAAGACACGCTGCTCGTCTTCGGCGGTACGGGCAGATCGACGAAATGTTTTTCATCACTCTTTGCGCTCGACTTAGTGCAACACAAATGGATAGAGGTGAATCCTCGCGGCGCGGCGCGCGTCGAGCCTCGCGCGGGTCACGCGGCTGTCTTGATCAAAGACGGTCGGTTCTGGGTCCTCGTCGGCGGAGGCAACAACGAGCGCGGGCTCTCAGAGTGTTCGATTTTAGATTTGGAGGAGATGGAATGGGTCGATCGGAACGATGCATTTCTCGCACCGCCGATCGTGGGAGAAGGCATGACGTTGTGCGCGCTGAGCACGCGCGATGGTATGGAGGACGCCGTCGTCGCCTTTGGTGGATACAACGGAGCGTGCCAAAACGAGACGCAAATCTTGCGCGTGCCGGAAGATTTCCCCGAGCACGAAGCCCTGGCGAGCGATGAAAATCGCGCTCCACCGGTGAGCACGAGCGTTCTGCGCGATGACAAGTCGATCGAACGAGACGACGAACGAGACGACGAACACGCGTCCTCCCCGGCGTCGGCGCTTATCGATTTCGCTAGTCCGGACAAGCCGGCGGCGACCACCTTCGCTTTCGGCACCGACGCGAGCGTGCAGGCGTACAGAAAAGAAAACGTCGAGCTCCGTCGCGCGTTACATCGCATGCGGAACGACGCCCAAATCGTCGCCGACGCACACGCCGCCCTCCGCGTGCGATGCGAGGACCTCGAGCGCGGCTTGAGCGACGAGCGCCGCCGCAACGAAGACCTCGAGCGCAAAGTCGCCGCGCTCGCGGAGCAAATTCGCGGCGGTTTAGGTGCCAGCGGTTCATTCTTCTCTCCTTGATTTCGTTTAGCGTTTAGTGTTTAGCATTTCACCGCACATGCATCGCGTTTCAGCCGCGCGCCGCGTCTCCTGGCCTCCCTCTCCTCGAAAGTGACGCGAAGAGTCGCGCGCGCCGCAGTGCGCGACGCGCGCGATCGCCGCGCCCGAGAGCGCCACGAACGCGAACGAACGCGAACGAACGCGTGATGGGGCTTCATCTGCGTCAGCGCGCGCAGGAGTTGGCGCGCACGGTCGCGACAACGCGCGGCCGTCCGTCGCGCAGTTCGTCGCGCAGAGACGCGACGGAGAGCGAGCACGAGCGCGCGAATCGCATCGTGCGCGAGCGCAAGCTCAACTACGATCGATTGTCGTTCTGCGTCATGGCGTGCGCGATGTGGGCGATGCTGCGGTTCGCGTTCGGGGAGGTGATGGCGCCGAACGGGGCGAACGTCGAGCTGAGCGGCGGCGGCGTCTGGGCGGTGGCGCTGATTTGGGCGTGCGCGCACGTCGGTGGGGCCGCGGCGGTGATGTGTGGGCTACCGTCGTTGACTGGAATGTTGTTGTGCGGGTTGCTGCTGAGAAACGTGCCGGGAGGCCTGGTGAACGATTTGCCAGAGCGGTGGTCGAGCGACATTCGCGCCGCCGGTTTGAGCGTGATTTTAATGCGGAGCGGGTTAGAGTTAGATTTGGACGCGTTTCGCTCGATAGGATGGATGGCGAGTCGATTGACCGTCATGCCAGGGCTCTCTGAAGCGATCGCGTGCGGGTTATTTTCGATGCTGATATTTAAAATGTCGTTCCCGCTCGGGATGTGCTTGGGGTTCATCCTGGGCGCGGTGTCGCCCGCGGTGGTGGTGCTCGGCATGTTTGAGTTACAATCGCTCGGTTACGGCGTGGCGAAGGGAATTCCGTCGTTAGTCGTCGCGGCGGCGTCGTTTGATGACGTCGTAGCGATCACGGGGTACACGATCTTCAAGTCGTTCGCGCTAGGCAGCAAGGGACACATGGCGTGGACGATTTTGCACGGTCCCGTGGACGTGTTGGCGGGTCTGTGCGTCGGCACGCTCGGGGGGGTTATTTGCGGTATGACGAAAATTTGGAACGAGCGTTGGAAGAGATCGTCCATGGTTATGATTTTAGGGTTGTTTACGATGTTCTTAGGTCGACATTACGGGTTCAACGGTGGTGGCGCCATGTCCGCGCTCGCTTTGGGCATCTCGGCCAATAAGTGTTGGCGCACGAACAAGCCGCACCCGGCGCTGACAAACGGACCTTCCGACGATCACGCGCACGGTGTGGAGACTGATTTGGCCAAGTTATGGCGTTTCATATTTCAGCCCTTGCTGTTCGGCGTCATCGGCACGGCGGTGAGTTTCAAAGACGTCACGCCGTCGACGATTCCCAAATCCATCGGTCTTCTCCTCATCGGTATTTGCATTCGTTTGCCCATGGCTTATGTAGCCGTGGGCGGCGGTGAGCTATCGCGAATCGAGCGCGCGTTTGTGTCTTTGGCATGGATCCCCAAAGCCACCGTCCAAGCTGCGCTGGCATCTGATCCGCTGGATTACATCATAGAGAAGAAAAAATCCGCCGAGTACGTGTCGTGGGGCAACGACATTCTCACTACGGCGGTATTTTCAATCATTTTAACCGCGCCGCTCGGAATGGTCATCATCGCCACGCTCGGGCCGAAGTGGTTACAGAAGGATCAGAAGAACGCCATCGTGAGCAACGTCGAGCCCGGAGACGACATTGTCAAAAAAGTTGAGCTGGTCCGAAGAAACTCAATTGAAACTGCGGCGCGACGAACGAGCGAGGAACGTCGCGGCAGTTCCGTCGACGGCGGTTCGCCGTTCAGCGAACGTGTTGCAGACTTCTGGCGCGATGATGGCGCGTCATCTCGTCGCGATCAACGCGAAGGGAGCGTGATTTCAGAAGCTGACTCGCCAACCGGACTGAAGGGCGCGTCGGCGAGCGAAAAGCTCGTCTATCACCTCGCCACCCTTCGCGATTTCGCCACGGATTCCGCAAACCTCGAACCTGAGGACATGAAGCTCATCCAAGACGCTTCGGACGAAATCGAAGCAATCATGCGCGAGCATTTACCGCGCGTGCGCTCGGTGGACACTCCGGGTTTGTTCTTCCGTCGAACGTCGGCGACGTACGCCGATTTAGACCTTCCCGCGCCCGAGGAATTCATCGAAGCCGACGTCGAGGTCACGGACCCGCGCGTCAACTCGGACGAAGCAGTGTAGACCATAGATGTCGCGCAGCTTTCGCGGTCGACGTCCTCTCGATATCGATGTAACGAAGAAACCGCCCCGCGGCGCCGCACACGTCGACTCTCCGTCGCGCCATGTCGCACGCCGTCGCCTCGACGTCCTCGCGCGCGCCGCGCGCCCACGCGACGCGTTGCCGGCACCGTCGCACGCGCGCGCGCGTCGTCGTTCGCGCCTCGGCGGCGCCGAGCGACGAGGAAACGCCCGAAAGCGTGCTCAGAGTGAGCCGACGAACCTCGTTCGAAGGTCTCAAAGCCGCGCGTCGCGTCGAGTTACAGGCGGCGCGCGACGCCGGCGACGACGAGAGAGCGGCGAAAGTGGAGTGGGCGTTCGATGCGCTGATCGCGCAGTCAAAAACGTTCTTCGAAGAGCGCGTGAAGACGGATGAGAGTCCAGAGAGTCGATTCATGTTGGGCAACTTTTATCAAACGCTGGAAAAGTTTGACGACGCGGAGCGGGAGTATCGACGCGCGCTGGAGCTCGGGACGAACGTGGACGCGGCGAATAATTTAGCGATGATATTACAGGCGCGAGGAGAGTTAGATGAGGCGGAAGCGTATTACTTAAAGGCGTTAGAGCCGGATCCCGATTGCGTCGACGTGCTCTTTAATTGGGCGACGTTGAAGCTCGAGTGTCGAAAAGACTTGAACGCCACGCGGATTTTGATTGAACGCATCGTTACGATACAGCCAGATCTTAAGAAACATCCGCTGGTGAAGGCGTTGAGGGACGACGACGACGACGACGACGACGAGCCGTTCATTCCGCCGATTTAGTTTCGATTTGTGAATGTGAATTGAAAATTTCGAGCTGCAATAGTTTTGCGTCTACACCTCGATCTCGAACATCTCTTCCGGTTCTTCCTTGGCTGGGGGTGGTGCACTGCGCGTAGGCTTAAGTTTTGGAATGTTCGGGGGCACTTCCCAACGAAGCAAACCCCAATTGATGGATTTGAAAAATGGGTGTGACTTAATTTCTTCGGCACCGCCGAGCGTGCCCAAGCGATTTGTCGTATCGTGCTGCAGTAATTTACCGACACAATCTTTGAAATCGTCGCTCATGGGAACGTCATCTGGGAACGTCACTTTCCCATCCGAGATTTTGTTGAACGTCTCTTCTCGCGTCGCCGATTTGAACGGTGTCGTGCCGTACGCCATCTCGTACATGAAAATGCCCAGTTCCCACCAGTCAACCGAACCGGAGTGGCCGGTACCGTTCAAAACCTCTGGGGAAAGATACTCTTCCGTGCCGACAAAAGAGTTCGTGAATGTGAACGGTTCCGCCATAAGCATGGGATTGGAACCGTTCTTTGGCAGTCGCGGCGGCTTGAGTGACTTCTTTGACGACGCTTGCTCGACGGCTCGCTCGCCGGCGATCCAAGACGGGTTCCCAGGTTGAATATTAATGTGCGGTTTGCATGTCGCGCAAAACGACAGGTCGAAATCGGTGATAACGATGTGCCCACTACGACGTAGCAAAACGTTCTCCGGTTTCAAGTCTCTGTACACGAATCCGAGCAAGTGCAGGTACTGGAGCGCCACGAGTACTTCCGCCGCGTAAAACCTCGTCGCATTTTCGCTCAGACGCCTGTCTGGAATCTTTTGCAGGAAGTCATATAGCTCGCCTCCTTCGCAATACTCCATCAAAAAGTACACGTGAGTCGCGGTTTGAAACGACGCGAACAACGTCGCCACGAATGGGTGGTCGACTTCGTTCAAAATCGTCGACTCAGTGTGCAAACGGTGAAGCTTGTTGCGGTCGATGATTTCCTGCTTGGTCAAAATCTTCAATGCGAACGTGATATCTTGCTGTTTGGCGAGGGTAACCAAGTGCACGGTGCCCACATCGCCTTGTCCAATGCGCTTTACCGGCACGAAGTCGTCGATCGTTAAAGCTCTGGTGCCATCGTTCGTCGCCTTGCGCAGCGCCTCCCAATGACGACGATTTTCAATTTGATGAGGCTTGGGCGTGAGCATTTTCCCGTGCATGCGCACCCACGGTGGCTCGAACTCTTTGTCTTTTGCCGTCGCACCGGCGACCATACTCGCCGCGCCCTTCGATATGGCTATGTTCTCTTCATCCGTGCCCTTGAACGTGATCTCCGCGATCGACTCGTCCTCGGTGCTCGGATCGTGCGCGGTGATGTCCACCTGTACGCCCGCAAAAAATCGTACAATTCCCTGGTCATCACGCACGGGGGCCAACGTGAACATGTTCCAAAACTGCTTTCCGCTCTTTGTGTAATTCAATAATCGCACCGTACACTCTTCCCCGAGCTCGATCGCCTGACGAATCTTCGCCACCGCCGCTCGATCCGTCTTCGGCCCTTGCAAAAACCGACAGTTCCGTCCCAAGATTTCATCCACAGAGTATCCAGTAAAATCCATGAAACCGTCGCTCGCGAACACGATCGGATGATCGGGCAACGACGGATCGGTGATGACGAACGATTGCTCGATGCGCTCGAGCGTCGAGGCCAAATCCAAACCCACGCGTCCCTTCCTCGCGCCCGCGTCGTCCACGCCATCCTCAGATAACCCTTCCGCCGCTCGCACCGCGTTCTCCACCTCGCTCACGCGCCCTAGCGACACGGCTGCCGCGCGAGCGTCGTAGCGACTCGGCACTGGCATCCCTTCCTCATCGAAATCGATCCCTCGCTCGCCCGTCGTCGCGTCCTTCACCTCCGTCACGTCCACCTGCACGCCGATGTACTTCGCCACCGTCCCATCCGCCAGTTTCACCGGCGCGACGACGAGATAATTCCAAAACGGCGTCCCATCCTTCTTATAATTCAACAACCGCACGCTCCATCGATCGCCCCGCTTAATCGCCTCTCGCAGCTCGCGCACGTCGTTCCCATCCGTCGCCTCTCCCTGCAAAAATCGACAATTATGCCCGATCACCTCGTCCGCGCCGTACTGCGTCATCCGCAGGAACCCATCGCTCGCGTACACGATCGGACAATCCTCCCTCGTCGCGTCGCACACGGTGAACGTGTGATCGAACGCCGCGAACGCCCTCGCGACCTTGGCGTCCAGGCTCGGCGCGTGCGCGCCGCCCTCGATCGACCTCGCGCGCGACATCGTCGCCGTCTCCTCGCGACGTCTCCCGCGTCGTCCCGCGCGTCGTCCCGCGCGTCGCCCCGCGCGTCACCGCGTCACCGCGTCACCGCGTCGCGCGTCGCGCCCTCAAGATAACGAATGCCCTCGCCGCCGCGTCCGCGCGCGTCGACGCGCGTCGACGCGCTCGCGCCGCGCGTCGCGCGTCGCGCGTCGCGACGCGCGTCGCGGTTCCGCGCGTCCGTCGCCGCGCGTCCGTCGACGGGCGCGCGTCGACGCGTTCTGGCGCGACGGGCGCGCCCAACCGTCGTCGTCGCACTCGGACGCGCGCGCGACGCGCCGACGACTCGACCCGCGCCGACGATGCGCGCGCGCTGACGACTCGACCCGCGCGACCGCGACCGCGACGACGCGCGACGACGCGCGACGCGCGACCGCGACGACGACGCGAATGGATGCGACGACGACGACGACGCGAATGGACGCGTTCGCCGCGGCGCTGGGCGCGCTCGACGCCGTCAGGGCGGGATACGCGACGGGCGCGCGTCCGCGATGCCTCACCGCGATCGTGGACGCGTACGACGACGTGGCGGTGGAGGGGGCGATGCGGACGCTGAGCGGACGAGACGACGCGGCGGCGGTGGCGGCGCTGGCGAGACGACGCGCGAGGTGCGACGAGGGCGCGGCGAACGCGAGGGCGAGCGATCGGGACGATGGAGACGATGGGAAAGACGCGAAAGACGCTGGATTCGCGCCGACGCTGGATGTGGGGCGACAGGGCGTGGATGAGGAAAGCGGGTGGGGCGCGATGCACCACGCGGCGCATTACGGCGCGTTGGCGTGCTGTCAAACGCTGTCAAAGACGTGTCGAAACGCGGATTGGGAGCGACCGCGCGATCGACGAGGACGGGGGGCGATAGATTTGATCAGTGAAAAGTTGACGAGGGATCGGGCGAGGAAACGCGCGATCGGGGGTGGGGGAGACGAAGCGGCGCGAACGACGTTTGTGCGTTCGTTTGGAAGCGGGGCGAATTATTGCTTGGGGACCGGGAGCACGGAGACCGAGCGCAAGCCCGCGCGCGTGGAGGGGGCGCTGATGAAGGCGAACGTGTCGCGGGTGAGCACGTCCAAGTTTCACGCGCTCGCCGTGGATGAGAGCGGGAGCGTGTACGCGTGGGGGTGCGCTCGAGACGGAGTTTTGGGATTCGGACGCGAACGCGGAGACGAGGCGGTGGTATTTCCGACGCTCGTGCGTAGCTTTGGATGCGACGTGCGCGTCGTGCGCGTTTCCGCGGGTCTCGCGCACAGCGCGGTGACGACGGATGCGTTCGAGACGTTTACGTGGGGAAACGGAGCGCTCGGGCGATTGGGATACTCCGTCGCCGTCGACGATTCGGCGTCCGACGACGAACGCGAACGCGAGCGGAGGTGCACACAATTCACGCCGCGTAAGGTGCCGAACATGGCTGGCGCGCGCGCCGTCGACGTGTCGTGCGGCGACACCTTCACGGCTGTGCTCGACGCCGACGGCGCGGTGTGGACGATGGGTTCGAACGCTCGAGGGGCGCTGGGATACTACCTCGGCGGCGGCGGCGACTCGCGAGACGGGCCGCACTCGAGCGTCGCCAAGCAGGTGGAATATTTAAAACACCGTGACGTCGTCGTGACCGGTGTGTCGAGCGCAAAACAACACGTCGTCGCGTGCTCGTCCGCCGGCGACGTGTACTCGTGGGGCAACGGATCCGTCTCTGTTCGTCGAGTTGTCATCCCGAAAGCGTCAGCCGACGGCACGCGATGGCACGAGCTCGATCAAAAGATTATCAAGGTTTCTGCGGGTGCCGCGCAAAGCGCGGCGCTCACCGCCGACGGTTGGGTGTACGTCTGGGACAGCGCGTCTGAACGCGTCGAAGCGCGGTTGCTCGCTGACGGCGACGGACCGGGTGGACGCGCCGTCGACGTGTCGTGCGGAGCGACGTCTTCCGCCATCGTCACCGACACTGGTGATGTGTACACGTGGGAGTCGACTGAGCTCGAAGTCGTCGACACGGCGTCGAAGAACGTGCTCTCGTCGGCGTCGCCAAAATCTTTCGCGAGTTCCGGTGAATTTGCGGCGAAGCGACGATGCGGGGCACTTCGTCGTGTCAGCGGATTGAAGGGTGTCGCGAGCGCGTGCGTAGGAGACGCGCATGTGTTGGTGCTGCAAGCGATTTCGCGTCCGCAATTTTCTCTGGGGCGGTTGGATCCGCGGCGAAAGAAGGCGTCTGTAGAATCCGAGCTCGATCGCTTGATTCGCGACATCGGTTCCGTCGTCGTGTCCCCGCCTCGACCTCGCGACGAAGAAGACGTGGAAGAAAGCGAGGAAGAAGAGGACTTTGAAGACGATGAAAGCGAGTTCCCGTCTTTGAACGTGTTGGCGCAACACGCCGTGGCGAAATTCATCGAACCGAGAAACGTGTTGAATGTTGTGCAGCTCGCCGATCAAATTAACGCCGTGGCGCTGAAGCGGTTCGCCATCGAGTACGCGGTGAAGAACCTCGACGTCGTTTTGTTGGAAACACCGAAGGCGAGTTTCGATTCGCTCGAGGAGGAGACTTTGGAGGACATCACCCAGGTACTGCGTTCGGGCGATGTCGTCGGCGGGTGGACGGAAGCCGCCACGGCGACGCGAAGCGTGGGTCGTGAGCCGGACGATGAAATCGAGCGTGCGGCAAAATTAGCGCCTCGTGCGAGAGCTCAACCCAAAGTGCACGAAGAAAAGGTTGACGTCGGCAAACCGCCGCTCGCGTCGCAAGTCGTCGCGAAGGCCGCACCTCGAACGCCGCCGTCGTCTTCTTCCCGCGTCAAGGGTTCATTGAGTATGTTTCTTTCGGGTGAATTGGATAAAGACACTTCGACGCCGAGCGCACCATCGAGCAACGTCGCGTTATCTTTGCGAGACATCCAATCACAGCAAGAGCGAGCGGCGAGTCGGTCGAAATCGCTCGAGCCGAGCGGGGCGGCGCCGGCGCCGATGTTCTCGCCGTCGCCCTCAAGCCCGGGTGCGTTCTCTCTCGGTGATCTCTTGAGACGCACCGCGGCGTCGTCATCGTCAAAGAAACCAGCCTGGCGACCTCCGAAAAGCGCATCACCGACGATGCGTGAGATCATCGCCGCCGAAGCCTCCGCGCAGGCGGCGGCGTTCGCCACGACGACGGGTTTTGACGTCGCCCGCGCTTCGCCCACCGACCGCTCGTCGTGGTACGTCGCCGAACCTAGCGACCGTAAAAAATCACTGCGTGAAATCCTCGACGAAGAGCGCCAGCGCTCCGCCGAAGAGGCTGAACTCGCCCTCGCGCTCGAAGCCATCGCTCGGCTCGAGCGCGGCGCCGGCGACAAGAAATCCGCCCCCAGGCGTCGCCGAGGCGGCGCGCGCGGCAAAGGCAAGGCTGTCGAGCCCACGAAAGCGAACGCGCGCAGAAAAAACACTAGCCCAACGTAGTCCAGCCGTAGCGAGCTTAGAAGTTTAGAAATTCCACTTCGCGCCGGGTCGCGGCGCGAGCCCCGGACCTATTGAAAACCCTCGAGTTCAACAGCCATTGTGTCACACGCCGCCTCGCTCGCCGAGCCCGCCGTCCCGCCCCCCCCGAACGCGCGAAGCGTCTTCTATCGTCTCTTCCTCACCCACCGCGCGCGATGCACGCCTGCGCCGTCGCGCGCACCGCCGCCACGACCGTCTCGGCGAAGACGCTCAAGACGAACGCGCCGCGTCGCGCGGTCGTCAAGCCCGCGCGACGCTCGAACGTCGTCTCGCGCGGCGTCGGACCTTCGGGTGACGTGAAAAAAGTCGTCCTGGCGTACTCCGGTGGCCTGGACACGTCCATCATCCTGAAGTGGTTGCAAGACACGTACGGGTGCGAAGTCGTGACGTTTACGGCGGACCTGGGGCAGGGAGAAGAACTCGAACCGGCGCGCGCGAAAGCGGCGCAATTCGGTGTCAAGGAAATATTCGTGGATGATTTGCGAGAGGAGTTCGTGCGGGACTACGTGTTCCCGATGTTTCGAGCGAACGCGTTGTACGAAGGGACGTATCTGCTGGGGACGTCCATCGCGCGACCGCTCATCGCGAAGAGACAGATTGAAATTGCGAAGCAAGTTGGCGCCGATGCGGTGTGCCACGGGGCGACTGGGAAAGGGAACGATCAAGTTCGATTCGAGCTCGGATATTACGGCTTGAAGCCGGACGTCAAGGTGATCGCGCCGTGGAGAGAATGGGATTTGAACTCGCGAACCAAGTTGTTGGCGTACGCCGACGAGGCGGGGATCCCGGTGGCGCAATCGAAGCGTCAAGACGCTCCGTACTCCACCGATGCCAACTTGTTGCACATTTCTTACGAAGGCAACGCTTTGGAGGATCCGTGGGTTGAATACTCGGAAGATATGTTCACGCGATCGGTGAGCCCGGAGAACGCCCCGGATAAGCCGACGTACATTGAAGTCGAGTTCGAAAAGGGTGACCCGGTGGCCATCGATGGCGTGAAATACTCCCCGGCCGATATGCTCGCCAAGCTCAACCAGCTCGGTGGCGACAACGGCATTGGGCGCTTGGATATTGTTGAATCTCGCTTTGTCGGCATGAAGTCGCGAGGCGTGTACGAGACGCCCGGTGGGACGATTTTGCTCGCCGTCCGCCGCGCGCTCGAAACCATCTGCCTCGATCGCGGTGAGATGCACTACAAGGATCAAATGATGCCGCAATACGCTGAACTCATCTACAACGGTTTCTGGTTCTCCCCGGAACGCGAAATGATGCAAGCCGCCATCGACACGTGCTCCGAAAGCGTCACCGGTACGGTGCGCGCCAAACTCTACAAGGGCAACGTCATCGTCGTCGGTCGCAAGGCTGCCAACACTCTCTACGACGATCGTCTCTCCACGTTCGAAGAAGACGGTGGTGCGTACGACCAAAAGGACGCTGCTGGTTTTATCAAGCTTCAAGCGCTTCGCTTGCGCACCCTCAAGGTTGCTCGGGAAAAGAAGTAAACGCATTCGTCATGTAATCAATTTATTGTCGGTGGACATCGTTTGCCTAAGTCGAGTCTCTATTATTATATTGTCTAATCGCTACGATGTGCTAAACGTGACGAGATCTACGGCGCGCGGCGCCTGTCACTTTCGACGCGCGAGAACGCGGCAGCCTCAAACATTTTGATGACGTCGGATGGAATCTTCATTCCGTCCGGTGGTGGTGGAAGGAGCATCGGATCGTCGCAACACGCCGCGTACGCGCGCGCATACGCCGGTACTAAGTCCTCAGGCCACTTGAAATCTCGAAGACGTGACTCGATTGTTTCCGCGAGCGACGTATGAAATGCCATTTCTTTGTCAGACGCGGCGACGACGGCGGCTTTCTCTCGTGCGCGCACCAATCGACGCGCGCGCGCGTACGTGGCGTCGTAGTACAAACGCGCGTGCACCTTCTCTTTCGCACAATCTGATTCTTCGACGACAGGCCTCTCCGCAGGTTCTTCACTCGCAACATACACGCGCATGCGAAGATCAATTGCGCACACGGGTTGTTTTTCCTCAACCAAGGCGAGCCAAAACGAACGCTTCGCCCCTCCGTCGCGCTCCGTGAGTAATCTATGAACGGAAATCTTGGCACATCCCATGAAGAGCGACTTACCTTGGCGATTCAAGTGGTAGACACGTATCGCGACCACATCCGCGGCGGACGATTTGCGTTCCGTCGCGACGGTGAATTTCATCGCGTGATTCCACACAGGATCCTTCGTGCCCGCGCGTGGTGCCGTGGCGTGGAGTTGTGTTCCGCACATCACCTCGGCGTACGCGTTACTCGTGCCAAAGACGTCGCCGGCGCTGAGGTCCATCGCACGCGCCGCAATGATTCGCAAGTCAGTGCGCGCGTCGTCTTTGAAGTATGCGATCACGTTCATCTTACCCAGACACTCGAGTTTTGTCGTCAATTGTCGCCATTCTACGTCGCGAATCGCAGCGTGAGTATCCATCGGTCGCGCCGCCTTGATTTCACGCACGCGCACCGCGTATTGACTCAGTAAATCGTCGTCGCCCACCATGTCATGATCCCACAACTCAAACGTCACGTACGATTCTGAGCCACGATCTACGCGCTCAAACTCAAAGGTCTCGTTCCACACCGGGTCGAGCGTTTTCTTCACCGTCTCCGTTCTGAACGAGTCCTTCCCGGCATGATGGCCGAACGCATCGCCGCTCGCGACGGCTAACGCCTTAATTTTGGCCGTCGACTCGTTGACGCGATGTAACTTGACAACGACGTACGGGTCAGACAGCCCCGATAAATCGGATCCCTTGATCCCGTGCGCGCTCACCACCTTCACTCGCAACATCCCATCGATTTCGTGGTCAAAGTAACACTGAAATTTTAGTCGCCCTAGTTTCTCCGGCACGCGAAGCTCGTGATTCAACTCGATCCACCGCGCCGGTTCGCCCGCCTCGATCGTCGGCACGCGCCTCGCCAAAATCTCACACGTTCCCAGCGCGTATCGCATCTTTACGTCGTTCGTCTCCCCTTCTTTCGCGCCGCTTCCCCGAAACACGCTCGCTCGCACGACGTCGTTTAAAGAAACATCCGTCACGTACACCTCAAACGTCGTCTTCACCGCCGCCTCACGCTGCGCATCCCGAACGACGCCGCGACTCTTTTGTCGCTGTCGCTCCATCGCGTACCGCACCGGCGCCTCTTCGTACGACGTCGCGAATCCGTGCGAGCTCGCGTTCGCCTTCTCGCTCGGCTCGACGTTCACCTGCGAGTGACGCTCGCGCGCGCGCTCGGTCAGCGATACGAACGACGGCGACGCGACGACGACGCGACCGCGCGATGCGAGCGCGCGAGATTCCACGACGCGTCGCGACGCACCGTCGCGTGCACGCGGTGGACGTCGCGCGGTAGACCGCGCGCACCGTCGATTTCGACAACCAACTTTAACGGTTTCGGACGGTCGCGCGCCGCTCTCGCCTTGGCGCGCGCGCGGCTCTCGTCGACGCCGCGCGCGATGACGCGTCCGACGGCGTCGTACTGGATCTCGCGCGACGGCGCCGACGACGGCGCGGCGTCGACGTCGGACATCGCGCGCGGCGACGCGAGGCGACGTGTGCGGCGGAAACGCTCGCGGAGGAAACGCTCGACGCGCGAGAAACGCGTCGCGGAGAAAAGAACCTGGGGAATGAATCGACTACGCGAACGGCGCGCCTCGCGCCGCGATCTACGGGCTACGCGACGCGGTGCGCCGCCGCTCTACGCGACTCGCGTCGCGCTGCACGCGAAGGCGCGAAAAGCGTCGCGCGCGTGGCCGCGCGCGGCGTCGGCGAAAAGAAACGCGGGCTCGCGCGAGGCGGCGATGGCGCTCGTGACGTCCACGGGGTGCAGACGCGCGCGTTCCAGCGCGTCGATCAGGACGTCCATCGTCGTCGCTTGACGCACGGCGCTCACGACGAACGCGCACGGCGTTCGAGCGTACCGGTCTCTGATGACTTCTCGGGCTCGAGACGCCTCGAGCGTCTCGAGCGTCGTCGGCGCGCTCTCGTCGTCGGCGCCGCGAGCGCGCAAAAGCGCGCGGAGCGCTCGAACGAGTCCTGGAATGAGGGTCGGGTCGTACGAGCAATCGGCGGCGAGAACAAAGTCCGCGTTCACGGCGCCCAAGACCTCGACGGGCGCGCGCTCCCAATCTAAATCGCGAACCGACACGACGAGCGCTTCGTCCGGCGTCGACCGCTTCGCGACGGGCGCGTCGAGGGCGTCGAACACCACTCGCGTCGCGCCGTCGCCGTCCATATCTACGTTGAGCCGCACGTTGTCGCGCAAGTTTTCCAACGTTTGCGCGTCGCGATCCGTGAGCACCAACGCCGCGGGCGCGCACCGCGCCATCGCGACTCCCGCGACGCCAACACCGCTTCCGAGCTCTACGACCGCGCGTCCGCGCACCAGCGCCTCGCTCGCGAGCCGCGACATCACGAACTCGCTCGCGACGAAACCCGCCGGCCACGCGAAAGCTCCCGTGCTCCCCGCCAACGCGTCGCTCTGCGTCCTCGCTCGAATCGCGTCGACGTCGCGCGTCCCCAACGCCGTTCGCGCGTTCATCTCTCGCGCGTCGATCGCCCGCGACCGCGCGTCGTCCTCGCACCGCGTCGCGCGTTCGTACGCGTACACGCAGTCGCGCCATCCGTCGCGCTCGCGCTCCCACGCCTCGTCGTCTCGCGCGTGCAGCGCCGCGGCCAGCGCGTCGTCCAACGCCAACCCCGCCGCGGCGATCGCCTTGCACGCCGCGCGCGCGACGCGCACGGCGTACGACTTTGAAAATTTACTCGAAATTTCCAGCGCGCGCGCCAATCGCGCTTGCGCGTCCTCGTCGAGCGTCACCGCGCCGTCCGCGCGCGCGCACCGCGCGAACAATGTATCGCAGTCTCTCTGCGCCAGCGCCACGGCGAGCGCGCGCGCCTCGGCGTGCGCCTCGTCGTCATCGCTCATGCGCCGCGGAGTGATGGGCGACACAAACCGTCGCGTCGTCGTCGACGCCGGACGCGCGCGCGCGACGCCGTCCGGCGCGCGACGATGCGCGAGGCGACGCTCGCGTCCGCGCCGCCGCCCGCGCCGCTGCTCATCGCGCGCACGCTCGTCGTCGCGGTGGTTTTGTACTTTATCGCGCAAAAGTTGAACGATCGACGACGACGCGCGCGCGCCGTCGCGACGCCGTCGCGCGCGCCCGTCGATCGCGCGACGACGTACTCGAGAGAAGACGTCGCCAAGCACGCCGCGCGCGACGATCTGTGGGTGATCATCGACGGCAAGGTGTACGATTTGACCGAGTACGTGGACGAACACCCGGGCGGCGCGGACGCCATCGCGCGAAACGCGGGCGGAGACGCGACGACTGGATTCAACGGGCCGCAGCACCCGTCGAGAGTGTTCGACATCGTGGACGATTACTTGATCGGCGCGTTGAAGTGACGCGGCGATCGGGCGACGCGCGGGGTCGTTTCGAGTCGACGCGCGTCGACGCGCGGCGGCGACGGCGCGGCGGCGGCGCGGCGGCGGCGCGGCGGCGCGCGCGCGGCGCGGCGACGACGCGCGGTCTCGCGCGTTCGCGCGTCGGCGTTCGCATCCTTAGCATTCGTAGCGTTTTCGTGTCCATCACGGACGACTTTAAAGATCGCGCTCGCGTCGTCGTCGCGTCGTCGTCGTCGTCCCGCTCGCCGCGCTCGGGACGCCTCGTCTGATCGACGTCACGCTCGCCGCCATCGCGTCATTCGCCGACGCGCGTGTGGACGAGCGTCCGACGCGCGCCTCGTCGAACGAACGCGCGAGAACGCGCGCGCTCGACGCGATGCGCGCGATGGTCGCGCGTCCCGCGCGCGCGACGACGACGACGACGACGACGCGACGCGCGCGCGCGGATAAGATGAAAAGCGCGCCGATGACGACGACGACGCGCGCGCACGTCGTCGCGCGCGCGATGCCGGCGCGAGCGCGCGCGGGTGATGGTGCGCGATGCGCGGTGGTCGCGACGCGGGACGCGGGACGCGGTGACGGCGTCAAGGCGCGCGCGGCGTCGAGCGAGGATGAGGGAAAAGACGCGAGCGACGGCGGCGAGTCGGGGGACTCGGAACTCACGCAAGGGATGATCGACGCGATGCAAGCGCGACGGGCGCGTAAGATGGCGAAACAAGAGAGTAAGGGACCGGCGGGATTGGAGGACGTGAACCCGGTGAATCTCGGACGGAAGTCGCGGGCGGCGTTTGAGAACGTCTTCAAGCAGCTGACGTCGTTGACGTCGTTTCAAAAGTCCACGGCGCCGACGAACGCGAGAGAGTTTGATCAGGTCTACGACGCGGATTTGCTCAGTGGGAGCTCGGTGGGGGAGTTCGAGACGCCGAACGCGAAGTTTACGACGGTGTTGGTCACGGGGGCGACGGGGCGCATAGGTCGCGTTTTGATTCGCAAGCTCTTGTTGCGCGGATACACAGTCAAGGCGCTCGTGCGTCGCCAGGAAGACGTCGAGAAGCTTCCGGGTTTGGTACAAGTCATCGTCGGGGACGTCGGGGAGAAAGAAGTGATCAAAAATGCCATGATTGGCGTGAACAAGGTGATTTACTGCGCGAGCGCAAAAACCTCCGTCACGAGCGACTTGTACAACGTCGCCGACCAAGGTGTGAAGAACGTGGTATCGTGCATGCAAGACTACTATCACATGCTCGCTTCCCGTCGCGCCGGTCGCAGCGCCAAGTCCAAGGTGATGTTGACCAACTTCAAGCACCCGACGGCGTACGAGGCGTGGGACGTCGAAGAGATCGAAGCCGACGCCGGCGCCGGCGCCGACGGGCGATGGGCCGCCGCGGCGGAGATGCAGCGTGTGAACTTCGATCCGCTCTACCCCGAAGACGAGGACAAACCTTTCGAATTCGCGACGTTCAACGGTTTCATCACCTCTCGTACGGGTAAGGCTGAAGTGAGCTCAAACGTCGAAGGTTTGCAAGCCGACGTCGACTTTTCAGCCAAGGAAGGTTTGTTGTTCCGTTTGAAGGGCGACGGGAAGCGCTACAGCGTGATGCTCACGCAGGACGATGGTTCCAAGTTCAGATTTTCGTTCAACACCACTGGGGGATGGCAAGTCATTCGTATGCCGTTTCACAAATTCGTCAGTGAAGGGAAAACTTCTTGGGGAGACGACGGCGACGCCATTCTCGACTTGACGAGAATCGAGAAGATTGGCGTTCGCTTCGATGCGAGAAAGAACCAACGCGAGACGACGATGTCAGACGTGATGAGTGGGAACAATAACATGTTCAACTTGACGCTCGAGTACGTCAAGGCGATTCCCAAGGGCGAGGAACCCGATGTCATTTTGGTTTCGTGCTTCGGCGCCGGTTTGGAAGAGGGCGAAGAAAAGGAACGTATCCTGAAGATAAAGCGTGACGGTGAACGCGTGCTGCGCAACTCTGGTGTAGGATACACCATCGTTCGCCCGGGTGAGCTCGTCGAAGAGGCTGGTGGGGGCAAGGCGTTGGTTTTCGATCAAACCGAACGCATCAACACGCCGATTTCTTGCGCCGACGTCTCCGACGTCTGCGTCAAGGCGATGCACGACGAAGAGGCGCGTAACAAGAGCTTCGATGTCGGCTACGAGTACGAAAGCGAGCAAGCCGAGTACGAGCTGATCACCCAAGTCAAAGGCAAATCCGACAACTACCTCACTCCGGCGTTGAAGGTGCTCGAAAAGAACTCGTAATCCCAGTCGCGGCGAGACGAAATACTAGACCACGCGCGGTGCTGTATGTAAACGACGAACATTCATTCATTCATATGTTCTACCTAAACCTGCGCCGCCTCCTTCAGCAGAGGCCTGACTATGGAGAGTAGCGTCTCGTTGTCCGAGGCGTAGCGTTGGAGTAACCGCTCCGTCGCCGCGTCCGCGAGCTCCAACGCGCCGTTATCTTTAAACTCTTCCCCCCTCTTCGACGACATGATGCGTAACTTCTTCACACATAAAATGACGGCGTAAAGCGCGCGAATATCTTTGCCATTGGTGAAATCAATCGCCGCGGCGAAGTGATGCTTCGCGTCGCGAATGTTTTCCTCGCCGCCCATGGTGTAGAGCACCTCACCCATTCGCCTGTGCGAGTTGGGATCGAACGGTCTCGCGCACAGCACTTCTTCGTAACAAAACAACGCCTTCTCGTACTCACACCGCTCGGCGTACAGCTTCCCAAGCTCCAGCCACGCCTCGTCGTCCGCGCCAAAGTCTTCCAGATACTCCGTCAACGCCGCGACGGCGCCCGGGACGTCGCCCTCGCTCTTCGCGCACGCCACGCGCATTTTTCGCAACCTCGCCTCGCCTTTATTTTCCTCCAACATTTCATCCAACATCTTTCGCGCCTCCGCGGCGCCGCCCTCCTTTCCGAGCGTCGTCGCCGCTCGCAGCGCGCGCGCTCGAATCGACGTCGTCCCGAACCGTCCCTCCAGCGCCTCGCACAGCTTTTCCGCCGTCTCCGCGTCGCCGTAATCCAGCGCCGCGTACACCGCGCGTTCACATCGCGCGTGCGCTTCCCTCGCGCGCGCGCCGCTCCCTCGCAGCGACGCGAGCGACGTCGACGAGTTCGCGAACGCCTTCGCCGCGCGCGCCCACGACGCGATCTCTTTCCCACCGCCGCGCCGCGTCTGTTGCGCCGCGTGCGCCGGCGCGTCGTCGCGCGACGCGCGCGCGTGCGTCGACGCCGCTCGCCGCGCGTCGTCCAGCGCGCGCTCGTGCTCGCGCGTCATGCGCGTCGCCGAGTCGCGTCGATCGCCTCGCCCGATGCGCGCGCCATCCGTCGCGCCGCACACACCGACGCGACGCGATCGCCTCGCGCCGTCGCGCGCCGTCGATCGAGCGACCGCGCGCCGATCGCGGCGCCGCATGAAGCGCGTCGCTGACGCGCTCGCGCGCCGCGCGGCGCGACGGACGCGCGACGGGGTTTCGACGAGCCTCGGCGAATCCGCGCGCGCGCGCGCCGCGTCGACGATGTGCGTCGCGCTTCGTCGACGACGCGATTCGCGCGTGTTGAATTCGAGCGTCGCGACCGCGACGCGCGGCCGCGGCGACGCGTCGACCGATCCCAGCCGACGATCGAGCGACTGACCTCGCGCGCGTCTCGCGCGCGTCTCGCGCAGGACGAAGATATTGGACGGGAGCGTGTGGTGCGTCGATCGCGACGCCGAGCGATGCCGACGACGAAACGATGCGTTATTTGTAGTCGCGCGCGACTGACGACGACGACGACGACGACGACGCGCTCGCAGGCACTTGGAGTCGCGCTCGGGCGAAAAGGTCGGCGAGGACGAGCTCGGAAACGCGTACTACGAAAACAAATCGTATCAACAGGGACGCTCGCGATGGGTGGTGCCCAAAAACCTCGACGATTACTCCGCCGCGAACATTCCGCGCGAGTGGCACGGTTGGTTGCATCACATCAACGACGAACCGGGTCTTCCGAACGCGACGACGCCGATTTACGAAGACGCGTCGCCGTACTTCGTCGCCGGGAAATCGAACGCGGGGACGTACTTACCGAAGGGGCACTTTCTCCGTCAGCGTCCGTCCGACGCGGGCGTGACGCGGAGTTGGGCCAAGTACCAACCGTGGTCACCGCCGTGAGTAGATTCGTCCGTTTGTAACACCGTGTTTCGTCTTTCGTCGCCTCGCCCGGCGCGCGCTCGCGGCGCGGGGATCGTCGCCGATTCCACGTCGCGCCGAATCGTCAAACGTCGACGCGCGACATGGGCCGTCGAATCGACGCGAACGGTGGCGCGTCGAACGGTGAAGCCGACGCGTCGCGCGCGTCCCCTCGCGCGCGCGACGACGCGGTGTCGCGCCTCGACGCCGCGACGGTATCGCGCAGTGGGACGCCGCCGCTCCCGCCGCTCGCGCCGTCGCAATACGAAGCGATGCTGCGCGCGCAGTACGCCGCGGGGGTGAGCCCGGGATCTGGGTTCGTCCCGGACGACGCGCGAGCGTCGGATGAGGAGGACGGCGACGACGAAGGCGCGAGGCGGCGGTCGCGGGGACGAGCGAGCGGGACGGAGGAAGACGCGAAGACGAAGACGAGGGACGAAAACACCGCGGAGGGGCGCGCGGGGGGGCTGGTGAGGGATTTGATGGGAGGGTACGGCGACGACGCGCGCGGTACGGTGAGCTCGAGCGCGACGGCGGGAGCAGAGGGTCGACGCGAGGCGAGCGCGGCGCGAGAGGCGGCGACGAGCGGATTGCAGACGGTGATGGTTGGTAAACCGCCGCGTGGGGTTGGAAACTACGATAAACCGAACGGCGACGATATCGAACCCGTCAAAGCGGTGCCGGTGTCGACGTCGGGGCGTGCCAAGGTGGGATGGGTGCGCATCAACACTCTGGGCGTTGTCAACCGGTTGTCGATGGAGAAGACAAAAATCGCGACTTTGCTCAGGGTACCGCTGCGGGATTTGCGCGTGCTCGAACCGACGACGGCAGATTCGTACTCCGCCGCGGTACTGTGTCGTGAGCGCGCGATCGTGGTGAATTTGGAGCAGATTAAAGTGTTGATCACCGCCGAAGAAGTCATCATGACGGATTCGCAAACGAGCACGGTGACGCACTTTTTGCCCGAGCTCCAAACCCGGTTGTTGCGACGAAAAAGACTGCGCGAGAGAGACCCATCGCTATCGACGCTACCGCTGAATTTATCTGCCGCAGACTTGACGAATGTGATGGAAGGTCAAGCGGAGAAGGCGAAGAGCGAAACATCGCCCGAAAAAGAATTACGCCAGGCGCAGCCCACCACGGATGAGTTCCCGTTTGAATTCGTAGCCCTGGAAGTTGCGCTGGAGATGGTGTGTAACACCCTGGAGGTAGAGGCGAACAAAGTCGAGCTCGACGCCAAGCCCGCGCTCGAGGCGCTTCGTAAGCGGGTCGACAACGTCAACCTCGAACGCGTGCGAAGGATGAAGACGAGACTCGTGCGCGTCGCTGGTCGCGTGAGCAAGGTTCGAGAAGAGATTCAACGTTATTTAGACGATGATTCCGACATGCGTGACATGTATTTGACGCGTAAATCGAAACAACAGTCGGAATCACTCAGAAGGGAGGGCTCCGTGACGTCGCCTCCGCCCAACGGCGCGGATGGCGGCCAACGAGGCGCGACGGCGCACTATCAGCTCGAGCACGCATTGAGTGCGTCGAGCGGACGATCTCCGCTCGGTGTGCACGGCGTGCACACACAAAGTGGCGAGGCACACAACGCATACTTCGACGCCTACGATGAAGACAAGGATCTACAAGAGCTCGAGGATTTACTCGAAACGTACTTTACCCACGTCGATTCCACCCACCGCTCGCTCAACGGTTTGAACGAGTACATCGATGACTTGGAGGATTTGATCGAAATTGAACTCGATTCCCAGCGTAACCAGCTCATCAAACTCGAGCTCATCCTGACCACCGCGACGCTGTGCCTGACGTGCTTCTCCGTCGTCGTCGGCATCTTTGGCATGAACATCAAAAACAACGTCGAAAATGAGCATGGCATGTTTTTGTTGGTCGTCTTGCTCGGTTCAGCGGCGACGATCGGCATGTTCATCATCCTGTTGCGCGTGTGCCGATATTACAGGCTCTTCTAGCGACCGCCCTTTCTTGCAATTAAATCATCCAAACACCGGGAGCCGCTCGCGACGCCGCACTCCATGGTGTGGCATGGCGCCGGTCGATTTCCGCGCCGTGCGCGCGAAAGCGTTGATGCGCGAGTCAACGACGACGACGACGACGACGACGCGCGACGACACCCTTTCGTTCGCCGCGCGCGGTGGATTCGTCGACACAGATGTCGATGACGAGATTTCATCTTCATCGTCGCCCGACGTCGCGAAACGCGTCCCGGGGTTGGCGTATTGTCGTGAATTCATCGGTGCGCGCGACGCCGAGTTCGTCGAAAGCGCGTTACTGCGCGAGCCCGCGGCGTGGTGGACGAAAGGACGCGGTCGAAGGGTGATGAACGCGGGCGGGACGTCGCCTTCGAGGTTGTATCGCGAAGGCGATGACGAGGCGATTCCGACGTACCTGCGCGAACTCGTGGAGGTTTTGGTACGACGGAAAGCGAGCGAGCGCGCGGCGAATCACGTGCTGGTGAATGAATACGACGCTGATGGATTCATTTCGCCGCATTCAGATGGGGACGTGTACGCGCCCGATGTGCAAATTTTGACGCTACGGTCGAGCGCGTTGATTGAGTTTTGGCCGGCAGAGGGCGCGACGGCGGGAGACTTTGATGAGTGTGACAATATCGATGCACCGCGGCCGGTCGTGAGCGTGTTGCTTGAACCTAGAAGCTTGTTGATGTACCGCGGCGAAGCGTATCGCTTACGTCACGGTATTCGCGCGCGAGTAAAAGACGTAGTGGCTGCAGAAACGGCGAACGCACGCGAATTAGGATTAGAAATAGGCGACGTCGTCGAACGTAATCCCGCGGGGCGGCTCAGCGTGGTGTTCGTGCGAAAGTACGCGGAGAGAAGATGTGAGTAAGAAACTAGTTAGGCGAGAGCGTCGAGAATCGGATCGAGTCGACGAGTCACCTCGTTTCGAATCGAAATCGTCTAGGGTCGTCGTCGTCGTCGTCGTCATCGGACGGGTGCCTCGATGTGCGTCGTCGAGCCGACTCGCGTAGCAGTCGCGCGCGCGCGAAGAACTCGTCGGCTTGATCTCTCTTCGCGTGCGCTCGTCTCGACATCTCTCGAGCGCGTTGGCGAAGACGGCGATGCGCCTTGGCAAACATCGCATCGGCGTCATGTTCGAGCTCTTCAGCCATTCGTCGCAGCTGTAACGCTCGACTTTCGAGATGCGCTGGCGATGCGTTCACGTCGTCGCCGCGCTCTTCCATTTCCATTTCCTCTACCATCATTTCACGAAAGAGACGTTGCATTCTCGCGTCGCGCTCGGCGACACTCTCATCGTCCAGCGCAGCGTCGTCTTCGATGTTCTCCGCCGACGAAAAGTCGTTCGTCGTAGTTTCGTTCTTCGTATCGCTCTTCGTAGTTTCACTCTTCGTGTCGTCGCTCGACGTCGAAGACGTGCGAGAGGACCACAGGGCGCCCATCTTTGGATTTGGCTGCGCGCTCGCTCGTTGGGGCACCAAGAGCCACGGCAAGGATGGTTTCACAGGCGATGGCGACGACGGGAAGAGCGATTTTTTTGCGAGTGTTCGTAGCAGCGACGCACGCACGGCGATCGTGGATCGAGCGAGCACGAACATGTCGCGTCAGTGTGTGAAGATTTTGGACGAGACGAGACCAGACGAGTCGACAATTTGGCGCACGCCCAATATCTACAATATCTACGATTTCACGCGCGTTTCTGACGCTTGAGTTGAGCGAGCGTGGGCACAGCTCGCGCCATCGCGACACGCACGGATGTGGCGAACGTATCCTTCACACCCACGTCTCGCGCTGCTTTGGAAGATTGCAAGACGAAGACGCACGTGTCGTACGGCGACGCTCGATAGGGATCGCGCCGTTGATGCGAAGCGCCGTCGCAATATCCGTGGTCGACCGCGGCGATGAGTACGTTCGCTCGAAGAAACGCGCTGTTTGTGAGCGCATCGAACGCGCCCGTCTCTTTCCATCCCGGCATGATGAAGACAAACGTGAGCGCGTTTTGTGACTTCTCCGCGCGTTCGAGCAACGCCTCGCACCAGAGGGCGGCCTCGTCCAAGACCTCGCGCACGAAAGGTGGATTTACCTCGTACGACCCTCTCGACGGTTGAAACGCCGCGAACGAGCCGATGCTCCCGAACGGGGCGTCGACGTCGCCGAAAGCGCTGCAAAATCGCGCGAAGTACGCGTTCATGGGCGACGCGAAGCACTCCATCGTAACCTTCAGATCATCGTGCAACACGCGGAAGACGTCGTGCGAGCACGCCGCTTGGAATCCATGGCCATGAATCGTTTTGTACCTAAGCAACAGCGCGAACATTCTGTCGTGCACGTCGTCGTCACCGTCGTCGTCGCCGCCGGCGCGCGAGTGCTTTTCGTAAAGCGCGCGCAACTTGCCGTACGCCTCGTGCGTCAACTTGACCAAGTAATCGTCGCCAAGCGTCAAATCTCGCGAGTGTTTATGTATCGTCAATTTCGTCGCCGCGAGCTTGGCCAGACCGTGCGCGCCACCGTCCACCAGTTTCTGTTTCATCGCCTCCAACGCGACGACCTCCTTCGCCGACGCCGCGCACACCGACGCCTCAATCTCGATGGCGATCGCCTCCGAGACCCCCGCGCGCATCAAATCGTTCGCCATCGTCCCTTTCGTCGCGCCGTCGTGCGCGACGTTCGGAAACATGGCGTCCGTGTTCTCCCCCACGAGGCCGCACGCGCCTCGTCTCCGCCGTTTCGTCTTTCCCTTTCCCGCCGCCGCCGCCGTTCGTCCCCGCGCCTCCTCCGCCAACTTCGTCGCGAACCTCCATCGCTCGAGCGCCAGCTGCGGCGGCGCTTCCAGTCCCCCCCTCCGTTCGCACGCCGCTCGAAACGCCTCTCGCACGCGTTTCATCGCCTCCGCGCGTCTCGCCTCGCAGTGCGCCGCCGCCCGCGCGCTCCGCGCCGTCGCCCGCGCGCACGCCGCGTCCACGCGCACGACCGCCGCGTCGTGTTCGACCGCGAAGTCGTACGATTGACCCATCGCGCGCGTCGTCGTCGTCGTCGTCGTCGCGCGTCGTCCCGCGTCGTCGTCCCGCGTCGTCGCCTTCGCCTTCGTCAGCGCGTGTAACGGTCCCGCCGTCCATCGTCGTCGCGGCGTCTTCGTCGTCGTCGTCCTCGTCGTCGCGCGCGGCGACGGCGTCTCTCGCGTCGTCGTCGTCGTCGTCGCTCGCGTCGTCGTCGGCGGCGGCTCTCGCGTCGTCATGAAAGGTTCGCGCGACGACGCGTCGCGGCGCGCGGCGGTCGACGCGCGGCGGTCGCGCATCGTGGCGGTATACGGCGCATTTCGTGGCGGTGTACGGCACACTCGATCGTATCGTAAGGCTCGTGGCCCCATATAGCGCGAAATGCGACGCCGCGCGCCCGCCCGCGCGTCTTTGGGTGCGATCGCGCGATCGATCGATCGCGCGTCGCGAAACGCGATCGATCGATCGCGTTTCGCGCGCCGCGATCGACCGGTCAAAACCCTAGGCCCGCGAGGTCAATCGCCGCCCGGGCCCTCAATTGTCCCCACTCGTCGTCGTCGACGTCGTTCGACGCGATTCGATCGCGCCGCGAACGCGAGATCGACGACACCGACACCTTTCGCGTCGTTGAACGCGCGCCTTGGCTCGATTCGCGCGTCGCGCGCGACATGAATGCCGACGAAATGATCGCCGACGGCGACGCGAACGGCGTCGACGTTCGCGCGCTCGACGAGGCGATGGCGATGGACGACGATCACGCGAGCGCGCGAAAGAGCGCGTCGTCCGCGCCCGCGAACGCGAACCCGCCGCTGCCGCCGAACGCGCGACCGCGGCACGAAGGGCGAGGCGGGGCGAACGGACACGGCGGCGAACGACGACGAGGCGGCGGCGAACGAGGCGGAGGACGAGGCGGTGGACGTTTTCAACAGCGAGAGCGCGCGCCGACGCGACCGGGGTGGTTCGCGACCGGGGAGGTGGACGAGCACAGCGGAAGGCCCGCGCACAGCGGACAGTGCGAGGGGTGCAGGGTGAGCACGGTTGTGAATTTCAGACCCGTGGTTGGCGGCAATCCACCGTTGTGCGGAGTGTGTTTGGATTCGTTGAAAGCCGCCACCGCGGGAGGATCGGTGGACGGCGACAACGCGTCGGGCGGACCGAATCGTGGGCGACGAGGCGGGCGCAATGGGGCGATGATGATGATGGGGATGCCGCACCAAGGCGGGTTTCAGGGCGGCGCGAGGTTTTCGCCGTACGCCTCGGGCGGGCAGATGGTGATGATCGATCCACGGATGATGGCGGCGTACGGTGGAGGTCGTGGAGGCGGTATGATGGCGGCGTACGGCGCCGCCGGCGCGGGCGGCGGCGGTGGGCGCGGTAAGAACAGGACGTGGACGAGAGAAGGCGGAGACGCCGGCGCGGGGGTCGGCGGACAAGAAGACGTGGACACGTCGGGCATTCCGTGCATATTCTTCCAGCGCGGCGCGTGTCGCGCGGGGGATTCGTGTAAGTATTCCCATAGCGGTGAAGGCTCGGGCGCCGCGCCGGCGGAGATGAACGTTGAAATGTGAGCGAAGGCGCCAAGTTTTGTAAATATACGTACGTCGGTCTGCGACTTCGAGCGCGGCGCGCGGCGTCGATTTCGCAAGCGTTCGCTTGTATTACACAAAAAAACTCCCCGAATTCATGACGCGGAGCGAATTCGTGACGCGAAGCGAATTCGTGACGCTTCGCATCGATCACACTCAAGAGATATCGTCACGTTCGCCCCTTAGAGGACGATAGAAAGCACGATGCACGTGACGCCCGTGACGAAGACGCCGCCGATTCTCGCGAGCTCGAGCGGGACGATTTCAGCCTTGACCTTCTTTTGCGTCAAGTACAGAATCATCGCCGGCAAGACGAGAGAGAGAATGGAGCAGCACACACCACCGACGTAGCCGAGGACGACGCCAAAGTTCGGGACGTTAGCTGCGGTCCAAAGCGCGCCCGCGGTGAACGCGGTGCGCACGGCGAGCGCTTGCGGCGCGCCGATGGATCCCGGCTTGTCGCCTTCGAGCACGTTTTCGCAAATGCGGAGCGCGGATTGCGCCATGATCGGGTACGTGGACAGCAAGTTCAAGCACAACAACAGTTGCACCGCGATCCCCGACGGGCCCGTGAGCATGGTGACGACGACTGAGGAGACCCCCGTGCCGAAACCCGCGGCGCCGGCGACGCCAAAGAGCCCGGCGATGACGGCGGCGCCCGTGAACGCCTTCACCGCGGCACCGAAGAACTTATCCGGTTGCGGCATCGCTTCCTTAATCCCGAACAGGGTGAAGTGAATGAAGAACAAAAACGCCACGGTGCCGAAGAATCCCGGAAACGCCGCAAAGTTGGCCACCGGCAACGCGCCGAGTTGCAGCGGGTTGGACAGCGCCGTCGCCGTCGTCACCGCCATGCCGACCGCGACCGACGCGGTGCCGACGGCGGAAATCACAGCCACGCCGCTCATCTCGCGCAACCACGACAGCGCGATCATGAGCGGCCCGACGAGCGCGAGCATGCTCGCCGTCGTCGGCGACGCCCCGAACGCGCTCACCCCGAGCGCGGGCACCACCACCTTCATCGTCTCCGCGATGAAGATTAAATAGCTCACCGTGATCCCGAAGCACGTCAGCACGTTCATCACTCGGCACGCCGCGTCTCCCGCGCGTCCCATCGCCGCGTTCGTCAGCCCCGCGTACGTCGCCACCTCGCTCGCCGTCGACGCTCCCGCGCCGACGAGCGCGTCCTGCGCCTTAATCAGCATTCGCAGCGCCTCGAGCGCGAACACCAGCGACGCCGCCATGCACGTCCCCACGAGCGCGATCCCTCCCTGCGCGAACGCCCACGGCAGCGCGAACCCCCCCGCGCCGAAGATCGCCTTCACCGTGTTCACGATCGCCGCGTTTTCCCCGCTCGCGTCGCCCGCGGACGCGAAAGTTCGCGTCGCTCGCGCCTCGCGCGTCCCGCGTCCCGCGATCGTCGTCGCGTCGTCGCGACGCGCGCGTCCCGCGTCCAACGGGACGCGCGCGAAACCGCGTCGCGCGCGCGCGCGTCGCTCGATCGCGACGCCGCGTCGCGTCGGTCGCGCCGTCGCGCGTCCGGCGACGCATCCGCGCGTCGCGCGCGTCGCCGTCGTCGTCGCCATCGTCGTCGTCGTCGTCGTCCCGCGTCGCGCGCGCGTCGCGACGCCGCGGTGTGCGGACCGGGAGAGCGCGTCGTCGCGCACGCGGGTGTTTGCGTCCGGACCGGGAGAGCGCGTCGTCGCGGTCGTGTTCGCGCGACCGCGACGCCGCGCGCGACCGAAACGAGACGTGCCGAACGGCGCGGCGACGCTCTTCGTCGCGACGACGCGCCGAAGTCGTGACGACGACGACGACGCGCCGACGCGACCGAGGCGAGACTTTCGGCGCGCGACATGAAGCGCGCGCGCGCGACGCGCGAGGACGGGCGCGGATTCGACGCGCGCGAGGCCATGCGCGCGTGGACGCGAGGCGCGCGGGAGACGACGCGCGAGGCGACGCTGCGCGCGTTCCACGGCGGCGACGTGACGAAGATTCTGCGCGAGTGTCGAGACGGGAGTAACGAGGCGTACGACGACGACGACGTCGAGGCGGCGATGGAGGCGCTGACGCGAGACGGGACGACGATCAACGCGCCGTTTTGTTTCACGGCGGGCGCGATCGGGCTGAAACGCGCGCTGCATCTCGAGGCGTGGGCGCGGCTGCGCGGCGGCGAGTTTCGCGGACGCGACGGGGAGATTTTCGGCGTCGCGGGGGGGTGCGTCGGTTACGGCGAGTGCGAAGTCGGCGTGTACGCGTCGAGGGCGAACGGGGACATCGCGGAGTGGCATCGGGACGCGTGCGATAACGCCACGATTCAACTCGTCGGCAAAAAGCAGTGGGAGGTGGAGGTGTACCGCGACGCGCGCGACGGCGCGGAGCTCCGCGAGGAGCTTCGAGGCAAGTCGCGAAACGCGTCGGCGAGCGACGAGGCGACGTGCGGCGCGGATTACATCGAGCAAATTTGGACCGAGACGGAGATAGTGACGCGCGTCATCGGACCGGGGGAGACGATTTGCGTGCCGCGAGGGCGAATGCATCGCGTCGTGCCTTTGGGGGAAGGCGTGAGCGTCTCCGCGGACATTCGCATGACGACGATCGAAAGCGCCGAAATCGCGGCGGAGATCGCGTATCTCAAAGCGATCGCGCTCTACGACGAGCGAAGCGTCTCGAAACGTCCCGTCGAATTGCCTCCGATTCATTGGTTGCCGTTTGAAGAGGAATTTTCCGACGGTTTAGTGCTCGGCGCTCGATTGGAATACATCGTCGCCGCCGCGGCGAATCGTTCGGGGACGCACGACGACGCGACGACGTACGAACCGGTGCGGCGGACCGACGGCACGGAAAAGTTGGGGGTCAGCGCGCGCGCGGAAACGTTGCGGCGCTCCCCGACCGCCGTTTTACATCCGTCGTGCGCGTGCGCGGTGCGCGACGACGACGAGCGCGGGGATTATCACGTATTCAACGTCAAAGCCACGTCCGCGCTGACGAATAAAGATCTCATGAGCGAGTTCAACATTTACGTTCGACGCGATTCCGTGCGCGAGGGAGAAATGCGCGCCTTCAACAGCCCCGTCGACTTCATCGAAGCCGAACTAGGCCGATTGGAGCGACAATCGCCCGATCGCGGGAACGACCGCAGGCTCGTGGCGCGCGACTCGGGCGAGTTTTCCGACGCCGTCTCGTCGCTCAGGGGAGTTCTTTACGACGCGAACATTTTGCTGCCTCCGGGCAACGATTGGTGGTTCTTTTGGTGTAACACTTCGAAACGTTTGTCCGACGCGCACCCGTCGGGTCTCGCGCGACGCGACCGCTCGCCGGCCGCCGTTCGAATCCCCAGCATTCAACAGTCGATCGGGCTCCGCGCGATCGCTTCGCAAAACTAGCGCGTTTCAATCTCTACTAGGCGTTTGACAATTTCTAGCAATTCTAGTCAATTCTAAGACGCGCCGCCGCTCGCTCGAAGACGCGCGCGTCGCGCCCTGCGCCGTCTCGCGCGCGGCGCCAGCAACGCGGCGACGACGCCAAAGGCGACGACGTAATATCGAACGTTCGACCCGTCGTCCGCGCGATCCGTCGCGACGTAATCTGTTTTCACATCGAGCGTCGTGCGTGAATCCTTCATCGGGCGCTGTGGAACGGTCGTCTTCAAAGACGTCTTCTCCGACTCGGACACTTTCAATCGCCCCGGAAGATCGCTGTACGCCGCCTTGGCGTCGTGACGGTCCAAAGGAGCGTTGGGGCCGCACGTCATCGAACCTTCGTTCCCAGGGTGTCCTCCGAGAACGGTGCTAAACCGTGAAAAGTCCACGTCTGTTCTTCGCGAGGGAAGAGGCTTCGAGTCCGACCACGATTCGGCGAGACGCTTTCGATCGTCGCAGTGCGCGGCGGCGCACGAACCGCCGACGGCGAACTCGACACCTTTTCGCGCGAAACCGAAGCATTGACCGCGCATGTGCGAGCTGTCGACGCAGTTAGAGTCGACGAACGCGAAGATTCTTCCTTTACCCGCCTCAAAGAGCGATAAAAATGCGTAATCGCCCTCCGCCTTGCCGCGCTGCGTCATGCGTTCGCTGTGCAAATACGCGCCCGCCGGCGCGCGCGTGATGTGGGTTCCGCTCGAGACGATGACTTGGTCGTCATCGAAAACGATGCTATCTTCCGTGACCTCGCCCCCGAACTGAATGCCAAAGTCTTTCAAAAGATCATTCAAAGCCGGCACGTTGGCTCCACCCGTGGCGGCGTGCCATTCGTAGTGCGTGTTGTCGTCGAAAAATTTCAGGCTTTCCATCGTCGTCAAATCGTACCAATCGGCGAAGACGACCAGCCCCAATCCTTCTTCGCGAACGTCTCGAGTGAGTTTGGCGATTTCATCGCTCGCGTACTCCTCTTCGAGATCGATGAGCAGTAGCGCCCCGTAATTCTTCGCGTCAAAGCACGTGAACGGCGATCCCAAGACTTCGACAAAGTAACCCGCCCGCGTCAGATCATCGTACCATTGGTGGAAGTTCGTGTGCGGGTGATCGCCGTGCCAATCCAAAACGTCTTGCTTCATGTCGATGTTATCTCTCGGAATGTATCCCGGTGGATACCGCACGTTGTGAAATTGGTCCCACAGCAATCGCTTGTCGCGACTCGGCGTCGGCACGACGTTGACCTTGAGCGTCATCTCAACCTCCGACACGCGCAATTTCGTCTCTCCGCGCGCGCCCGACGAAGCGACGGTGAATCGCACGCGCCCACTCGCGACGCCAGACTTGGTCGCCGCGTCGTCCTGGACTCGCACGTACAACGCCAAGAACCCAGAGTACGGCCAAAGCGTCTCCGAAAACGCAAAGCGAACGTCGAGGTGCGCGCCCAAGTCGCCGTCGTTCGGGATGAAATCGGGCCCGCTCACAATCTCCCCGTGCGTGCCGAGACCGTTAACGATGGTCGCGTTCAACATCAGCGGCATCATCGTGGCGTAGATTCCTTGTTTGCAGTGCGGCCACGCGTACGGGCACTCCGTCAAGTCAAACGTCGCCGGAATCACCGAGGCGCGCGGCGTGTACGTCTTCAGAATCTCCGCCGATTTCAACAAATCCAGCTTCCCCGCCCCCTGCTCGTAGCGATGTGCTAACGGTATTCGCGTCGCCCCTTCCACGAGCGCCTGTTTCATCACCGCTGGATTTAACACCGACCATCGCTCGCTCTCGGGTATGATGGAGCTGAGCAACACCGCCGCGCCCGCGGCGACGGGCGACGCGACGGACGTCCCCGAAAGCGCGCGGCAGCCATCGCCAACCTTACTTCCCCAGATACCGTCGCCATACGTCACGATATCGGGTTTCACACGGCCGTATCCACTGGGTAGCTCCATCGTGGTCATCCCGCGCGAACTAAAGTGCGCGATGGCGTCGGCGTCGGTGATGCCGCCCACGCCGATGATGTCCAAGTTATCCGCCGGGTTGTTCAACGTTCCGTACAGCGGCCCATCGTTTCCTATCGCGCTAATCATGATGATTCCCGCCGCCGTGATCTCGTTGATCTTGTCCGTGAACGGGCGGTCCAAGTAATCAGGCCCGCCGATGGAAAGATTTAAGACGTGCACGCCCGTGGCGATGGCGTAGTTGAACCCGTCGAGAAACCACGACGTGTACGAGTTTTGATCGTTCGTGAATACGCGAAACGTGTGTATGAGGGCATCAGGCGCGAATCCCGCGCACTGTTTCGACGTTCCCGCGACGACGCCCGCGACGAAGCTCCCGTGTCCCAACCCGTCGTGGAGTTGGTTTTCGTTGGTCCAATTCGTGCGTTCGACGATGTGCCGAAAGTGCGGATGATCTTCGGCGATACCGGTGTCGAAGACGGCCATCTTCACCCCAGCCCCGGTGTACCCTTGCTCCCACAGCGTCGGCGCGCCCATGCTCTTCGCGATGCTCACGTCTCCGAGCAACGAACGCCGACCCTTCGCCGCCGCCGCGTCGTCTTCGTCTCGTTCGCCCAGCGCCGACCGCCGCGTCAACCTTTGTTCCCTGTGCACATCCTTCACCACGCCTCGAAGCGCCGCGCGAAGCGTCTCGAGCACCGCATCACCCTTCACCGCTCCCCGCGTCGCGCCCGCGCCGTCGTCGACGCTCTCGACGACGACGAAATCCGTCGGAAACCGCGTCGCCGCGACGTTGTCGCGAGACGCCACTCGAAACGTCGCTTCGCCCCTCCCCCGACGCGCGCGCGCGCGCCCACCGCCCTCGCGCGCGTCGACCGCTTTCCGTACCGCGTCCTCGTGCGTCGCCGCCGTCGCGTACGTCTCGAACCGCGCGATGAACGTCCCGCGCGTCGTCCCGTCCGCGCGCACGCGCTCGCTCGCCCATCCCGCGGTCTCGTCGTCGTCCCGGACGCGCGCGTTCGAGTCCCGGGCGCGCGCGTCCGAGTCCCGGACGCGCGCCGTCGCGCGCGTCCCCGTCGTCGCGTCGCACGCGTCGTCCACGCGACGCGCGCCGTCGCGATGCGCGCTCGCGACGACGCTCGCGACGACGCTCGCGACGACGACGACGACGACGACGACGCGCGACGCGATCGCGCGCGCGCGTCGCCTCGCCATCCGCGACGGACGCGACGGACGCGACGGACCGTCTTCGCGTCGCGTCGTCCGAAGCGCGTCGCCCAAAGCGCGCGCCCGGTCCCGCGGTCGCGCGGTCGAGTGACTCGGACCGACCGCTCGACCGACCGACCGCGCGACGCCAACACGAATGCGTGCCCGTCGCGCCGTCGACGCGCGCGACGGCACAGCGCGTCCGACGGCGTCGCGAACGCGTCCGACGCCGCGGATGACGACGATGGACGCCGACGCGACGCCGCTGCTGCCGCGCGGCGCGCTCGAGGACGACGGCGCGACGCGCGAGCGGGACGAGCGAGGACGACGACGATGGCGACGCGGCGTCGCGATCGCGGCGCTGTTCGCGCTGGGAGGGTGCGCGGCGATCGCGAGCCGAGACCTGGGAGGGCGAAAAGCGACGACGGACGCGACGACGCGCGATAGAGACGCGAGCGAAGCGACGGGGGGGGAGAGAGACGACGCGAGGACGAGGACGAGGACGGAGACGCGCGCGGGACGAAGCGCGGGACGAAGCGCGGGACGCGGGACGCGCGACGGGACGCGCGACGCGGCGACGGCGACGCGCGACGCGCGGACGACGGCGACGATCGCGTCGACGACGCGCGAGCGAGGGATGTGGGTCGACGCCGTGGAGCGCGTCGTCGCCGCGGACGCGGAGGACGACGCGGAGGGTGTTGAGACGACGGCGGCGACGCGAGGACGATGGATCCCGACCAAGGCGCGGGTGGGGGGAGATTTCGACGTCGGCGAAGAGAGCGACGATGCGGAGCGCGAGGACGCGGAGGCGTCGTCCGACGCCGACGACGCGTACGAAGCGAACGCCACGCTTCGCGCGTTGGACGACGAGGTTTGGATTGAAAATTACGGGCAAGCCAAGCGCAGGAGGGCGCGCGCAAAGTTTCTGCGCGCGCACGGCGTCGATCCGAAGACGACGTCGGGCACGGCAGCCTTCGCCGCGCTCGGGGCGACGCGAGATGACTGCCCGGCGGCGTATTTCGCCCCGAAAGTGGGCGCGGCGAGCCTCGGCGGGCCCGGCGCGAGCGAGTTACCCGAGCACTTTGCAAAGTTTTCCGTGCACGCCACGAAATTGGCGGCGTTGGCGGATCAGATTTACATCTTGTGCACCGAGTGTTCTTTAGGCATCCCCGAGGATTGGCGGGCGAAGACGTCCTTCGTGCACGGGTTTAGAATCGACGAGTGTCTCAAGACGCAGGGAATCGACCACTGGCACAAGGCGTCGTTTTCGCACGCCCACGCGTTGATGGATGCTCAAAAGAAGCAGCACAAGACGGTCGCCATCATCGAAGAAGACGTGATCACGCGAGATTTCGCGGACGGCGGCGTCGGGTGGCGCATGCTGTTGGACAATCTGGGGCACGTTCGCGATACGATGCGTTTGGAGAAGGATTGGCGCACGATTCGCGTCGGCTATCGCGCCATGTTCATCGATAGATCGATCGAGAGCGTCAGCAAGCTCGAAGGCAAGGAGACGTGTCCGAAGGATTGTCGCTGCGAGAAGAAGAACGCCTTCACGTGCATCATGCGCCAATCCGGGTGCGATATGCGTTCGAGCGATTTCTACCTCGTTCGCGAAGCCGCGTACCAGCCCATCATCGACAAAATCTACGAAGGCTACACCGTCGATTGCGAAGCGTTGCGCGAGGTGCCGAATCAAATCTACATCACCCCGCAGCTTTCGTTTCAAGGCACGCTGGATTTAAAGCTCCAAACCCAAATCCAAATGGGCGAAGAGTTTATGCAAAAGTGCGCCGTCGGCGCCACGGCGTGACGCGCGCCGTCGACTTTCGCGCGACTGGCGCGGCGCATCCTAGGTAGATAGAGCGCGTGGAGCGCATTCATCTGCGCGACACGTCGACGACGTCGACGCGCGCGTTGATTTTGTAATCGAAACGACCGCGCGGACAAAGTGTCGGTTCTTCTTTCGCTCGCCCGCTCGCTCGCTCGTCGGCGACGGCTCGACAGCCCCGCGGCAGTGCGCGCCTCGACGTCGACGGCGCGGTCGAGTCCGTGGACGCGATCGCGCGAGAACGAGCTCGTGGACCCGCGCGGCACGGCGCAGGGCGAGATCGACGCATCCGCGCGTCGTCGCGGTCGTCGCGTCGTCGCGCCGTTCGTTCGTTCGCGCCGTCGCCGCGCGCGACGCGTCGAACGCGTGCGTGATTGATTGATTCATCTGTTCGGTTTTATTCGCCGTCGACGAACGCGCGAGCGCGAGGCGAGAGCGAACGATCGGTGATGTTGCTCGTCAAGCTGTGGATCGCGAAAAAGCTCGCCGTGCTGCTCGCCGTGCGCGCGTTCGGCGTGAAGAGACTGTACCGACGAGGATTAAAGCTCTCGCGCTACGCCTTTGGCGACGTGGAGGCTTCGGAGAACGCCTATCGCCGGACGACGGAGCGAGTGCTGTGGCACACGTGTCACGCGGCTATGATAACCGAACAGTGGCTCGTGCGACGGGCGACCGCGTTCACGGAAAAGGTGTTCACGAACGCCGGGTTCAGCGCGCGAGGGATGCCGAGCGGCGGGGAGGCGTTTGGCGGGACGAAGGCGACGCCGAAACCGCCGAAGACGAAGACGCCGTGACGACTTCGAGCGACGAGCGATGGACGTTCATCATAGGGAAACGGGAACGCGCGCCGGCGCACCGAAGCACCAGAACACGCGCGCACAGACACACACACACACACGCAGCAGCGATTATTACGCACTAGCGCACGCGGTACTGTAAATTATATTCTTCATTCATTCTTTCATAATACAAGTGAGACTCACCAAAGTTTCGGTTTCGGCACGCCTCTTCGAGGCACGCTCGACAGGAATTCGTGCTGCATGTCGCGAACCTTTTCGGCGCCGACGAGAGAGGCGCCGGCGAGACAGGTGGCGATGATGGCTGGCGCTTCTTGATCGAACGCTGCACCCGTGACGGCGAGGAACAACCCGCCGGCGAGCAAGTACTTGCTCGCGGCGACGCATCGCTCTTCGAGCACGCCGAGTTCGCTGAGCGCCGTCTTACACGCCACGCAGTGCTTGGTGTGACGATGGTACCGATCCAGCTGTTCGGCTTCGGATTTCACCTTCGACGCGTCGTCGACGACGCCCGGCGCCCACGCGACTTTGCCTCCGGCGTGCTTGTCCATCCAATTTCTAAACGCCGACACTCCAGCGTCGGCGGGCGTCGGCAAATAATACGATTGTTTCCACGGTTTGTTTTGAAGCTCCATCTCGACCTCAACTCCGTGCATGGCTAAGATATCCTGGTCCCCCAAGTTGTACGCGCTCGATCCCGGCGGCGTGCCGTGCGACAGCCCTACGCGCACGAGCTTTGGGTCGCTCGTAAAGTTGTCGACGTAAAAGTCAAACAGCGACGTCGCGGGAGCGGTGACAAGGGAGTTGATGCGATCGGCGGGTGAAACCTTACGCGCGCCCGCGCCCTGCACCGCGCTCGCCTGGTGGGCTTGGAACTTTGTAAACATGAGCGTTCGTCCGGGCTCCGTCGGCGCGTAGAGAATCGCCGCCGAGAGGTACTTTTTACCCTTGGCGTCCAAGTATTCGCTTCGACTCGAGCACGGCGCGGTGAACACGCGCGATGCCGATACGCCGACGTTCGACTTGTTGTATCCACCGTGCTCGACCACGAATCCATCCTTTTGCATCGTCCCCTCGCGAACGCTGAACTCAGTCATGGCCACGAAACCCGCGTTCGCGCGCTCGTCGAGCTGTCCTTCGGCGTCGTACCTCGCGTGCAACCACTCCGCGTGAGACGGGTCAAACTGATTCTCGAGCGCCGGGGCGTAACCCACGGGAAGCTCCACCATGCCCCACTCCCCGGGAAGCGTGCCTTCTCGCGCCAGAGACGTCGCGCACGGCGCGCCCGCGCTGGCGAGAAGGCCATCCGCGCCCGCCGTCGGCCACACCCAGAGAATTCCGTCTTCGACGCGGCTCGGATAGCTCGTAGCGCAAGATCGCGGCGATGCGCACGCGGTCTTTTCCGCGGCTTCATCGACGGACATCGGGATGGACACGCACGAGCCGTCCTTGCCGTCAAACGCCCAGCCGTGGTACCGGCACGCCAGCGTGCCGTCTTTTTGAACGTATCCCAGGCTCAAAGGCGCACGTCTGTGCGGACAGCTATCCTCCAACACTCGCCACTCCTTGCACGTCGGGTCGAGGTAGGCGACGAGCTTTTTACCGAGCACGCGCAGCTCGTTCGGTTCGTTGGCATCCAAAAAGCTCACCGGACGAAGGGGATACCACGCGCTGGACCAATCGAACGACTCCCCCGCCGCCGCCGGCGGCGCGTTCGTCTCCGCAGTCGCCGCCTCGGACGTCGCTTCGAGTCGCACCGCGCTTCGGTGTCGTCGAACCGTCGCGGACCGAGTCGTCCTCTTATCCATCTTCCGCGGCGTCCCTCGCGCCGCGCCCCTCGCGATCGCGCTCGACATCGCCGTCGCCGCCGTCATCGCCCGTCGTCGCCACCGTTTGTCGCTCGTCCACGACCGTCCGGCTCAGTCGTCAGCGCGCGCGCGACCGACTGTGCGCGCGCCGATCCCGCGCTCGTTCGAGTGCGCGCGGCGGGACTTTTGAAAAATCACAATCACTCGTCGCCGTCCTCGTCCATCGCTCGACGCCGTCGTTCGACGAGTTGACGGAGCCTCCGCGCGCGCAAATCGCAATCCTTGACGCCCACGACGTCGCGGTCGGCGTGATTGGCGTACGCCCTGACGTCGCGCGCGATGGACTTCGTCAACTCGTACGACAGCTCGCTCAACGCGTGGGCGGTTTTGGGCGTCAACGACTTGTCGTGCGAGCGAGCGACGCGCTCGGCGACGCGGACGACGTGTGATTTGAGGTGCTCGAATAAATTGGCGTCGCCGTCGCCGTCGCCGACGTCGCCCATCGTCGTCGCCGCGAAGTGCGGGCGCTCCACGGCGTACAACTCGCCTACGCTACTTCTACTTTGGCGACGCGCTGATTTACTTTACTTTACTTTTACGCAAATCAGCGTGTCGCCGCGCGAATCCCTCGACACGCGCCGCTCGTCGTCCACGTACACGTTTTCGAACCATCCACTGCCGACCGGGGGAATGGGAATCGAAAACTTGTCCCTGAACGTCAACGAAGCCGCCGTGAATCGAAACTTCATCGTCGCGCGAGACGACTCTTCGACGACGGCGTCGACTTTAAACACCACCTCCCCGTCGTTGAACACGACTTCATTCGACAGCGTCTTCGCGTCTTCGCGAAGCGTCTGAAACGCTCGCGTCTTCGAGCGCGTCTTCAGCCCTAGCAACCACAGCGTTTCCTTCTCCGTCGTGTACGCGAGCTCCCACCTGGCGTACGACTTGGCGTTGTTCGAGCGCGCGTCGTCGCCTTTCGCGCGCGTCGTCGACGCCAACGCATCGATCGCGCGCTCGATGTCTCGTCGCGCGTCATCGTTCGGCGCCACACCGACGCCTCGTCGCGACGCGTCGACGAGTTCGAACAGCGACGACGACGACGACGACGACGACGCGCGCGATGACGACGCGCGACGCATCGCGCGCGACGCGCGCGACCCGCGCGCGAACGACGCCGGAGACGACGCCGGAGACGACGATTCGAACGACGTTCGCGCTCGCATCTCGAACGAGCGATCGCGCGTCCGCGCGTGACGCCGCCCTCGACCGGGCGCGCGCGACGCGGACGGTCGAAACGGCCGACGCGGACATTCGGACATTCGGACATTCGGACATTCGGTCGAATCGCCATCGGCGGGCGATTCACGATCAGCACGCATTGATCGACGCGCATCGCGCTCGCACGCGCGAAGACGGGGCGAACCGACGCCGATACCGCGACGAATACCTAAACTTTAAGCGACATGGGGCCCTGCATGAGCGTTCTCGAGGCCGCGGGCGTGAACCTCGCGGCGTTACCGCCCACGGGACCGTACGCGATGTCGAGCGAAGAATCGCTGTCGTTCTTGACGAACGCGGCGACGTTCGACAGCAACGGTGCCGGGAAACCGTTCGGTAAGCTCGTTCAACTGCGCGGCGGATCGCACACGCTCGCCAAGGCGTTCGGACTCGCGCCGGGAGGGACGCACAATTGCTTCATGTACGTCGACAAGGCGGAGTGCAAAATATCTAAAGACGCCAAGCCCTTGAACGGGGCCACGATCGACGTGAGCGACGGTGAGCTGCAACTGTGGTACTGCCAAGGCGCCGCGATATCGATGCCGGTGGCGTGCGTGAAAGTCAACGGCGGCAGCGCGCGAGCGATTTTACCCCGATTGCACGCGGTGGATTTGTACGTCGAAATCGACGGCAAGGCGTACGCCGACGGGCACGTGTGCTACGGCAGCGACGCGAACTTGTCGCGCGACAAGGCGATCGATGCGGCGGTGAAGAACACGTTTGAAGGTGAACTTTGGATGAAGGACTTCTTGAAGAAAGGCCCATCCGATGGTTCCAAGCCGTGGGCCACCATCGTCAAGGATGAGCGTTGGGGCGACGACGACGGGTACGTGTACTTGCCGCTCATGGCTAACGATGTTGACAACGCTTTGATGGGCGACGATAAGCTCACGTATGTGCACAGCTTGATGTCCAAATGGGCCCAGCTGATGGGCAAGATCGGCGCCGGCGCGCACAGCTTCACCGTTCGCATCCGTCCGCGCGGCGTTATTTACAAGGACGAAGACGGCGCGCCCATGTTCGACTCCATCGGCGGTGGTAGCGACGATAACGACGCTGTCTTGGGAATGTGCGGGCAACATCTCACCGATCCCAACGCGCCGGGCATGAGCGCGACCTGGACTATGACACTCGACGCCGCGCAGGCGAGCGGCAAGGGACCCGTTCGCAAGGCTCAGGAATTCACCAACTGGCCGGCGGGCGAAATCGAAGAATGCATCGAGATGGCGATGGATTTCGCCAATAAGGGTGTGTGCGGTCGAAAGGCGGCTGAGATGGCGCCCAAATCGAAGTGCTGCCACATCATCTTGTCCGACGGCGATCAAGGGTCGGGCATCAAAACTGCGCGGTACGGCAACGGCGAGCGCGAATATGACTTTTTCTGCGCGTGGGCGTTGTTTAAGAACGCCAACGGCAAGCCGGATTCTCTCGGCGCTCAGATCAAGTTCGTCGTCAAGAAGAAGAAGATTGTCAATTTCCGACCTGTGGACGAGGACTGGCATTCCGCCGGTTTCGAAACCGCGGCCGTCGGCGTCGAAAGCGTCACTGGTTTGACGATCACCAACGCGGAAATCGACGCCGCAATCGCACGCGATGCCCAGTACTACTGAAACTGCTGACGCGACTTCAAGACATGTGCCCACCATCGCTGGCACAACCCCTCGCATATCCATACTATAATCCACGCTTGAGTCATTTTGATTAGCACTTGATCGCTCGCGGCGCTAGCGCTTTTGTGTAATATAAGGTTGAAATGAGATTGAAATGAAAGCTTACAACACTCGCGCTGTGATTACGCCGCGATCTGTCGCGTCTCCGAACGAAGCGCTCGCTCTAGCGCTTCAAAGGCGCGACATTTTTCATCGAGCGAAACGTCCTTCGCGAACGCTGGTCGATTGCATGCCAACGTTCGAAGCCACACATCTTCCTCTGCCGCATCTAGCTCGCGACGCAGATTCGCGATGCGCGTTTGTTTCATCGATAGTATCGCGTTCATCTTATCGCCGCGTTCCGACTTCGCGCCATTATTCATCTGTTCTTTATTCTCGCTGTTGTTCCTAGTCGCTATCTTTTTCTTTCTATTATTCCACGACGGTTTCGTACGACGTCGATATTCCGATGAGTTTCACGCGGTGGCCATCACCACTCGTCACCTCGATGCGCACGTCGCACGTGTTCGATCCATCGAACTCGACGCTCTGCGGTCCCGCGTCGAGGCTGACACCATCTATAGTTATTGGAATCGAGTCGGCGTTCGTGAGACTCACTCTGCGTTCCCATTGCGTGCTTACGACTCGCTCCTCACACGAACACCCGTTCGAGCAGGATACGGCGATCGTTCCGTAACCAGACCACGAATGCAGCGTCGAAACCAAAATGGTGACACCTTTGACTTTACCGAACGGTTTACCGAGTGATTGACGCACGACGATGTACGCGCCTTTCTTCGTCGCGACGTACCCTGGTTTGTGCGCAGTTCGCCCGCTTTCTTCGCGTTCGACGTACGTCCAGTCCGGTGACTCGTCCACTATCGGAGGCCACGCGAAGAAGCCGCTCGATTCGATGTCATCGACGACATCGCCGCCGTGCGTCAGCGTTTCTTTCCCAAACTCGTAACATTTCGAGACAATCTGCGCGGTTTTCGACGACGACAGCATCGGAGGCAACTTTCCGGGCGCCGCATCTTTCGGTGGCGACACCGCGTCGTCTCTGGCAGACCAATACGCGGACGAGACGTATCGACCTTGTTCGTCCGAGTCTCGCGCTTCAACCGACACGAATGTGAAAGGTGCGTACGATGTCAAAGGCTTTCGTCCTCCCTCGTCGGCGTACGCCAAACGCGTCGCGTCGATGGCCATGCGCAAACCATTGACGAAGTAGCTACCAACGATTCGTGTAGCATTCGGTTGCGTCGGGTGTAAGCCGTCGCGCGTCCAATCTAAAAGAGCAAAAGGCGCGCTCTCGTCTTGCGTCGAATCGCGCATGACGTCAAACATGCCTCGTCGCAGGTTGACCACGGGGATGCCGTAGTGCTCGGATAAGCGCTCGTACACATCGAGTACTGGGTGATATCTCGTATAAGCGTCGCGGATCGCACTTTTCATCGCTTCTTTTCGCGGAACGTCCAAGTTGTAGCCCTTGAAAATGAGCGAATCGGGCAACTCTCGGCACAATTGTCGCGTAGCCGCGAAGGAGTCCCCCGACGACACTTTCGCAAAGCGTGGCGAGCACCAGTTCTGAGCGTGCACAATCATGAACGCTGGCATGTTTCTCTTCTCCTCGGATCCCTCTATTATTTGCTTTCGCTGCGTCAACTGGTGCATGATTGTCTCGAGTTCGTGCGTCAGACGCGCGAGGTGTACCTCCGCCACAGAGCCTTCATCCATGAGCTCGAGCGTAGCCGAGAACTCAAAAATAAAGAGATCGACGTTTTCTGAGTCGGGAAGCCATTTATCCAGACAGCTCGCAAAGGAGTGAATCCCACCACCCGGACGCGCGATGTTGATCCACTCGTGCGAAACGTTCGGGTTGTTGTACAGCGGTTCGACCTTCGACAGGTCTACCGGATACGTTTCCTCGAGCCAATCGATGGCGGGTCGCAACCATTCTCGAGCTTCACTCGGCGGCGCGTACATCCCAGCGCCGCAACATACGTCTCGCTTCCCGACCACTTCGCACATATGGCGAAGCGGGCGCGCGGTTGACGTGCAACCGCCGTGGACGCCCATTACGCTCGAGCCCAGCGCGACGATGCTCAGTCGTTCCCGCGCGTCGAGTTTACGGACCAGTTCACGCCAGCCCTCAGATACTGTGGAAATTGAGGTGGCATCGAATAACGCCTTGTCGACTCGCCGCGTCCAACTGCCCGACCGCCGGCGGTCGTCGACCGCCGGCGCCAACACCGCCGTCTCCGAACGCGCGCGCTTCTCGTACCGCGCCGGCGATGTCGCAGTAGTCGACGTGCGCGTGCGCGTTTTCACCGCGCTCGCGCTCGCGAGTGCTCCGCGCGAAAGCACGCTCAGCGCGACGAAAACGACCACCGCGGTCGCGTCCACCACGCGCGCGCGAGAAAAAGAGGCGCGCGACGACGACCTCCCCGTGCATCCGCTCGCATCGTCGCGCTTTGTCTCCGCCATCGTCGCGTCGCCTCGGAAGCGACGCGACACCTCGTCGCGCGACACCTCGTCGCCATGCACCGCACAGTGCGGACGAACGCCTCGGACATCGCGATCATTCGCCGACGCGCGTCGCCGTCGCCGTCCCGCGCGCGCGCCTCGAGAGCGAGCGATCGCCGACGATTGATACGCCATGATCGAGCAGCTGCGCCGCGCGGTCGAGGCGAAGCCCGCGCTCGAGCCTTTTGCCAGCGGCAGACGAACGATCGACGCGAGTGGAACGGCGAACGTCGCGTCGTCGTCGTACGCGGCGAATAACATTCGAGCGTGGTTGAGCGGGGATGCATCGACGCCTTCGACGACGAGCGCGAACGCGACGAAGGAGGACGACGACGCGTTCGACGCCGTCGCGTACGCTAGAGAGGCGTTCAGTCGCTCGCGACGAGGCGGCGCGGGGAGCGGTGGAGACGCTCTGGATGACGTCGCGTTACTCGCCGATGGCGCACGGACGATGGAGGCTTTGATCAGGGACGAAGTGATCGGGAAGCGTGAGACGTTGGAGGAGGCGTTGCGCGGCGTCGAAGAGGCGGAGGCGACGATGAAGACGATTCGCGAGGGCGCGAATGAAATCGCGGACGCGATGCGTCGCGTGGCGCGCGAAATCGGAGAACCGCATGAATCCGTGGAGGCGTCGACACGGACGCTCGAGCGCGTGATGGCGACGGGGGAGACTTTGCGGGGCGTCGTCAAGGTGTTGAAGCTGACGAGTAAATTGCGCGAGTGTTACGGCGGCGGCGACGACGAAACCAGATCGAGAGACGCGAGCGAGTTGAGTAAAGCAGCCAAGCTTCTGGGAGAGGTTAAGCTCACGTTGAAGAGCGCCGGTCGCGATTTCGACGGTGTTGACGTCGTGGATGAGCAAATGGTATTTATTCAAGACTGCTCCGTAGCCGTCAGTCGCGAGGCGAACGAGGCGCTGGATCGAGGCATGGAGACCGCATCACAAGCTGACGTCGGCGCGGCATTGCAGGTGCACTACAACTTGAATGAGCTTAGCGCCGTCGTGGATGCGCGCGTGGCGAGTTACACGAACGCCGCCGTCGACGCCGTCAAGGACGCCGTCGACGCGGAGAGCGTAGGCAAGACGGCGACCGGCGCGAGCGGCGACGGCGCTCGACGCGGCAGTCGAGGTCTCGTGGCGCCACCGAGTGGAGCCGAGCACGCGTGGGAAGATGCTCTGTGGCGTCGCGTCGACGTCGCCATGGAAACCGTGCAGGAAAATGCCATGGCGGTGTGGCATCTGCAACGCGTGTTGGCGAAGAAGCGAGATCCCCTCACTCAGACGCTGTTTCTCGATGAAGTTGTCGGTAAAACTGCGTCGACGCAAGCGCTTTGCGATCGTTTTTGGGCCGTGTTTGCCAAGGGCGTGAGCGAACACCTGTCTCGCACGCACGCCGCCGGGGGATTTGTATCGCGCGCCTTGCAAAAGGGGTTCCCAAGTCTCATCGGCGCTCTCGAAGACGCCGTCGCCAAGTGTGCTCGAGACGCGGACGCGGCAAAGGGGGCACCAGGATGTACGCGTAAAGACGGCACGACACGCGCACTGGTTTTGCGTGCGTGCGAACCGATCGCCGCGGCGTTCTTCGCGCACTCTTCCTCGCGTCTGAGCGACGCCGCAAACTATTGTTTCGCGGATGGGCGCGTGATAGACGAGGCGAGCGCCGATCGATTTCTTTCTCGCATTCGCGCTGAAATCGATGTCGTCGCAGAATACGATAATTTGCTCAACAACGCGTGTGGAAACGCGAGTTCTGCTTTGAAAACATTGGCTGACCGGGCAAAGCGGTCGATCGGTCGATCGATCGAGGCTTCGAGTCTAACCGAAGAGGCCACGCCGACGCAACGCGCGAACGCGCAAATCGCCGAGCAACTCGCGCGAGCGCACGGATTGATGAGCAAAGTGTTGCCATCCTTCGCGCCGACGCCGAAGCGAGCGTTGGAGGTTGGACTCGAACACATCGAGTCTGCGGTGCGCGAAGCCACCAGACCGCTCTTCGACGCCGTCGGCGATTGGTGCGACGCGAGATTTACTCAAATGCACAACACCGACTATAGCTCGACTGCGTCGGACGGGTCTGCGAAGCACATCATAGCGGTCACCTCTACACTCGGACACGTGGCTGATTCGCACCCAGGTCTTTTCACCGCCGCTCGCGGACCGTTGTTTGCGGCTCGCGTCGCGCTCGGCGATCGAATCCTGCACTCTTTCGTCGTGCACGCTTCGCTCATTCGCGATTTCGATCAGGGCGGGAAAATGCGTCTCGTCAAGGAATGCGGAGAGATCGAACTCGCAGTGGTGAAGACCCTGCGTCTGGCTGGGGCGGAAACGGAATCCATGGAGTTCAAATCCATCAAGGCGTTTAAATCGCTCGTTCTTTTGCCGACGGAGAACATCGAAGCGTCTCCGTTGGTTCGAGATGTGTCGCGGCGAGCGCTGCTACATCACTTGTACAGTCGCGCGCCTGCCGAGTTAACGACGCCCGCTAATCGTGCATCCCTCAGTCAAACGCAATACGCATCGTGGTTACTTAAAAAAGCGAGCGACGCCGAGGTGTGGCGCGGTGTCAAGGGCACTCTCGACGTCTTCACGGACGTCAACAGCGCAAATGCATCACACGTCGCCGTAGCGCTCATGCGGAAAATTGGTGAGAGCTTTGGTAAATAAAGTAGCAGTCTCGGCGTAGATTGAGAGCATCGTTTGCGTTGTAGAGATTGTAGATATTATTAGACGGCGAACGGTGATCCAATGCGCGAGCTCAGTCAACTCGATGTGGAAGACCTCGGGCGTCCTCAGAGCGAGGCGATCATGCGCGCGAACGACTTGGACACGGCAAACAGCGATGATACGGCGAACGGCGATGACGACAATGCGCGTCGTCGCGTCGCAAAACGTCGCGCACGGCACGATCGCGCGATCGCGAACGCCTTTGGCTCGGAAAAAGCGATTGGTATTCTGCTAAAATTATCTGTGCCAACGCACGCGCGCGAGGGCGCACGCGTTGACGCCGCCGCCGCCGCCGACGACGATGATGATTCGCGCGAACGCGCGTTGCGCCCGTCGCGCGACGCTGCGGAAGCCCTGCGCGCCGACGGCGATGCCTTCGGCTGCATCGAGCGCGAGACGACGCGGACGCTTCGCGCGGAGAGCGGAAATCGATTGCGGACGATGGCGGCGCATTCACGCGAACGCGAGGAAGCGCGCCGAGAAGTCGTTCGTGAGACACGGTATTCGTTTCGGTGCGACATGCTCGATGATGCTGAGACGAGCGGGGTTTTGAACGACGAACTCGTTGAGGCGTGGAACTCGCTTTTGCGAGAAAATCATATTTCAAAAGACGACGAGACGGGAGATGGCTTCGGCGCACGCGACGACGACGACGAGGACGGCGATCGCGTTGATTGCATGGATCTCGACGCGCGGTTCCGCGCGCACGTTGATGCATGTAAAACCGCGCTCGAGCCGAAGGAATCGCTCGCAGCTCGGTTGAAGGCGCATTTAGTTGCCGAAGTCGACGCGCGATTCGACGATGCGATACACGAGCACAGACTCGAAATCGGCAAAGCTCGACGACTGGCTGCAGAAGAAAGACTCACGCGCAAAAATGCTGTCGAAGAAGTCATTTCGAACACGAAAACGACCTTTGGCGAGACCTCGACGCGTCGAGACGCTTTGCGCTCGGAAGCTCTCGCCGCGACCGATCGCTCAGCGGCGGCTGAAGACGCGGATTTATCTGCGCGATCTCGGCGCGAAGCGGACGCGCGCCGCGCATCTTTGATAGAAATCAAACTTCGGAACGCGAGTGAGGTGTCAGAACTTCGCGCTTGCTTAGAGCACCGCGTGAGTGAGGCCTTCTCCCGTCTCCAGTATGCCATCGCTCGAGCGCCTCTTCGAGCCGAACGGCTGCGAGACGCGATGAAGCGGCGACGGGGTGACGAGGCGCGAAGGCGAGCGAGGGAACGCTTGGCGTCCAGAGCGATGAAAGACACGCGCTTCGAGCTACAAGAAATGAAGAGATGCTATACCGAGACGGAGCGAGCCAACGCCGGGCGGGACCGGAAACTACGACTGGCGACGCTGAAGACGACGTCTCGCGTCGGCTCGATCGAGAGTATCGGCGCGAAGTCGGAACGCGGCGATAAGATGAACGCGATACTATCGATGAAACAAACGCGCATCGCGAATCTGCGTCGCGAGCTAGATGCGGCAGAGGAAGATGTGTGGCTTCGAGCGTTGGCATGCAATCGACCAGCGTTCGCTAAGGACGTTTCGCTCGATGAAAAATGTCGCGCCTTTGAAGCGCTAGAGCGAGCGCTTCGTTCGGAGACGCGACAGATCGCGGCGTAATCACAGCGCGAGTGTTGTAAGCTTTCATTTCAATCTCATTTCAACCTTATATTACACAAAAGCGCTAGCGCCGCGAGCGATCAAGTGCTAATCAAAATGACTCAAGCGCGGATTATAGTATGGATACGCGAGGGGTTGTGCCAGCGATGGTGGGCACATGTCGTTTGTCGTCCAACACGAACACTGAAGAAGGAACTTTGACGCAAGAGTCCGGCGACGTCCGGAGCGTCGAGGGGGAAGTCTGCGGTGCCGTGCTGGTCGACGCGTGATGGCCGTAGGGTGTCGTGAAGGTGCACAGGAAGGATGCGAATGCTAGTGACTTTTCGGGTTTTAGTACGTCCCAGAGAACCTAGGGTTAGGTGTAATAAGTATTAGCTAGTCGGTCGGTTACGGCACTTCTCCCGAAGCGCCTCCCTCCCTCATGCGTAGGGTTTAGGGTTTAGGGTTTAGGGTTTAGGGTTTAGGGTTTAGGGTTTAGGGTTTAGGGTTTAGGGTTTAGGGTTTAGGGTTTAGGGTTTAGGGTTTAGGGTTTAGGG